CCCATCGATGGCGATAACATGCTCTGGCGTCGGCCCACCCTCTGACCTGTGGCGGTGGGCCCATTGCTTAACGGTTACAACACTGTAATATGCCCTGCTAGTGGGCCGAGCACTGGGATAAGAACACTAGCGGTGGGCCCACTGCTAGTATCCCACACATGAAAGGTATGGGCCCACTGCTGGTAGAGGTCAACATGGTGACAATGGGCCGACGTCTGCTGGCTGTCCAGTTCATGACAATGTCAGGGTAAATGGGAGTTCAGTTCAGGTAACATGACTGAAAGGTGTGCAAGTGTAGTCTTCTCGAATTGCCCTGCCAAACAAGTGAGTGGATATCTTATACAATTAAGAGGACAAATGCTCACCCTGCTTGTAGTTTGTATTCACTTGCTGCAACACTCCGATGAGGCGCTCGAAGGGGAACATCCACCAGCCATGGACTGAACCGAAGCGCATGAGGAAGTCACCGAGGTGAAGTGCATTGTGGTGATTGGGCATCAGGGTGAGCCCGGGCTTCAGCTCCAGGATGTCGGAGAGGTAAGCGTGCATATGGATTGTATATCTGGTGCGATGATTTTCTGTAGTCCGATATGAAGTGGCTTGATGAACTGCACAGGCCAGCCGCATCGTGCAGTGAGCGAGATTATGACGGTGCTTAGACTCATCTGATAAGTTGTCCAGTCGTTCGCGGTGCCAATGCTTCATGATCGAGACAGGTAATTCGAATTCTATTGCAGCTTTCCAGTGATCGGCTTTGAGCTTGCCTTGGCCTTTCGTACCCATGTTTGCAGGTGGTCCAACGGAATAAATGGGGCGGGATGTCTCGGCAATGTCAGCCTGTACGTGTTTGAGATCTCGTTTGCGAAAAGCCCGTATTGACAAGCTGTCCACTTCATCCTGTCTGTCTGCAAGCTTCGCTGTGGCTGCATGTTCAGCTGCATATTCTGCTGTGTACACTTCTCCGATCAGAGTCTGAGGTGCAAGCTCTGCAGTATTGGGGGTGCTTGTCAGTGGGGCGCGGTCTGTAGCAGAAGCAGAAGGGCGAATCCAAACAGCAATGGTCGCATGCGTCTGTGTGTAACCCGTTCACCGAGTCTGATGTGAGATCAGTGTTACCATTCGAGCTCAATGTGAGTGCATACCAACACATCGGCGAGCACCGATTTTTTCATCTCGTGAACAGGGCGAGGTAACCGGAAGCTGAGCTCCCCGCACATGTGTCCCAGGGTGACTTTATTGAAGCGCAACAACAAGCGAGGCTCGGGGTCCTTCAGCAGGAGGCGTTGAAGGCTGATCAAGTCGTTCTCCTTGATTTTGCGCGAGTTTCCAGCATCCTCATGGTCCCCTATAGGTACGTCCATTCCAATCACTTTTCTGCTGTGGAACTGGGTTACTCCGAGAAAGATGTTATGCATCCCGTCGATGACCTATGCGCTGAACGGGATCCCAATACGGTAGGGCGATTAAGTTCGGACCATTGAACGCCAAACTCCTTAAAAATGCGTTTTCGCTCTTCCTGCGTGTCAGTGTCGCGCCAGCGGACAGCAGCTTCCAAGATCTCTTCAGCCGTTTTCATCTTCCAAGTCGTCATGTCAATGTTATTGATACTCTGCTTCTTCAAATGGCACTGCGAGCAAAAGCACCTGCGCTATGGCTGGCTTAATCCGCCAACCTTACGAGATCCTGGCAAGTCAGTGATGACGAGGGCGAGCGCTGAGCATACACAGCGACCGTGAGGATAGTCGTAAGTTCTGTTGTACAAATGCCGCGCTCCCAGGAGACTAACAGTTGGTCGACCAGCGGGCGGAGGAAGTGATTAGTGCTCTCGAGCTTGGGGCTCCTTGGGTCCAGGAATAATGCCCACGAGATATAGATTATCGGTTTTGTATCGCATGCTCGGCGGAAGGTATAAACACGACATAGCCATCGACCCCATTGAAATCAACAACCCTGCGATTTTGTTGAGATATGGGTTGAACCAGTCCACCGAAAGGGCCCAAAGTAAGCGTAACTCGCCCTCAGCTGCATCGGCGAAGGGTTTTCCGTCCGGTCCCTGCATGTTGGCGACGGCAGATCCATCGGTGATGTCGCGTAGATTGTAGCAATCTCGTATTGCCTTCCCCTGTCGGAGGATCTCCTCCATCCCCGGTCGGCTGATAAGCCCACCCACAAATGCATGGAAGTCTTGAACGATGAAAGGGCGTATAGGAGAGCGAACGCTTTTGCCGTCCAGAACGCGAGTAGTCGTCAATCGTGAGTTGCAAGGTTTGCTGCGTGGGCCGCTGCGATGCTGACAACGACTCGGATAAACAGGTATATCATCTTGATATGAAGGCGCATATGTGCAGCAGCATGACGGACAAGTTGCGTAAACTATGACAACAGCCTCCAAATCGAAGGCTTTCCGCACGCCACGAATGTCGCGGGGGAAATGATCTAAAATCTGCTCCTCACGGTAGGATAATGACCGTGTGCCCTGGCGCAGTGCAGTGTCCAGCAAAACCTTCAACATCTGCAATGCGAAGTTACAAGTTGTTCGCAGCACCTGACTGAGCAGCTTCAGGATCAGTACTATGAACACCGCCAAGAGCAGAAGGGGATCTCCGCGCTGCAGCGGGTGGTCGAAATAGCGACCTAACGTCGGTGAGTGATACTGGCTTGAGTGAGCAAGAGAGACCACTAACTTGTGGTGATCGCATCTGGCGGTGCTGCAGGGCCCTTCACCTTTTCAATCCATTCTTGCATGTCTGAAATGTTAGAGGTGAGCTGTTCTAACATTGCATCGTGCAAAATGATCATTGATTGGTCGCGCAACATCAACTTCTCTAGCTTGGCGCAGGTTTCCTGAAACCAAGCCAGCTCCTCGCACAGTGTAGTGCAGGCAGCCGCAGCAGCTTTGCTGTCTTGGGGGGCCACAATACCCTCATCTTTTACACGTGAAGTGCTCAAGAAACAGTCTCAGATCTCGTAATCGACAATCCAGAGCCCAGGTAGGGAAGTGAGTGGGGGTGGAATGGGTGGAAGGGGGGACACTGTAGGCTGGGAGGGGGCACTGTTGAAGATGGGTGCCGGGCCGGTGGTGGGGGCGGTGGCGGCAGTGCAGACTCTGCGGTAGGTTCATCCGTGAGTGCGTCCTTCAAAGTTAATTCAAAGATCCGGTCTGCTAGTTCGTCGCCTTCGAGCACAGAAGATGTCTGGTACTTTTGGAAGTAAATATTTCTTATGTGTTTTTGTTAATTGCTTACCTTCTTGCGTCTTCTGTCTGCTCTCTGATGCGTGCGGACCATATTCCAATCTCTAAACTGACCCTGACAGTTGAACGTTTTGGAGTAGCACGGCCGTGCTCGGCCTGCACCCTTCGTCGCGGGCATGGGATTAGGGCTGGATCACTAAGGGGCAGATGCTCATGATATTTATAGACACATGTTTATAGACAGGCAGCAAATATAGCGTAAGTTTTACATGATTGCATTGTGATATGAAAATCGCTAATCTCGTTACATCCATTGTTCATGGAGCGGCTGAGAAGGTCAAATAGACATGCGAACTTCCGATAAGTTCCCCATTGTTGCATTGTAGTTTGACAGTCGCTGGTCACAAGGCACAGTGTTGTGGTGCGAGATATGAGCAGGCGAACGTGAGAGGACGGGCAAGTCACCTGCGATGTCGCAGCCTTCCAGTGTGCTCACTGCCAACAAGGACGGCTGGTATAGGCCAGCCGTCAATACAGACGCAGGAGTCCAGTCAACTTTGTGAGTGTAGTTGCATATCGCGTGGGTACGTTGGCTTACATTCACGATAGTATGGCTCTGCGGAATGACTTGGCAGAGGAATTCACCGTAGGTAAGAATATTTTTCTTCTACGACCTTGTCGAACTTAACGCTGTTCGCCCCTGGTGTAGAGAGAATGCTCTGTCCCCACCCTACAATTCCCAGGTCATTCATAGATTCTCACGAGGGACTCGCCGCCAGCACTCATATGGACGAAGTGCAGCCTGCTCCCCTTCAGGTGGACAAGGCACAAGGCGCTCCTCCTGGCTTGGATGGTTCAGTCCCTCAGCTAGGGTCTGTCGGTCCTAAATCCCTGCCTTTGCTTGCCCCTACGCATCACATTGAGCCGCGGCAACCTACTCCGCCCCCTGCGAACATTGGAGGAATGGCAAAGGAATCCCTGGCACCTGCGCTGACAGTTGAGGTCACAGCCATGCAACAGCTGGTCGAATTTATCGGCCTCGCTGTCGATCAATTGGTGCAGAAGGCACTTTCCAACTTCACTCCGGTACTCGAACGCCAGAACGAGATCATTAGGCAGTTGGCCCCTCTGGCTACGCTTTTACCGTCGGCGCGGGCATCGACGTCTGCCAAGAACGAAGGGCGGTCCACTGTCTCCCACCCCACGCCAAATGGTGAATATGATGGCGGAGAGGAGGATAACGACGATTGCGATGATGCGCCGATCTCGCGTGTCAAGCGCTTCAGAGGAGAACGTGATAACGTCTTTCATGTGAGTAGCACACTTATAGCTTATTCTCGTTCTGAATTAACCTACAGGATCGCTTTCGAGAATACCTGAAGGTGAAAGGTCTTCTACCAAAGGCTCGAGACAGCCCCCTCTCTCCGGTCCCGAAGCCGGAAATCATGCAAGCATGGCACGATGGTGAGGGGGATGGTCCCGATGTCACTGCTCCCCTGATCGAGTGGTCATTGCCGCTGAGTTCTGCATGGAACAAGGAGGTGATCCACATCATCACTGAGGAGTTTCTCAAGCAGGTAGCAGGAGGCGAGCACCCACCGCTTGTGTCTGATCCAGCATGGACAATCACGACGGCATCACAGTGTTGCCTGCGCACGCTGCAGAATGGGCCTCACAAGCGATTCACAGAAGTGGAATTAATGGAGGACGAAGAAGTGGAGTCAGCGAGGAACACTGCGAAGAAGCAACGTAGGAAGAACAGTCGCAGGGAGACGGTACGTCATCTCAGTCTTTGATTTCGATTTGACTTATATATATTTGAAGGTGTATAAACGGCGTGGTGACATCATCGAGGTCAACCTTCAAGACAATCCGGCAATCTGGGGAAAAGTCAAGATTATCCACATGGCCTTAGGTCAAGGAGGCATGAGTTCGGACGAGACCGATGGCGAGTATACTCGTCGCAACGACAAGAAAGTTCGACGTGTTTGCTTGCCATGGCGCCATCCCTCTCTTGCTGCGTTTTACAGGAACGTCGATTCTTATGAGGATGTGCACCCACTTCATCTCACGGAACAAGGCAATTACTCGCTGTCTCGCATCTTTGAAGCAAATGTGTCGTCATCGTCCAAGAGAAAGCTGATCACGCAGTTGCCGAAGAACTTCTACAACCCTGACTGGATGAAGACTATCACTCGTGCTCAGCGCAGTACCCTACAGTTCAAACTGGCATTCGAAATACCTGACCTCGTAAGAAGCGTCTTTGTGTGTCGTCATTTGCTGGCTCACGTGTGAACCATAGCCAGAATTCGCGGCGAGGAGAAACTAATGATACGGACTTAGGCAAATTACCTTCCACGGTGATCGCGGATGCGCTGACAGATCACATCGGTTGTAGTAATTGATCGAAATACTATTGTCATGTGTAGCTCCGTGCAGAGAATTCTGAGTTCTGAAGCTTCCTGAGCTGCCAAGCTGATCCGACGGTCAATGATTCTGCGTGCATCGCCATCTCATTATCCCTTATCGGTCCCATCCAGATATGCAGCGTTATTGTTCTCGTCATTGGCTGAAACACGATGGTGGATCCCCAGGTGAGCTGATGCGCCTGTTCACATGCTCTGTTCGTGAACTAATCATTCAGTGCCACCATGGGCACTGCTGGACCGGTTGTGCATTGTCCGCGGTGAATCAATGGTAAGTCTTCCATTGTCCGCTTCAGATCTCCATTGTTCTCACTGCTTCGTCACTCACCCCGCTGAAGTCTCGGATGCACTATGCGCTGGTCGCTCTCGAGCATATTTAACTTCGAAAGAATCTCCATCCCACACTGTCCCATGGGCTCGAATTATAGCACGCTTCGCTCCAGTTCCCCAAGCATACTTGGGAAACGGTCTACTCTCGATGATGCTCTTGACGCACCGCCAGCGAAAAGGCTCATGTCAGAAGTAAGCTTTCTGCATCCTCTGACCTGCAAGCACATATACCAATGATCACAGTTCTTGCGCGCCTTGAACCATTGCACAAAGCAACAGCGCTGTGGATTTGTCGAAGATGCCCAGGTACGAGTTCTATGCTTTTCATGCCGGTAGTGTACTCATTGTTTAACCTTTAGGTTTTGTCCAAGCGTCGCCATGAGGAGGACGATTCGCAGCGTCACAAGAAACTTAAAGAAGATGATTCCAATTCACAGACTGATAAGAGGGTTGTTGTGCATGCGGTACGGTCTGCATCATGCAGTCAGTATTCAGACTGATGCACTTTCTCAGACACATCATCCAGTCAATTCAAAGCACGTATTTCCCTTTTTGATGCTCCCGGTCGAGCTAGGCAATATCATTCTCCATATTTTGGCGAACGATCGTGACACGTTATACACACTTTCACTTGTGTCTGGGCTTCTCCGAGTCTACGTACTGCCGCTCTATCTAAAGGCCGCAGGCTTCATTGATTCCTCGAACAATGTCGGTCCAGTCATAACTTATGAGCACACACGGCCCGTCATCGTGTGGCGCGGCATGCAAGGCCTTCCTACTCCCCCATCTATGTGGATCTGTATCATCGCGAATGCAGCAATGGCCAAATGCCAGCTTTACGGGTTGGCGGGATTCTTCATCTCGAGTCGTACCCAGCTCGCTATATCCAACATTGTCATCGAGCTTCACAACGCGCGGCTCGCTCTAGCCACATGCAAGTTCCTACAGACCGTGGCCACGTCAGGGGTGTCGCACCTATGTCTGAAGTTGCTCTAGCGATCTTCGAGCTATCGAGTCTCCTGAAGACATCCCTGTCGTCAACTCCGGTCTATTTTATCCTCGTCTGCAGAAGATGCAGGTCAAATCTGCCGTATTCTTCTCTGCGGAGTACATTAGTTGGATGGTTCACACCCTCAACAGTGCAGCGCTCACTGCGCTCGATCTCCAGCTCGACAACAGAGGTTCACCATCGTGGCGTCTTATTTTACCTCACCTCCACATGGAGCATCTGGAAACCCTCTACATCGATGGTGCGCTACCCATCAACACAATTTTCCGTTTCCTCCTTCATCATCCCAGCATATGTGAGCTCCGGATTGGTCACTTTACTCGCCCTGGTTTCCTCCCCTACACCGCCCATCCACCTAATATGGACCACCTCGAAGTCCTCGTGGGTTCTCACGACTACATAATCCCCTTACTTGCACGGGGTCTTCCTGCACTGCAGCGTCTTGTGGTCATACTGGATCATCCTTTCGCGATTGGCCTATTTCTCAATTCCGAGCTCCGAGGGGTGATAAACAGTGCTCGACGCTGTACGCGTCTCCAAGAGCTCGACATCGCCCTTCCCTGTGGTTACATCGCACAGCCAGAATCCGACTCGTTCTTCATTGTAGACGACCCACAACACCTTCGCACGAAACGCGGTCTTTCGAATGTGCGCACGATCACCATCCGCGCTACATGGGACGCAGATGAATTTACCTTATCTTCAACTCATCTGAGTGTTCTTGTAAGTTGCCCATTTCATTCGTTGCTTCGCCGCCATTCACATCAGCACAGAACAGCTTACCGGGGTGGCTAGATCTCTTTCCTTCGGTACGACACTTGCGTATAGTCGAGGGGCGCAGCGTCAAGTTAGACGCCAATCGACGTGCACAAGTCACTCAATTATATTGTGCTTGTCCTTACCTAGAAGATATATCGATGTATGTGGGGGATAGGCGCCTGGCAGAGTGTTGGAAGTGCGAGATCTGATGTATTTCCATGTCATGTATGTGTAAAGAAGTCAATGCCATTGAGCTTGCTGATGATTGTCTTGCGAGATCAGCCTCCAACCTGAAGACTTTCCATGACTTCCGAAGGTCATTTCAGGCACAGTAAATAAAAGTACAACAAACGCGGCCGACAATTATACAGAACCCCCGCGGAATGCCCCACACCCGACTGCCTCCCAGTAACCTTGTGCACATCTGATCAGTCAGGTTATCTACCGATATAAATCACTCATCTTAAGGACTTACGTTAGACCGCCTCAGTAACATTGGAGAAGGGCGGCGCGGAGGAGGGCGGCGTGGTGGAGGGCGGCGCAGCGGAGGGCTGCGCGGTGGAGGGCAGCACGGTGGAGGGCGGCGTGGAGGGCGATGCCCCTCCGGTGTTGATACCAAGGGCCGCACGAATGATCTCCACAGCCCGCTGCACCTTCAGTGCGATAGCCTCAGTCTGACTTACGTTGGCGCTAAGGGCCCGAATCTGGTTCTGTAAGTCACTGATGGAGGGTGCTGAGGCCACAGCAGTGCAAACAATGTTAATATTGATTCACGTCAAAATGTATAATCATCACTTACGACCACAATTAGCCATGAGGATCAGTTTGGACAGTAGTGGGGGGATGGTGGTGGTGGTGGTGGTGGTATGCTCCGAACGTGAGATGGGGAAAGACTCGGAGACACCGCAATATATATAGGCATACCCCTCATGGGTCCCACGTGCCACGAAATTTATAATCTGACAGATCCAAAACAATAGACGCATTTTCACGAATTTCGCATCACGTACTCTGGGGTAAGAGAGGGTTCCCCATAGTACGCGAAGCGAAATTTGTGGAAATGCATCTACTGTTTCCTTGAAAGGTAGCTCCAGACTTATGGTGGCTTCAGACTTATGGTATAGTTATGTCCACTTCAAATGAATTTATTTTCAGCAAGGATTATAGAAAACTTATTTAATCTATCTTTAAATGTCCACATCGCCGAGCGGCACTTTGCGCACGCATGTACCTCGCCTCGCCCGTCTTCTCATCGCGAGTCATGCAGATGGCCTGGCAGAATGAATTGACGAGGTCCTTCGTGGTCTATACTTATCCTGTCGAGTCTCACACGTGACCTTCGCAGCCTTCGCGGGTGCCTGCCTAATGGAAGGACTAGAGATAATTCTCCGTCCGCAAATGGAGCGCAAGATACATTAATATTGAGCGAGGTACATGACACGAACAGCGAAACCAATGCCCCCCGCAAGCAGCTCAGGCACCTGGGAATAGTGAATACAGGTGTCATCAATAGGATTTTGATCCACGTACGCACCGTAAGGGGGAGGGGGAGGGGTGCTCAATGATCCTCGCTCGGCGTGGACCAGCGCAGCCAGGTCGGCTGTAGCCTCTGCATACTCTCGAACATGAACTGCACGTCGTCCCGACTGTTCGACTCGGAGCTCCATGGTCTTCACCTCCTTCTCTAAGATAAGGATCAGCTGCATTAATTTTTGTTGTTCACGCTTTAGGTCCTCGATCTCCTCCAGTAAGGACATGCGCGTGTCCAACGAAGGTGGACGGGATGTGCTCGCCACGTCCGTCTCGGTACTAGATTTTGGACATTGGACTGGGGACACGGAGACCTGTAGGCGAGTAACGTCAGCAACTGAAATGTGGACAGCGAACTTCCGCATCCACCTTGTCTGACATATTTGCGGCCGACTTTTCGAAATTCTGAGGGAGTAGCGTGGACAGCGAAATCCGGGACGGATGGCGATGGGTTCGCGTTATCAGCCTGGCAGCAGCAGGCAGGATATATAAAGGCAACATACCTGGGATTAGAAGCATCGTGCTGGATGGTTCCACGAATACCTGTTGCGGAAGTCAACGAGAAGCACGGCGTCAGCACGGAATTCATGTAAGCGATGTGCATAGAGCACTCACATGGTACGCTCAGGTGGTCGATCGTCGTAATTTCCGACCATTCCATGAATACGCGCCAGGTATTGTAGAAAGCGGAGACGTCGAGACCTTGACGAAGGACCGGTATTTGCGAGTGATCGTTATGTAGCATCTGTAATATCTGTATAGCCAGAGTGAGCCGTGGACGATACGTCCATGGGCAACAACGTACGGTTCCGGGCTTTCAAGCAGAGCCAATATTGGCCTGTGGGTTGTTCTAGCGGCTCAGGCGCCAATTAATGGTGCGTTTTCGCGGTTCTTATGTTTATGTTTGGTACAAACCCGATATGACGCTCAATCATCAGAGATGTGGCTCGGATGGCTATGATACAGGTTCTAATACAATGTATACTATTGGCCCCTAATTCAAACAGGCGCGGCGGCGCACACGAGAACAGCTCAGCGAGAAAGAGGGCACCTGCACAGAAGAGGGCGTTACGAGGAAGCCCTCAGGGCATCGAAGTGGGCAAGGAAAAGGGCAGCGATGACGGCACTGGAGTGGAAGAGGGTGATGGCATCGACAATGACAACGGCGAGGAGGGCATGGGCGAGGAGGAGGAGGCAGACATGGTGATGGAAGAACTGGCCAATATTGCAGGGATGATGGAAATTCGAAGGCAAGGAAGAAGGCGCCCAAATTCTGGACAGCGGCCAGATGGCGCACGCGGTGTATTTGTGCGAGACAAACAGAGGCTGAGAAGCGGCTCGTGACAAGCGGCTCATGACAAGTGGCCCGTGATGTGTGGCTGCCTTATTTGCGCGGGACAAAGCGACGGGATGCGTCAAAACTCCGCTGGAGGTGGAATGGGTGTTTCTTTCCTCTTGTTCTCGTTCCACCACCATCTCTCAGCCGTAGCGCTTGTCATTCGCTATGTGGCCTGGAGCCTTTAGTAACGTTGTAGTGTAGTTCGCTCTCTTTTGTAGTTTCATTGTTATTTATTCTTGTGGGGTCCTCATTATCTTTAGCTATAGTATAGGTAGCCAAGCTGCCGGACGGTTTGTTTCATCACCCTTTTGCGCCGGTTGCATACCAGAGTGGGATACAATTGAATTGCAGCTGATTTGGTTATTGATTACCTTACGCGTAAAAATTTCTGAAGACCCTTGACATTAACGCACCCGTGCAGTTACAGCCAGATCGCGCCAGGTCAATTGTACACGCTGAGGTTGATAGGCTGACAGGCTGACAATAATGTATGTGCACGATATGGACGAAGGGCGGTGTAGCTATACTGACATGTTTCTCAATGTATAGGAGAATGCGGCGCTTGTGCATGCTCACGCATAACTGCAGGAGCAGCTGCTACATCGGAAATCTTCTCGGTGACACCTCATCACCAGCAGTGCGACGTTGAAGGACATTGCGCGTGTTACTCGGAAGTAATTGTACATGTGGGCTGATTGATGATGAACGCCTCGTGGTCGAAGCCTCGTGTACTCCAAGCGACATCTCATAAGATATGATTGCTCACATCTAACGGACACTATCCCGACCTCTCAGTACCACTGACGCTGCCATGTCTTCAAAGTGTGCGCGGAAAGCGGTAAGTACTGCAGTCAGTTCTTACATTTTCAATCCTCATGCATGGAATGCCAAGAACCCATACTTGGATATCGAGGCTATCGTCGACAACGAGGAGGAGGAGGAGGAGGAGGAGGAAGAAGAAGAAGAGGAGGAGGAACTGGGTAAGTGTCTCAGCTGTGTTATTGGATATATCTTACAGCTTATTTCCAGCCGAGTTGCTCGCCGACGTCCAACGCACTCAACAAGCTCGGGCGCATCTTGATAATGCATGTGTTGGCGACGATGCTGCTGACGCAGAAGCCATGGCCCAGTCTATTACGGAGAGAGACATGGTGGCTAGACGTGCACAGCGGGCCTCGCAGTCGGGTGGCGCAGTCGTCTCTCTTGCCCCCGATGGAATCCACCTTCAAGCTATGGAAAATAGTTTCCTCTCTCCTTGGGTGTGCATCTCGCGTGGTACATATGAGCACGATGTGGCCTTCATGGAGTCGCGAGAGGACTCTCTCCTCCGCGTCTGGGTGGTTCCGCGCTTGCCTACTACAAAAAAGCGGCAGCACGGAAGAACTTCTCAGCAACCGATGCCGCCAGCATTACTGAAGGAGTTGTTCGGAGAGGCTGTGACAGAAAGCGAAGGTGATCGGCTGATACATATTCTCAAGGGCAAGAAGTTCAAAGGCGGCCTCCTGCAGCTCGAACTCACTTTGGACCGGGTGACTTTCGACGTCCACACGACTCGAAACGACGTATTCGTCTTTAATGCGGCGAAATTCGTGCCAAAGACAGCGATAGCGAAGCTCATTCTATTCTGTGTTGACTTCGAACCGGCTGCAGGCACGCGTGTGATCATTATACAGGGCGAGCAATGCGGCCTCATCGGTGTTGTGCATTCAGTCATTAATGGACAGGCTACGCTAACCAATCTCTACCACGAGAAGTTGGATGACGAACTTTCGTCTCTCGTGCTACCTGTAACTCAGTTACACCCCCTTTGGGCAGTTGGCGATGCGGTCAAAGTTAAGACGGGCCTCCATGCGGGCTTGGAAGGGCAAGTGATTGCCGTGGATGATTTCGATGTCACGATTGTTCATGCGAACAAAGTCGAGGTATGCTGTGCACTTCTCATGCAATTGCAATCCTTAATAGCAGAACTTTCCTCAGCATGTATGTTCTACGTACGACGATGCTTCCAAGTACTGAACTTTTCTCAGCGAACTAGAAACCCAATAACAGGAGTCTTTCATACTTCTTCTGTGTTGGAAACCTCTGAGGTATGTCCCACCACCTGCGACGTTATCGATGCTCAAAACTCGATATAGCATCATGTGTTACCCTGAGATCTCTTATCACAGAGTCCGAGGCAGAATGGACCTCGATACAGCCATCAGTGACAGTATCAAGGCCGGGAGAGCAGCACCCCTTACGCTCTGAGACGCAAACAGAGGAAGAGGTGGAGATGGAGCTTGCCCTCAAGCATCCTGACCAACGGAATCCCGACATCGGGCGAGTGGTGCATGTCATCAAAGGCCCTTTGAAGGGATTTGTGGGCACATTGCGAAATGTCACGTACCACGGCGATTACGAGGTTGAGCTTGAAGCCAAGCTTTTAACCTCGAGGGGCGTCCTTTTGTTCTGAAAGCCCGAGATCGCATTCCGGTCAGAAGAAAGGTAAGATTCATTACTTGTAGTTCTGGTCATATCTAACTGCCTCATTGCAGGGGCAACATCGACACGGCGGAGCGTGGTCTGCTCCCTGAGCGGCCTTGGACCCCATTGGGCCACGAATTAGAACCCGCGTCACACGACACAGATTCGGCGTGGGCGTATTCGGTGGAACTTGATGGTGCGTAACCGCGCCGCCACTACCGAGCGTCCACTGAATCCACATTAGGACCCGATGGATCGATGTCTTCAGTCGAACCTAATGGTGCGTAGCCTCATCATCAACACAAAATGTCCGCTGAATTCACATCAGGACCCAATGGATGGATGCTGGATGCGGCTGTGGCACCTGCATTCCATACTTATCGCTTCAAGTTCATGTGCACAGCTGGTCAACTCCAAGACAAGCTGATGACCATGATGAAGGGAGCCTCCCCAGTGGACGGCAAGGTGTGATGCGAATACCGGACGCGAAAGCTGGAATATGCCGATGTCTCTCTCCAAGACCTCGCCATATTGCGACCAGGCCCTGGCGATTATGCGATCGTGTGTAAGCGTGGCCCCAACTTCGGAGCGTACGGCAAAACGATGCGGGGTGTGGCAGACCCGCTTGTTCTAGTACTGGAAGAAGGCGGCAGGACGCTTAGGGTGGATAGGGATGACTTGGCCCAGCTTGTGTGCAAATAAGTGGTTTCCTCGTAATTTTACGTGCTGTTCCTGTCCCTTGCCCCTCGTCGTTGCATCCTGCGCTGTTTGTCAATGTCCTGTCGTTTGCCGCTTTCTCATTATATACAGTTAATGTACTTCCTTTGATCGAACTTGTGCTTGTGCTTGTGCAATCTCCCACGACCAGTTGAAAAGCCGCTGAGCGGTACACTTGGCGATTCAATGACCACTAAGCGGCCATCGAGTGTGCCACTCGTCAAGCCGCTTAGCGGCGCTATGGGTGTCCGACCTCCTTACAGTTTGAATATTAGGTCAAGGGTGTGAGGCCCTGACATCTCACCTCATATATAGACTCTAATGTCAAATGTCAAATGATCATACATTGTAACTTTGTGTCGCCCTTATACTAGTTCGATATTTAATCTGTTGTCTGCCCTGAAAGGCATAATGTCGATCAGAATTTCTTCCCGCCGGACATGCCGAACGAGACCTAAAATTTTCGGACGAATGTTATATGGTAACATAGCCATTTGCGAACATTGTATATGTTGCAATATCACACATTATCAATGTGTGATTTGGGTATCGCATGCCCAGACATCAGGCCTTACATTGTAAACATATTTTCGACCGTCGGAGCTACATACGGGCCGTCATACATGTACAGTGTTAGGCCGGATGTTCCCACAATGTAAGGAACTTAGATATTAGTCCCCGTCTCCGGTGTCAGTGTTATCAAACACTAGTAAAATTACAGCTCCGTCTAAATTGTCCGACCTCTCGACAAGGAGTCAGAACCTAGACTAACTTTGAGGGCAAGTAAAAACATCCCATGATAATCCAAAGCTCCAGCCACATGGTAGAATTGTAGTCCAAATCGCATCAGAAAACGTATGCGTGCCATCCACATCAGTAGACAAATGGACACCGCACTAGCAGAAGGCGCTAAGACCTATTACTGAGGTCCTTCAACTTCTTCGAGAATGCCTCACGGCACTGGTAATGCGTTACTTCACCGCTAACGGACAACATTAGAAACCTCCGGGGATGGGTTTGACAAGCTCTCTTACCGAGGAGCATGAACTGCGATCACGCTATGGCCGATGCGTTTATGACATTGCGGACATCTGTCAACGTTGATAGTGAGCAGGAAACATTTCGTGCAATAGGAAGAGCACGCACATCCGACTATCCGTCACCCGCACCCGCTTCGTCTGCAACGCCATCAGACGCCGCGTAATTTGATCCTCTCGCGCCTTCGCGATCTCGCGCACAACACGCGTGTCAAGAATAGGCGCACGCAGCGCAGACCGTAGGAAGTCGCGCACGTCTGCCGTCGCCACGAGCGGCGGCAGGAGCTGTAGTGTTTCTACGGAGTCCAAACGTGGCCCATGCCTGCTAATGAGTGCGAGCGCCGGTTGGAGGAGGTCGGCGGAGGCGAAGCGCGGTGACGTCGGGCGGAGGTACGTCCGGAGGAGTGTGAGGAAGACATTGGATGTCTCACTTCCCGGCTTGTAGACACGCTTGCAGTACCTGAAATCTTATTCTGTCAACTACAGCCAAGAGACTTGCAAGGCGAGGGGAGACGTACGCCTCCGCCTTGGTGTAATCCTCCAGACGATATACGTATATCTCGAGCGCACTGTCGTGCCTACCCAAGCGCCCCAGTAGAATTGCTTTGGCTTCGAAGAGGTCTGATGCGAACCACCAATCAGTTGTCAAAGTCGGAAAAGGGGGATAACATGGTAAACGTAGCTGTACCAACCTTCTGATGGCAGAAGACCGAACACCCGGTCAACTTGGTAGTGATCTGTCGTGTCGATAAAGCGAAGCAGTTTGGCATACGCCGTCTGCCCCAAATCTGAAGTTTTTGTCAACATTGAAACCAGAGCAAAGTAAGTCGCAAAAAGTGACCTTCATTGCCCTGCTTCTTCGCCGACATGGCCATGCGCAGATACAGCTCCGCCAGTCGGTCATGGAGCAGCGAAGACTCTTCCGAACGCTCATCAATGAGGTACTCCAAGTAGCGTGCGCATATACTCAGGTCGATCTTCTCCAGAAACTCGGCAACGCGTTGCCGTGGCAGCTCAGCTTCCTCCGACGTGAAAATCTGGCATCGTGAGTGTTGGTTATTTGATGCAGCGTGCTGCCTTACCTCCAGCGCGATCTCAGAGTCCCGGTCGAACAGCCAGCGTGAGTACTCGAAGATCTGCTCCATATTCTCTGGTCCTAACCGCTGCAAATAGGTGACTGACGGCATGAGCTTGTCTCGCGTGTCGGTCTCCTTTTCGCTCAGTCTATCGGCGTATGATCAGCACACTGCCCTGACTCAGATTGTGCAGTAGCCGATGATAATACACACTGTCGTAATAAGTCCAAAGCCTTGCCATGCATCTTCCTTCCATTATACAGATAAATCAATTCGGAAAATTTCTGTTCGATGCTACCTTGAGTATTATCGCAAAGGTAGAGACATCGTATCATACCTCGCGAGCCTGTAGGACCTCCTCGACCTCTGACACTTCGCACCAATTCGGCTGTCGACATAGAGGCGCAAGCAACCCTGGCCTGACCAGAAGGTACGACTTAAAGAGTGCGGTGTCCACAATTTGCGCGAAGCGTACAAGTTCTTCCGGCGTCAGTGCAGAGAGCGGAGCATTGGGCAGCCCGAACAGTTCATCTATGGAAGTTGCTGAGAGGTAAGGCATCCGATGGGATTGGGCAGAGGTGATGCTCAGCGCCTCGAGGGCTCCTGTAGCCTTGCGTCGACATTCCGAAAGGTACCGCATCAGGGACTCAACAGACCGGTGGAAGTCATCTGCCTCCGTTTAAGCCCAGGCCTTCTACTACCGATAGAAAACTGTACCTTTCCGTATTTCCTTTCGCTTGCCGGTGCCGCTAATTGACGAGGTATCGTCGTCCTTTTGTGCCACGGAAGTGACCGATTCCAAGCCGGTCTTCAAGACACCAAGCACAGAACCCTTGGGTGACGGTGCTCTCAGTGGGACATCTCCGGTAGTAACAGAACCCTCTCCTTCCCCTTCCTTTGTGAGGTCCTCAACTGGTGGGGGGACGACGCATTTGGGTCCTCCGAATAGTGGTATCCACGCATCCTGGGGAACAGACAATCTGCCAGCCACGCTTTCCGGATACAGTGCAACTACTTTCGCAGGATTTATGTCTAGGTCTATAAAGGTGTTGATGGCGTCGTCATAGTGTGTCGCCCGAAATTGTGAGACAGCATGCAAGGCTTGAACTTGGCGCTGTCTGCGGTCCTAATTCACGAAATTCGAAAATAAGTCATTTACTGGCATGCAGAGCGGATAGCTGACCTTGTCGGGCAAAACTGCTGGATCTATAGAGTCCAGTATTGCCAGTGCATTCTCGTAGGAGCCTTCCTCTACTAGTTCGTCGATTTGCTCATTCCATGTCTTCATTCGAAACTCCCAGATTGAACTGCCAGCGACAGCGGCGGTAGCGCGGTCTGTAGGGGTTGTTACAAGGTACAAAGGTGACTTTGCCGTGGACGACGCAGTCAGTAAGCGGACGATATGGTGGTGGCTCGAGATGCCCTCCGAAGTAGGTGGGAAAGGCAGAGTTTGCACGGGCAACAGCGAGAGAGAAGAGCGAATGTCGATGACGGGAGATGGAATGAAGGATGGCTGGGAGACGGCGGCTCCCGATATACTACCTTCGGCTTGAGACGCTGGAACGGAGCCAGGGGGCATTATCGAGAAGATGTATGGCTTCACGAACGCTGCAAAGATTAGGATGACTGATCGTATTGAACGTAGACGAGCTTTGCCCTACCTAAGTCTTCTGGGGGTGCGGGCCAATCTATATTGGTGGATCTGGTAACTTTCCCCTCAAGGCCAAGAAAAATACCATTATCTGAGTGACTCTGTCATATCGCATTCTTCAATCTCACAAAATGTTAATTTACTTACTATCCTTCGCAACAAGAGCTTCATTGTCACTGATGTTAATGAGGCAAGGTCTCGCCTTTGCGCCAAGTCCGAGAGTCATGTAACCACCGAGACCACTGAGCGCTCCCATACCCTTAGTGCTGATGCCTACGCCGGAAGTGGTCGGGGAAAGAGGTGCCGTAAATTCGATAGTCGAGAACGTTTTGATGGAGAAGACAGCAAAATCTGTCGGCATGTAGCCGAAACATATAACGTTGTTGTTCAAGAATGTCATCGAACGAGGGGAATGCGGTAGAGTTGCTTCCTAGCGGCTACAATCAGCCAACTACGATCGAGTTTTTATGCAGACTGCGTTGCACCTGCACATCCTGTGGTTCTCCGTCTTTCCATGAGTATAAAACAATCTTCCTCCTACAACCGACCGCAAGATACGTTACAACAGATGGTACTTCCTTGGCCTTTCCGAAGTCTCCGTCCGAAGAAGGTTGTGACTTGCCATCCAAGTTACCGTACACAATACCGGTATATGTTGCAAATGAAAGAGCTCCCTTCGTCTTCGTGAGAGGGGTGGGAGGAGCAAACGCCGGTAGCGGGTATAATGTCACCAGCGAGTCTATAGGTAATGATCAACGAAAATATGTCTAAAGTAGCGTGGGAGCAGATGCAGACCAGTCAGTACGGCTAAAGAATTCACGTCCTTTAGAAAACCCATGTGTTCGATAGCTCTCCGACTAAGGGCCTTCTTGGTTTCCAGGAACTGTGCCTCTTCACCTACCGTAATGAGAGCAGAGTGATTAGATGGAGCTTACATTGGTCGAAGATACTTACCAGCAGCACTCAAAGTGTAAATATGCAAATTGCCTGTCGATGTTCCAACGTACAATCTGTCTCCTGCATGAACGTCAACAAGACTCGGGGTGATTCACAAAGAGTATCAACCTTGTACAGTCAGAGCTTCCGCCCGTTCCTTAAAGCCTCTTACAACGACACTCGGAGCTGAAAATGGCGCCATTTGAGAAGATTTCCTAATAGCTGGTCATGGGGATTGGATGGGGTATCGGATGTAGCGAGCGGAAAACGCAAGTGGCGGTGGGCGCTTCGCACGACGCGTCGACCACGTGCGGACCCTCTCGAAGCCGGCCCGGCCCGGGCAGTCTCCTTATAGTGGTACACCACCAGGCGAGGCGGATACCGGGCGGATACCGGGTCCGAAAAGATTTGGCCGGTACTTAGCCTGTAACCGCTGATTACATATCGTGCATCTAATGGGTAACTACAATCAACTAACCGTTTGGTACATGAATTAAGATCCCCATTATTTACCTGCTGTAGTTACTTTGTAGTGACCCACTACTGTGCTATTACGACCAATCCGGCCAGTCACGCGTCCGAACGGGGTTGGCCTGGCCGGAATCCTAGGCATGTCCTATGTCACGGGTGTAGTGGCCGGATTGGGTACCCAGACCGTGACTTGGCCGGCGGGCCGGTCACCCCGTCAGTTTTCCCTCCCCAGCGGCTGGCTTGGCCGGCTGGCCGCAATGTGTCCACCGTCCGCTGTCACGACTGTTCCGGCCAGGTGGCCGGATCGTTACAAGGCTGTCCGTTGTCACACCCCCGGCCGGATTGGTCGTAATGGCACAGTAATTATCCTCTATGTAACTAGCGGTTACCGCCTGGTGGCAGGGGACAATTACTGGGCAGTTAACTGGACTTGGGTACCTGGCAGGTACCCAGAGCTGGTGTTGCAGGGTCCAGTCCGGTCCGGGCTTTTGCCTTTTTTGGCCAGGACCAGGACCAGGACCAGTCCTGTTACGATCAGTAAGGACTGCAGTCCTGGATTAGTCTGGACTGGTCCAGGTCCAGACTCAGTCTTGGACCAGTCTTAACTGGTCTTAACCGGTCCTGGACTGGTCTTTGTTTACTTTGACTCCTGTTGAGAGATTAAGACATGGTATACACAACTTGTGAGAGGGTTGTACTTCATTATTACTAGTGTTTTTGCATTATATCTAAGCCTTACTTGAATTCTAGTTTGCTATCATGCTAACTTCTCAGCTTTGGCCTAAATTTTGAGGTAAAACAGGCTTTAACAGTACCTAAACAGTATCAGTCCAGGACTGGTCCTAGACTGGTCCTGGACCAGTCCTAGCAGTTCTAGGAATTCTGAAAACCTTCAGGACCAGGACCAGGACCAGGACCAGGACCAGGACCAGGACCAGGACCAGGACCAGGACCAGGACCAGGACCAGGACTGGCCCAGATAGCAGTCCTATATGGTCCACTGGTCCTGAGGCAGTTCTGGACCAGTCCCAGGACTGGACCCTGCAACACTACCCAGAGCTGGTTATCCGCTGGGTATCCAATGGATACCCAACGGATAACTGTGCAGCAGTATGCCAGCAAGTACTCAAGTACTTGTCTACATAGTGCTATATAGGAACAAATTACTGTCTATGTACTGTCGATAATGAGCAAGTGCGATCGTAGGCACTCTCTAAGTCCATCCCGCTGTAGCCTGTCACTGTTGCTATCCACGTTGCTGTTACCATCGCCGCCGGCATCACTATCAACCCAAGCCGCTTCTTGTAATGTTTCTGGGGGGATGAAAAAAAAGTACTTTTGAGATTTTGAAATTCCAAGATCAGTACTCACTAGCAAGCTAAAATAAGTGTAAGATAGAAGAGAAACCCCTGAGGCAAGAAACTGAAATGAGTTGGGAGAGTTGAGAAGTTGAGCTCATCCTGCCATTTGTTGAGCCTTGTTTGACTTGTTCAAACACATGGGCGTCTTTGACTTCGTGATTTTTGACTGCTCACACCCTCATGCTCATGCGTTGTCTTGCAATATCCCTTTCTTGTGACACACAATCTTGTGCTTCTGATTTTCACACATGTCTATGAAGTGACAGCATCAACATGCAAACACCGAAGAGAGCAACACTATTATCCACAAGACTTAGTGCGAGGCATGCAGCATCACAATTGGTGAGTTCCTAAATCCTTACTACAGTGGCATATCTCTTAGCACAAGACCCATAGCATGCAGCAGTAAGACTACTCACTAGCTTCTGTACCTACTTCTGCAGTGCACCCTGCACTAACCTCCCACCTTTCACCATGTTTTGCTGATGTGCTTGCTATTCCTCTCACTGTGTTCCAGCCCATCCTATACTCTTCTGACATTCTTTTTTACATGCTATATATTCCTCTACAGTGCTGTAGTGTAGTAATGTCATACAATTGTATGTGGTATAACCTGCCTTTTGTGATTGCCTGCAGGGACCCACAGATCATGTGATAGATACTTGTGAGGTGCTCAGCAGGTACTGACATGGTATCCAGCTCCTGTTACTCACTGGGTACATTATAGATATTCCCAGTTTACTTGGTAGACAGCCATCATTGGTTACACTACAGTTAACTATATTATTTACTTGGTAGGTACTGTGTCAAAACCCTCTGATGGGTAACTGACAGTTATCTGTCAGGTAACCTCAGTCTTGGTTATCCATCCTGTATCTGGCTCATCTGGTGGTGTAGGGTCGGCCGGAAATTAAATAAATTAAATAAAATTAATTCAAGCAAGTGAGAAAGTATTCATTCTGCATCTTTGCATGATGCTCAGCATGTTCTCAACTCCTGCGCACAGGTGCCTTGGTGTATGAATATCAGATTTCATATCACTTACACAAAATCCATGATGATTTTCTAGAGTTATATTCAAACTATGCAGTACAGTCAGACATGTAAACACAACTATAGGGATGACATCAGGAACTCGGGATAGCTCCATAGGCTCTATATGGTAGCAGATGGAGCCCCGGAGTGATGGAAATCCCCCCTATCATACAGGGCAGGCCATCTCCATGCCATACTGGATGGAGATCACATCTCCGCATAGAGCTGGATGGAGACAGCATGTGGCTCATGGGAAATACTCATGAGCACCAGGGACAGGCTCAAGCTGTTGGATATTCTTGAAAAATACTCATAGAGCATATAGGAAGAGATATCAATGCTGTCTAGATACATTTGCTTGCTTGAGGCATTTAGCTCTTTCTGTCTGAAGCTGGCATCTCCATGTAATGGTACAATCTCCATCCAGCTCTGAATGGAGCTGAGGAGATCTATCCTCCATACAGAGGAATCCCGATTCTCTATTCCCTAATGGGCTCTTCTTGTGATGCAACTAAAGAAACTCAGGGTTCTGTAAATTTTACATGTTGATAACATGCAAAAATCCTTCAAATTTTATCCTCACCTTTCGAGAGTGTATGTCCATCTTGCAAGTTAGCACAATTGAACTTCAGACCACTGTGTGATTGCACTGTAGCCATCTGAATGCAATGAGGTTCTCCTGCAATGTAAAATTTTTTCCATGACATCATAAGTACTGTACTATTTCGACCACTTTGGCATGGTGGTGTGACATGTAAAGTTTAAGTCTAGCACTACAGCAGATGATTGAGAGAGGTGTGACACACTGATGCTATAGTGTCACAGGTGCTAGAAAATAGGGCTGGCATGGCCAAGAAGGCTGTGACATCACCACTGTTAGGTGGCAAAGGGCCTTGTTACAGTATGATACTGACCAAATTCCGTTGTGAATAATGTGTGTGTTCATCAGGAATAACACTTTTGCTCTAGGTTACTCTAGGAAGTATGAATTTTTTCAAAGTAGCTCAGAGCAGCTCAAAGCAGCTCAAAGTACCTCAGAGTACTCCAGCATAGCCTGAGCTACCCTCAGAAATTAGGCTTTTTTAGAGCATTTTACTGAGTTCTGCCTCACAAATTATTCATCTGGAAAAACACTATTGTTCTAGATTCTATGTACTTTTTCAGAGTGTCTCAGAGCATCTTAGAGTATCTGAAAGCAGTTTGAGCAATTTTAGGAATTTGAGACTTTCTCAGAGTATCTCAGCAGCACTCTGAATCACTTTGAGATACTCATAGAATTTACAGTATCTATAAGAAATAATCTGTTGCATTTATAAGGCTGTTACAAAATTTCCCTCTGTACTTTATATAATACTTTACATTATAACATATTTTGCTTCTGCTATTTAGCTATTATATTAAGTAAGGCCATTTGCACTTGTGTCTTTTTGTGAAAGATGAGATCATAATGTAGTTGAATTGTAAAGTATGTACTGAAGATGTGATTATAAGCATGCTTTGCATTGTGTTTAACTGAGCTACCCTCTTGTAATAGGCAGAATTTGCCCAAGTCCCTTTAGCAAAATCTCATATATATATATATATATATATATTATATGAGTGTAAGTTTATAACCAGATATAGTGTAGTGGCTAAATTGTTCAGTGTTATTTGATCATGTGACTTACCTTCAAGGTTGAGGGTTTAATTCTGGCTGATGACAAGTTGAAAAACCACCTTTTAAACTCAGATGATTTTTGGTACTTACTGCTAATCTAGATAGTGTGATGGCAATATATTTATTTTTCTAATCTCTATACTTGAGAGTTCCTTAAGGATAATTTAAAAGAATATAAGGGCAACTTAAGAGAATTCTGAGAGCTTTCTAGGAGTATCCTAGGTACACTCTGAGAGCACTCTGAGAATGTCTGAAAATTTTTGCATAAAAGACCTTTCTTTGAGAGCACTCTGAGTGCTCTAAGTGCTCTGAGTGCTTTAAGTGCTTTAAGTGCTTTAGGATGCTCTAGGATGCTCTTAGAGTAACCTGTCACCAAAGGTGTCTTTCCTGATTAGTAAGTTAAGTTTTTCAAACTCCACTAAAACCTAACTACTTCAGATGGCCTCAGTTTCAACTAACTGTTATAAAACTTAGTTAAACTCCCAAGTGAACCTGAGCATAGCCCATGAATACCCTGAGTGTGACATACCATGAATGAGTTGGAGCTGGCCTAAGGGTTCACTGGGTTAAACCTGGATGAAAATTAACCTCAGGCTCAATTTGCCCTGATTGTGTGGCATAGCATGGCAGATGTTGTTTTCAATGTTCAATTCTCCAACTCATCTCTTTGCATGTGTTGCATCTCATTTAACCCCTGTCTAACTCCTGTTGCATCTGATTTTATCCTGGGGTTTGCTGAAGACCTGATTGCATGTACTGTACTGATACGACCTTAAGTTCATGCACGTGACTTTTTCCATTTTTCAAAAAATCTCAAAAATTCAGACAAATCGAGAAACAATTATTCTTGGGGTCAGCGAAAATTGGAGGTGATGCGTGACTGAACTTAAGGTCGTATCAGTACAGTATACCTATCTGTATGTCCTTTGTTCTGCTACTTTTTCTGTGGTGCCTGCATTATCTGATGGTCTGTACCAGTACCTCAATTTTGTCACATCAAGAGCATGTCCTGTTATGCAAATGAAAGAAGCATGGTGTTCATTTGTTAACAGTATTAGACCAAGTTGTAAATCAGATATAACTACTATGACTTCGAACACACACAGAATTACAACAATTTCGATAGGGTGAATATTCGGTGAGTGAGCTGCAAGTATTTATTTTTATCTCTCATTGACTGATCTTGCTCAATGATTGTACTGTAGATCACTCACAGTTTGGGCCAGTAGGTGAGCATTGCTTTCTCTGCATGGCAGTATTTGATGTCACCACTGAGAATCTCACCACCACTTTGTGGCAAACTGCCTTAGGCACCTCCTTACCAACTGCCTGCTGCCACTCATCTGTCACACTGTTGCCCACCCGTAATGAGTTTTCCATGCTGCACGTGGTTTACATCACCATGGCTGTGATGTCATTCATGTGGCAACACATGATGAATTCATGTGCAGTTCAGACATTAACTTAAGGGAGCTGGGAACAATTGGGCTGCAGTATGTGTGTGCAGTAAACTTGCAACTGTTCGCTGGAGAACACACCAATATATTATTTTGCATATAACAATATTTTCACAAGCTAATAAGTGCAAACTGGGAAGAAAAGCACCATTTGTAAGCATGTGACCTGGCGAGCATTTGGGCCTAAGGCTCATCGCAAATGAGCCCCAGGTTAATCCAAGGGCCTGATAAACTAAGGTTCACCTCTCCCTTTTCCACATCAGCAAAACCCAACTTTTTCTTACAGAGCTATTTTGACTTTTCGGTCTTACAACCCTTATTTAAGGTAATAAGTCTTCAAATAAGTGTCAATAAGTCTGATTTCAGACACTCATATAATATGCATTAGACTCCTTTTTGACCTTATACCCTTAAATAAGGATTGTAAGTCCATTTAAGTCATTTAAGTGCCCTTTTAAGTAAAAGTTGGGTTTTGCTGATGCACCCCAGACCTTTTTCTATCCACCCAGAGTTCAACTGTTCAAGGTTCGACTGTGTTGAATAGGGTGACCTGCCTGTGTACCCTAAGATATACCCACTTTGTCTACTATCACGTGACCTTTTTGTGATACTTGGCGGAAGAAACAGTGAATAGCTAAAATCTCCACATATACTAGGACAAGCATTGAAAATCTGCTTCTGTAACTTTGTAGAATATGATTTTTGGGAATTAGTCACAAAAACAGATAATTTTATTTTGAGGGAGGGATGGAGGATTTAGGCTGTTAATGCTTCAAATTCATGCATTTCCCCGCCAATCTTGCGCCACCGTGACAGACTTTGGCTGAGGCACCTGACGTGTCACGCTGTGACGATAGTAGACGAAGTGGGTCACCTACTTATCTTACCAACGCGAGTGGAAGCAAGCAATTATTAATGACGGGAGAAGGGCAGCGAAATAAATAAATATTGCGACGACAAAAGTCCGGATGAGAGTGCTACATGTAGGTACAGATGAGTTCTAACGGTACATGAATATACAACGTAAATACAAAGTCAGTTTACTACAGCATAAGCTAGTAGTACACTGGCAGTCCGTATATAATATTAACAGGCTGTTTTGACTCGGAGCACACTCATAGCAGGTATGAGGTCCTTCTCTTCAGGTCCTGGAGAGTGCTCTGAACAATGCGAAGCCAGACAACCACCTTGTCGATCTCCTCGAAAGCGCCGTCTGTCCGTGCTACAATTTTTCTTCCCAAGAGTCTTCGTAGAGCATGAGTGTCGTCCTCATCAGTATCAATCAAGGTAGCAGACAGCGAAGTTACAGAGGAACTGGCAGATGATGATGGCGTAGATTGTACCTGGTCGTCGTTGGAAACAGTGGGCGTCGTGGTGCATGGAAACTCGATGGACTGCAAGTGTGAACCAGGTAAGCTCGAGCCGATATCCTGAGGGCAGTTCCGAAGCTGTGTAAGACGAGAATATTCCAGAGAAGCTTCGCGATTCTGCAGAGATATCTCGTCAGAAGAAAGACGGGGCATGAATGAATGTAACATGCCATGATGGCGGCATTTAAATTCCTTTCAGCCTGAGCAAGAGAACGATACGCGAGGGAAATAAAATGATCAGCCTGGAAGCAAGTAGGATTAGCGAAGGTCTAGAAACTGGACAGAATCGTTCTTACATTGTCCATGCAGCCCTCTATCTGCGACAGATCCTTGCTGGCAGTATTCAAGCATGTGCGGCACATAGGGACGACGGTTTCACGACTTATGCCAGCAGCGTGAGATCCCTGAGCAGACGGCTGAGCCAGATCAATGGAAGAGACACTACTGTTGCTGCGTGATAGCTGTACAGCGGATTTGTCATGCCCTATATTGACTGAAGGCCTTAAAGCGCGATCGTTGCCTCCGTACGATACGTCGGCTTTAATCTTCTTCCGCAACCATGCCTTGATCTTGGCAGCACCGCTCTTTGTAGAATCATTCCGATCCGAGTGCAACACTGTCAATGACGTCTGGTCTGCGACGGGGCTCGCTCTGACGTCGCTCTTGCTCTTCATCCCGGGTAAGTCCCTCACCCATGGAGGGACCAACTTCAGGAAACCTTTATCCTCACCATCCACAAACGGAGAGTCATCCGCAATGGCTGAGGGGGTGTCGTCAGAGCTGAACACCACAATCGCAGGGAATGGTGATGCTGTCCACTCGTCTGGCGGAGAGATTGCGTCCACGTGCTCTGCTTTGAGGTCCGACATCGAGCGAGACTTCCTAGCGAGCTGCACATTATCCTTGGATACAGCAGTAGCCTCCGAATCACCTGAGTCTGTAGTGCGTCGCCTAGCACGCTCGCCGAGTTCCATTTCGGAGCCAGCGACTAAAGACTCGCCGAGAACGCCCTCCAGGTTCCTTGTCACATCCTCAAGTAGACCGTCGACCTGCTTGAATATCCCGCGGGCATCCCGCAGCTCGTCCGCCGCATCATGGATGCGGGAACGCAGATGAGCCAGGAGATCATCGCTCATTTCCGACGTTTGTAGCAAGAGCTGGCGACATGCACCAACGTCGAGCGTGCTCGCATCCGCCAGCTGCAGGGATACGGATTGTAGATTGTTGAAGATACCCTGCGACTGAGACGACACAGAGGAATTCGGCTGTGGGAGATCGTGCATCTGGTTCCTTTCTGAAGATGAATGTGAACGCAAGGTCGCGGAGATGCTCGCCAGGGATGATACAGATCTGAGAGATGGAACGCTAAGGGGCCGAATGGTGCAGGCAGACGCTGACGAGGCACAGCGCAGATGCTCTGCGTCCATGCCAAAGACAGCTCGGAATTCTGGCTTCGCGACATCTACAGCTGTCAAGCTGCTACATATTAGCCGCGATGATTGGCTAGATCGTAGTACGAGGACACATACCCTCTCGAATTGCGAAGCTCACGAACACGCCCGTTGGGGTCACAAGAAAGTAAAGCTATCAAAACGTCGATACTTTGCCCACGCTCCGAAGCCACATGTAAGCAAGTGTCATTGTTATGATCTCTAGCGGAAAGAGGAGCACCAAGGTCGCGGACTAGATGACGAATGAACGACCGTAGTGTAGAACCTTGTGTATCACTTTGGGCCGGTGTGGCCTTGTGAGCCAGACAGTGAAGAGGTGTTCCATGTCCAGAAGCAGTGTATAGACTGAGATCAGCACCGGCTCGATACAGTGCATCGAGCACGCCAACAGATGGAAGTTCCGCAGCCACGCAGTGATGTATCAAGCTCCAGCCTCCTGCGTCAGGAAGGTTTATCAGTGGCAGACGCCAGGCCTGACTTCCCGTGGAAGAAGGGTGGGTGGGAAATAGTAGTGGGTAAAGAGCAGATAGATCAGCAGACAGCACCGTGCAAAGTAAGGCGTCAGACAGCCCGACATTTGATCGGGGAGAGTGAGGAGAAGAGAAAACGCTGTCGAACAATCTCGCGGTGTTGCACGCCAGAAGATGGCTGTAGAACGGCTCAGGAAGAACGGCGAGGTTACGCTTGTTGCGTGACTGGACCAGATGTGAGCAGAGAATCTTTTTAAAGGTAATACTCGGAACGGTGAACCGACCGTGTTCTCTCGCGCTCTGTGTCTCCGAAGCGCGACTTCACAGAGCCCGATAATTTCAGAATGAGGAAGGGCGTATTGAATTGATGATCGGTGGTTCATGTCTCTTAGATCGGGCCTTGCGTCATGCATAAGCTGTGATATGCTAATCAGCTGGAGACGAAATCTAACTGGACGCATCACTTACCAGGTGGCAAACCACCTCACGCCTGCCATCTCGTGCGGCATCTAGCCAATCGAGATATTAGTACATACATGCCATTCGCGGGGTTATTTAACATACACATCAGAGGTGTTGCCGCATGTGCATCTACGCCATCCACCGCCACCATGCCATTGCTACCTTCTACCAGAAGATGTACAATATCGGGAACGTTCAACCACGCAGCAAGACCTAGCGGTGTCACTCCACGCACTGGCACGTTCAGCGCGTACAGAGAGATGTCATGATGATTGAGGAGCAATTTCAGTATCCGGAGGCGTGTTTGCAGCATGTACGACGCGTCCGAGACGTCAGCATCCTCCCAGCTGTTAGAGATCAGCAAACCATAATTGAGAAGTGCTACGACGTACAAAACTCACCTCTCTCCTCCAATCGTGCAGGAAATCAGAGTCCGACCAGTGGCATCCGATGTGTTCACATCGGCACCAGAATCGATGGCAAGTCTGACAGCCTTTTCGTCTGCCCTTGCTGCTGCCTCTACTAACGAAGAATGATCAAGTGTTGTGCACTCAGCATAGTACCGAGTGTGACCTGCAGTTGCCATCCTCGCCGGGTAAAGTAATGGTAACAGAAAGCTCGTCCTGGAGTCTCAAGCCCCTGCGCAAAGAATTTAGAAAGAAATCTCGGGGTGCTGACCGTCCTTATAAAATTTTGCTGGAATGTTGGAAAGGAAGTACACGAGGCAAGAACCTGCCGGGCATCAGAGGTCCGCCTCCAAAACGAGGCTATAGTCCCACCTCGAGGCGGCGTTAAAGTGGCAGCTGTTGGGTCATCGAGAATGGTAAAAAAAGAGTAGAAAGCATTCCAGTTGTCGACAGCCTTGTGTCGAGCAATCGCACGGCTCCAGTAGAAGACTCGCGGTTTGATTTGCGTACGTCAGAGAGTGTTTTTTTTTTCTTACTGTAAAAATTCTCCGTCCCTTTAAATTTGCACGCTGCGGCGCCCATAGTCGTAAACATTCAGCAAATAAGTGCCGCATGTGTCCGACGAACATCCGAGCTGAAATGCCCACGTCAACTTCTGGAAGTCCAAAACGTCCTCCGGTCAAACAGCTAAAAAGGTGCCATAGTTGCAAAGACATAGCTAAGGCCTAAGCACTATGTTAGTATGTAGGGATCCTCGCGTTGCAAGGCAGAACATGAGTACTACTTACATGAGTACTAATGACCTCAACTTCCGGCTACCCCGAGAAAGGAACAAGTACTGTATTATATTCACGATTTAGAATACTCCCGGCTGCGTGTTGAAAGAGTTCCGGTGCACCAACAGCGTAGCCACCGCAAGGCTGAGAACCTCGCGCAATAACGACATTGCTAGTAATAAGTACTGGAACTCGGAATACACCACTATACTCGTTCGTTTCGTAAATCGAGATAAAAAGAAGAGGACAGATGACGACGAGGAGGTGCTTGCTAATGTGATAAAACAATATGTGTGCGTGGATATGATGAGGGATATGAGACACCATGTCGCGTACAATGATTATGCGCGACAAATTGGTATGAGAGGTCTGGAAGTAAGGGGGAGCGTTTCTTCAAAGATTCAAGTCCGTCCAACCAAACTTCCACGGGTGACGAAATCTCAGTGGTCAGATGCTACATCTGGTTGATACAAGGTCATAGGAAAGCATCTCGCGTGAGAGTGCCCTATACGCGACGATAAATGTCGACACGTTATCGTGATAGTGCGTGTACGTACCTTGACTTGCTCAAAATTCGCTACGGCGCGAGGAATGTCCCATCCATTCCCCTCGAGACAATCGACTGCAAATCGAACATTCAAACCTGTCTGCTGACAGATCTGTGTTACAAGTGATCTCTGCGGCTCCGGCTAAGTAAACAACAATTCATCAGCAAAGCCGAACCGAGAAATTAAGGATCACACGCACGATCTGTTGTAGCTGAGCCTGCGCTTCAGGTATCAGTCCAGGGAGAGGATCGCCCGCTTGTACCCGCATCGGCCCTGGCCGCCAGGCCTCTGGGCTCGAATATGCGCGCACGTTGAGTTGGTCGGAAAGGATAACGACATCCCAACCATTCTGCTTCGCTCTATTGGACAGACAATGAGAGTTATACTAGACATCAAACGCAGAAACTGTACCTTGAACCTTCCGGTGCAGGAGCCAGTATGAATGAGCGGTCAAACGAACGGACACCTGCCGCAGGTTCTGCCCGGCGACGTTACTCAAGTTGCCCGTAAACCTATATATGCAGTGCCTACCTTCCACAAATTGTCCGTGTAGACTCACAAACAGATGGATCGAATCGCCGTGAGGAACGGGCCATGCATCGATGCAGAACTTGTCCGGTGCACCGACAAGGTCGTGCTTTGTAGTGGGAAGGTCCGCTATGGTCTTAATAATTTCTTCGTTGCCCACATGGAGCGTCTTCGTCATCTTATCAACGCTGCCCCAAATCCGTGAAAGATTCCGCGAGCCACCGCGCCCGCCAATAAGCCACCCGGGCCACTCCAGTTTTCGCTGGTTTGGCATCGAGTGATGGAGACCCTCTATCCGCGCACGCGGTGGAATCCCTGTATTCGCGGAAAAGGAGAATGTCGCTTCCGGATGATAAACGTCGAGTAAACCCGCGCGTTGGCGGTCGAACAGAGGAAAGTAGCGCATGAGAAAATTGCTGACGAGCGCGCTGTCGACTCCTGTGATGAATGACGGGACCATCTCGCACGGGAACGTCGTCGCCGTTATGTGTGGCACTGACGCTGCCGCCGACGTCGATGCGTGGGGCACATCGAATGCGATCTTCGTCACTGCTTCCTGATCGAGTACTTCTAGCGAAGGGAACCGCCGCGCCACCTCGCTGCACAAGCGTCAGCAATACGTGCAATACGCACCGCAACGACCCACCTTCTGTAGCGATCGCCCCTATTGTTCTGGTACTCCAGCTCTCGCACCGGGTTCCCCAGCAGTATCAGCTCTCGCAGGTTCTCCAACTTTCCCTTCCGCCCCGAAATATAGTCCAGGTCCTTCCACGAGGTCAATTCATTGCCCTGCAGCGACAAATTCGCGAGCTTCGGCAAATAGTGGGAGAGAGAAGAGATCGCATATCCCGTCTTCAGTTCATTGTACGCGAGCGAGATCGTCTCCACCTGCACGGGCGACGTTAGCGGATTCTACGGACGACGGCCGACAAACACACGCACATCTGGGAAGAGACGTGCGGCAAGTTTGAACACCACCGCGGTCACCTTGTACGAAGTCGTCGTCGAATTTGCCGACCACAGACGGTGGTATCTGATCAATTCGTCTTCCCCAATTCGCTGTTCCGACGTCAATGTACGCCACCCGGAAACTCCTCAGCTACTCACTTCTAGATTCAGAAATTTCGCCTCTGCGTTCCATCGTAGTTTGACGAACTCTTCCCACAGCTCTATCGTCTTGGAGCCCTTGCCGTCGGGTGTGCTCATCGCGTTCCTGCGCAGACGGCCCAGCGTTCCCTTCGCCGCACCGCGAATCGCTATCGAATCCCCTGCGGCTATTCGAGCAGCAAGCATAGCAGCCCGTGCGTTCATTGAGGTGCTCGCCTGGTCCTTGCCAATCACGGCGTCGATTGCGCGAGGACGGTGAGGAGTGCGGTTGGCGTGGGAAGACTTTGTTACTCCCTTTCGACCGCCCGGTTTGTCGGAAACATCGCGCATTCGTGCGTCGCGATCCATGAGGCCTGCGCTGCGGAGGGCGTTGGCGGCTATGGCGCTTGAGCCCTGTGTCTGTGTTGGGCTTGAAAACATGGATGGGGTGTGAATATATGAGCTGGAGTGGCGCAGGTCAGGATAGAAAGGATACGGCAGATGATGATCGTCTGAGAGAGAAGAAGGATGCGTCGCCGACCAGTGCGATGGTGGCCACAGAGGAAGTGGCGGCGTTGAGTCGGGCAAGAATTATGGAGCCGCGGCCAAATGGTCACATATGTCACATGCATGTCACATAAGCGTGACACTTCAGAGTGCCTCAAAATCTCCTCGAACACTCAAATATTGATGTATTTTATCTAGAAATTGAGCCCAACTGTTGCGTAAGGCCCCAAGACGTTCCACAGCCAGAGTTAGATGCTGGTGGGGGAATGTGAGAGTCGTTTGTCCTGGGCAAAAAGGAGTGTGACCCAGGCGAAGATTTGTTCCCACGAGAATTGTTGTCCTTCGACAACCACGACCTCAGATATTCTCCATCGTTGTATCTCCTCAAAAAAGAGATGGACCAGTATTATCAGCCTCTCTCGCACGCTCTTAATCCCCCTCTCGTCCAGTCTGGTCGGTCGCCGCAACATCAATATCCGGCTAACCCTTATTCCTCAGCACCAAACGGCTCCACTCATCGCGAGGAAGAGGAGGAGGAGGAAGAGGATGACGAGGACATCGTCGAGGAGGAACTCGACCACAATGAGCAGCGTTCACCCAGCCATCAGTCCTCACCACGTACATCCGCTGCGCAGCCCAATACAGGTACTACAGGGTGTGTACTTTTTGTCACCCCTACGCTCCAGCTAACCACCAACCGCAAGTCCGGCTGCTAACACCGCGAACCCCAAACATGCCACACAGGATCAACACCAACAACAGTCTGGTGACGCTGATGGCTCCGAGAAGCGCAAACCAGGCCGGCCAAGGGGGTCAAGAAATCGTAAACCGCGCGCTCCTCCGGGTACATCCACAAAAGCCCCTGCCAACACCCATCACCCTGGCTTCTACCATTACCCTCCAGTACCAGGAGGTACTATCCCACAGAATCAGCAATTTTACGAATTTCAATGGCGAGCATTGAACCTTTGCTCGGAATTCTACAACGCGGCGGAGGAACTTGTTGTTAGTATTTTGTTCCCCTGTCTTTTGCATCGGATGCAAGTTATGACCGGCCTGTTTACGCAGAAAGCTGCATCGCCCTTAGTTATAGCCCAGTGTTATCAGATGGGTCCTACAGCAAAGGTTGATCCATTGGCTATGATTTCTGAGGCCAAACGCGTCTGTGACAGCCTCGTAAGCGATGTTCGATTTTCCTTACCTTCGTTGTGATGAATGTGTCTTCAGCTTGCGAACCCAAGTCAGCTTGTGGGAAATCCTCCCCCGCCTGTCTATTCTTCCATGTCGCCGTACCCTCAGATCTCACCATCTGCTCCAGGGCCGGCCTCCACTGCCAGTGGCTCTTCTAACGCTAACCCTGTGATCACGAATCCCCAATCCTTTGTGATGTCTTTAGGCACATCTGCGATGCCTCCACCTTCTCACCCGCCTCCACACTCACAACCATTCTACCCACCTCCTTTGTATGGCCCTTCCGGGCCACGGTATCCAACCGCTCCTTACTACTCATATCAGCCGCAACCTCCTTCATATGCATACTCTACACCGCCACAGGCTGCTCCAACAGCTGCTGCCCCGGCTCCGCCCACGGCTGCGAGCACGGGAACTATCTCGACCTTTAATGCGGCCACGGGTTCAGCTGCGCCTGGTGGACAGCAGGGTACATGGTCGGAGGAAGAGACGGATCGGTTAAAGAAACTCGCCGAGCAGAGTAGGGAAATGGGGGGTCCACAGAACAAGGGTGAGATTGAGTGGGACTGGGTTGTACAGCAGTGGGGAAACAGTAGGACAAGGTGAGTTACAGCTTGTCGTGAGTATTGCGCTTTTCCGGACACTAACGATCACGCAGACATCAGATACTTCTAAAGGCGACATCCATGGGCATCAAGGAAAGCACCACTCGCGGAACAAAGCGGCGCCGCGACACCGAGTCCGTCGCTCGCGAAAGTGACTCGACTTCTCATCCTACTGTGAACCAAGCTCCGGCGACCTCTGCACCTGCACCTGCACCAGCACCAGCACCTGTTGCGGTGTCTCCAACGCAGAGTCCGGCAACTCCTGCGTCTGCTAACCCGCCAGCTGCATCGACCATGTCCATGAATCCTCCATCCGCGCCAGCCGCACGACCGGCTCCTTCTACGCCTACTACCATCGCCCCCGTGCGCACTACGACTGCGACAAACACCTCGACCATGCCCTGGCCGATGCCTACTGTTGCCGCCAACACCCCATCTCCCGTACTCGCCAACGCACAGACGGAATCACAAAGGAGTAGTGCCTATTACAGACCTCGTCCTACACAGACAACGTCATATGGTGCCGCCGCTGCCGCCGCCAACTCACCCGGCTCTCGGCCAACATCTTCTCAAGGGACTGGTGGGACCACCCACCAATACATGTTTCGTCCGAATGGAGCTGCCGGCGGGGACAGGAGATAGGGTTGTTTCCGGTTGCTTCCTGCATCGATTCGAATTCCAAGTGCTCCCACGAAGTGATCTCTTTTCCATCGTGCCGTATTATTTTCCACTTTACTTCCCCTAAGGATGACCAAAGTGTGGTCTCGAGTGTTCCCGCTGGTCCCCTTGGATTGAATTTTCTATCTGGCGCGAAAAAAGTATATACTTTCTTTCCCGTTTGGCCTGAAATACTTCCCCCTTCTCTTCGCGTGTGTAGGTCTGCTGCGGGTGAGGCTGTGGTTTTTTGTGTTTTTTTATTCACCCTTCGCCTTCTTTGTTCATACGTGATTTTCCGCTGTATTACGATGTAGCCCGTGAATATCTTGAATGCTATAATTGTGACGGTGTTTGTACAACGAGGTCTGTGTAATGCGGCTGGTTCGAGAGATCTAGAGTTGCCCATCTCCGCCTGAACCAAACAGATCGAAGACAGAACTCGCTCGATTCCACGTCCACCCGGGCGAGTTGAACCAGTTTGATATGGCCCTGTAGGATCCCGGTGTGCATCCCATCAGTTCGCTCACTGACACGCAAATCCTCGCACAGAAATACTTCCGGGACCTCTGGAGTGGCAGGGAGCAGCAGCCATACTGCAAATACGCAGCAAGGGCCAGAGATCGAGGTGTGTTTCTTGCTCCTTACGAAGGGCGGTGCGGCCCAGAGTTCTGCTCAGACTTTAAATTTCTAACGTCTCTGTGTTACAGGGCATAGGAACGCACGCGTACTATCCTACCAATGTAGCACCGTACAGCTCTTCGCTTTCCGGAGCGACTAGCCTTCCTTCGGCAGGTCCGAGCCACAGTCACACAATACCCAGCACGCCCGGACCAAGCTCAGGGAAGCGCAGACAGCCAGACGATCCGTCGACTACACCGTCCTCCTCTGCCAGCAAGAGACGCCGTGCACCAGTGGCCAGTCCTGGTGTTGCTGAGGAGAGAGCGGATTACGAGAAGGAAGATCCTGACGTCGGCCCCAATGGTGGGCCGAAGCATTGGACAGACCAGGAGAAGACGAACCTGTTCACTTGGATACTGTGCAACGACGCTCATTGGGACGCGTTCAACACGAAAATGAATACAGTGTTCCGTGATGTAAGTTTAAGCAGCTGTTGTCGATGCGAGCGGGTGGTCAATTTGGGACTGATCTACCCCACCGTCGCTTCTATAGACCGCGACGGCAATTTTCGGCAGTCGCAAGACTTTTACAGCGCTCAAGAGCTGTTTTCACCGCAACCTAGAGGTATTCAAACAAATATATGCGCTGGAAGCCTTCCTCGCGCGCCCTGCTCCTCCTATTGATGGTGCGCCCGACGCGGTGCATCATGTGGCCGGTGTGCCTGCGCATTTCAACTCAGCGACGGAGCGCCAATCCTTTTTAGAAAGCCGACTGGAAGCTGCGCGCGCCGCTGGTGCCCCCGTTGGCAACCTGAATGTCAAAGTGATCGACCATTGGTACACGATGGGATGGTACGGCCTATTCAAAAACCGGTATGTGCCATTATGTATATTTCCTCTGTATTCACTGGCTAATCACCCTCGTCTGCCTCTTGTCCATTAGCTATCAGGAGGACCAAAAGACTGGATTGCCCGTTCCGCTTTTTGGACTTGGCAAAACTACGCTGTTCGCCGACGCTCAGCACAATATTGACCCACAATTGGTGGATGATAATCCTGAACAGGACCTCAATGCTGGGCATGCACAAGAGCGTGAGAATACTGTGCAGCCCAGCAATAGTTCCAGCACCAGAGGCCCAGCGCCGCAACCGCAGCCTCCAACCGCTTCTTTGATTCCACCACCTGTGAATTTACGCAGCATATCCCAGGGTCAACAATACATAGTTTCTGCCGCTCAGCCGCCGCCAATGCCATATCCTGGTGCGCCGTTCATGCCAATGCATGTGCATCCGTCGGGCCCTACATATTGGGATTCCCGTCAAGCACCAGCCGAATATCCTCCACAGCCTCCCCCTGGTCCGCCACAGCCCCAGTCCCAGCAGGAGGGAGCGATCGTGCAAGCACTGGATCGTCTTACAGCCGTCTCTCAGTCGCTCGTCGAGGCGTGCACGGACCTCTCAGGGTTGCTCCGCACACAAGCCGCTGCTGGAGCTGGCGTGGGCGTAGGGAAGGAAGCGGAGCGGTTCAACAAGAAAGAGAAGGCAGCGCTTGCGACGGAGGTCCTGGCCAATTCAGAAGTGAGTGACGAGGTGCGCAAGGCTGCTGCGGAGTACCTCAAGAGGTTGTTTGTTGATGAGTAGATGGTGAAGGCACAAGTTGGGAGTTACCCTGGTTGACCAGACTGGTTGGCTTGCCATCTCCGTTTGCGCTGGATGGACCACTGTCATATTCGCCCTTGTTTCAATTTTTGTGACAGATTGAACAGCATCAATATACTGCGTGCTGCACGATATTACAACATACATCGATTGTAATTTACGGGAGAACAATTGACCTGGTGATAGACTAGCCAACTTGCTATCGTAGTCAATATTGCTGTATACTCTACAGAGGTAAGACATCGTACAGTCGCCATTGTCCCGATGATAGTTTGCGACTTCACCAATACCGGTAGTGGTACATCCAGATAAAAACGAGCAAGCTACGTTGGGCCATTAGAGCCATTGCCACCATGCAATGCGGCTGGGGTCCACGACTTGTCCTACACGCGGGCGATCCTCCAATGGAAACTTGGGAAGAACCACCTGTCGCCCCTCCCTTCTTTCTCTCTGCTCCCACTCGTCGTCATCGTAGTATTGATCCACCGCACGTTCCTCCAGAGTTTCAAGCTCGGCAGAAGGTTCGGGACCGATTTTCTTCCAGGATGCATCATCGCAGTGATCTGCATTCAGCTTGAATTCACTGTCATCAAGCGGATCTCGCAAGTCTGCTATGGCAACGTATGCCCGTGCGACTCGTGGATCATCCTCTTTCGTCAGCGCCCGGAAGCGCAGCTCGGCATGGGCACGTACGCGGCGCGCGACGTGCTCTTCGTCCTCTCGCTGTGAGTTAAACCCCCTGACCATATTAGTGTTGCGTGCACTTGGCGGTAGTGTCAAGAAACTGCGGGTGTGCAGTAGATGTGGGGTGGTGCGTATGGTACTTGGAGGAAGACCATTCAGACGGCATACAGCATGAGCCTGTAGGAATATTAGCAGACATACAACTATGGACGTGAGACGCTCACGTCAACATCGAACTTGAGAGCGATGCCGAGCAGAGTATCTGATGGTTTGATGTAATACCTAGCAGGAGTCGAGGACTCTGCGACTTCAGCAGAGTCCAACGCAGGATGATCAGCGGATGCAGATGACCGCCGACTACCGCTGGGGTTGCTGGATAGAGTCTCCAAGGGGCAATCTGGGACCGAAGTCTCCTCATAGGGGGGAGGAGGCGTCACGATACCTTCGGGTTCATCGTCTATATCGTCCGCGTCATCGTCTCCTAAGGTGAAAACGTCCTCATCTCTGACCGCCCCGTCGACATTCTTAATAGTATGTGCGCTATACCCGTACCTAGGCTCACTAGTGGCTTTGCTGCTGACAAGAGAGCGGCTGTTGACGGCGTCCATCCCACCTAGGCAACGCAGACATGGGTTATATCTCGATAGACGAGGATTGGCGGATAGACACGCTGGGCAGATTGGGCGACCACAGCAAGGAGTGATAAAGATCTCGTCACCCCCGATAATTGACGAAGGCGAACTCGAGATAGCCTTGCGAGGAGGAAGAGAGGACGAGCAAGCAAGACAAAGAGCTGTAGCTCGATCAAGAACAGGTCTATTCATCGACTTGAAGGACATGGTGTGCTGAGAGAGCACCAGCCTGAGCCCTTGGATGGCGAAAGCGCCCAATGTGGGTCACATGATTACATGTGACGTCATCAATTCGATTTCCGCCAGGCTCGGGCTCGGAGACGGCTTGCTGCAGGCACTCACCATGTCTCTCGCTCTCCAGCGTTGCACTTGTCGCAGACCATTCCAGTTAACACTTCGGACCGTGGCCTCTACTGGCGCGCATCGTTGCGTGCACAATGACACACCTGTGGACAACACAACCGTAAGCATTTCCTCGGTATGCGCTGCGACGGATGCCCATCGTCGTTGAACGCTGCTTTCGACGCTGCAATCATGAACAGCAGAAATATATGAAGGATGAGACCCACCAAGCTGACTCTCTGGAAGACAACGCCCCTAAGTCTCACCCGTTAAAGCCTGCCACGACGGTTGCGGAGCGAGATGCGGACTACGTGGAGAAGCTAAAGGAGCGTGAAGGATCGCTGGCAAATACGGAGTTCGAGGATGGAAAGATCGAAGAGGGGTTGCGCCGCAATGTCGTGAGTCTTCTTTCGTTTGTCAAGGCATCGCATCTAAAAATGGGGTCCGCCCTGACATCACAGAAGGCTAACATCTTCCGTTACATTTGAGCGCAGAGTCTATCGTGGTATCGTCGGCACATTCATCTGTGGATTTCCGTCAAATTGCAATATTATCTCCCGCTCGCCAGCATCGTATCTTCTAAAGATCTCGTGCTGCACTTTGCCGTCTGTCTCCTTTGAGATGTTGATGCCATGGTCCGAAACCCAACAGCTTGAGGAATTGCCAGTTGCAAATATCGGTCGCAAAAGCGTCGACGACGAGACATAGCAAGACGCTACGCTGGATCGCACGCCGTGTACGCACTCTTACTGCAGTGTTGCAATGATAGAGTAAGACCTTGAAAGTACCACCACCGAGCTTATATGCCTAATGGCGCGTGAATACGCCGTCCTGAAGTATGTGGGTATGTTGAAAGTAGCACTCACATCAGGCCACTTTATTCTGGGTTTTGTTGCCTAGCTCACTCGCGAGGATTCCCCAGAGCCTCAGTAAAATTTGCATTTGCGTAAAGCTCAGCAAAAGTGTGCGTGCGACTCGTGGGGTACAAGTCAGTCAAAGGTTCAAACGTTGAACGTTGAACGCTAACGTTTAACTAGTCTAGTACATCGCATTCTGGTGTATATACAAAAAACGCAGGAAGCAGCGCAGGAAGCAGGCCATTTTGGGAGTGGAACCAAGGCCCCAATTGAGGCGTGCAGAATCGGAAATTCAGAATCCGCGACCAATCCGCGACATCAACATAGAACTGGTTCCGGGGTCCTTTTTGCCTATTTGGAAGTTTCGTTGGCCTGCCCTGAACTTTCTTCAAGTCCTATATAGAGGGCTCCTGCGCGGCTTCTCTTCCTTCGGTCTTACCACTCATCACGCATTCGGGGTGAGGGAGAGTTAACCCACTAGCGTATGTCGTCTCCCCCTGATCCGATACTGTAGGGCGGAGCATTGATGAGTATGTCATGTAGTTGAGTGGCGATCCGTGTAAGCCGGTGCTGTGGACAGTGTCATTTGGAACCAATTACGGTGAGTGCTCGATGTTTGATTGCACGCATATTCTCGCCGCTAATATCTATTCCTCGTACGTAGGTGGCTCTGCTGCTGCATGACTCATGTGGTGAGGCTACTCAAGCACACAGCCGGTAAGTCCTCCTGTTGTTGGATCTGACATTGATGGGCTCAAAACTGTGGTGTAGGCGGATAAAGAGATATTCACGTGCTGCTTGTGCACTCACGAGAAGGCTTTCCGGTAAGACGACCTTGCGCAACCGATCGCCGCCCGGAAGGGCGAGCTTGTTGCGTGCCCACGGTGCGCTGGATCCGGCTAGTTGTGGAGTGCTCAGGGGTCGAACGTACGCAATGTGCACGTTCGAGATTGTCTTGGAGTTGCATGATATTCATACAACCCGGACACAAGTTCAAATAAAGTACCCCAGGTCATCGGAGTACTCCACTGTTGATCCACCAGTCAGAAGGTGTGTATGGCTGATTGAAGGATATGATGCACGTAGTACTCCCTGCGCAAGCGGCGTAGCTATCAATGTAGTTGTTCAATCTTGTGCCAAAGAAATTTCTGTTACTCCAAGTTAGTGCGTGTGCCGTGATTCATCTATGCATGTTCGAAGGTATCTGTCTTCGTGCACTAGGCTGCGTTGAACATATTCCACATGCGCATGCTCAGACAGCACCAGAAATACTTCACAATCAACGTGTTGCACATACGGCCTCTATAAATACAGGCTACACCATATACACACAATGCTTCCAGGTACTATATACATGTACACTTGTGATGACAAGAACTGGATGGTATCCTGATGCCGAGGAACGAATGGATGTTAAGGGCCACCTTTGGCAAGACCTTATAGGACAAGTTGTCCCTCGACGTAGTCTGTATACTCAAGAACGATGCTGCTGTCGGATGATGCATCTAAATCAATGGCCGCGAGTGAGTACTCTGAAGACAACTTAGCTCGACATTAGGCTCACCCTCATTGTCCGGCTCACACACCCATACCTTCGCGACACTCGGGTCATGGTCGCTCGCGCGAGCAGAGAGGCTCGCCGCCCACGTATTCACATGTACATGCTCGACTAGCGGCGCGCGTCGTGCTACCGCAGCCGACAGGAACACGTGGTCGATCTCCTGCATGTTCTGGTCGTACACGTATGTATAGCGCTCCTCTTGCGGCACGCCGGCGGCATCGTTAATGTCCGTGAGCAGCCCCACAAAGGGGGCGAAGACAGTGCGTGTCTGGATGTATTCGTTCATGTCCCCGCCGATGATGATGCTCGCGTTGACATCCTGTATGAGTATGCTCTCCACGAAGTTCTGTTGTGCGGCCAAGTATCAGCATCCATGGTGTCGAAAGAGCAGAGGTCAAGCACTTACAGCGATGACGTCTACTTGACGGCTGCGCCGCTCTACCACGCCGTTGACGGGTGGACGCGCATCGCCTTGCGCGGAGGAGCTGTCGCGCTTCGAGCTGAAGTGCACGTTGACCGTAATGAACCGTTCCCCAGATGTCGTCTGCCACGCAGCTGCAAGGGGCTTACGAGTCTCCTCCCACGCAGAATTCGTGGGATTGACACGTCCGGGGTTCAACCTGGTAGAAAAAAGCGGTTGGGGACCGCTGAAGTTACAGAAACTGGCTGCGTACGTCAGACTGAGTTTGCCTTTCTCATCGACGAGAACTTCTGTAGCCTCTGTGGCCTTTCCAATCGGAGAACCCGGAACAGGCGAGACCTTGTCGGGACGCCACCTGTCGCTGCCCGTGATTAGCGGAACTTGGCACAACGAGAGGGGACATCGCACAAATAAGCGACACGAATATTTCCTCCAGGCTTACCACCGTCCATGTTGTTCTCCGGGTCGATGTCCACAGCCGCGTAATGCACCCCGCCACTGGCCTTCTTGATAGCGGAGACGAGCGTGGTGAGAGTCTTGGCAGCAGATACGGTACCGTCGTCACTCGATCCTGAGTCATCCTGAATCTCCTGCACGAAGAGAACGTCCGGCGAGTGGAGGTAGTCTGCGACGTGCTCCGCGACGTGAGTTAGGTGTCGGGAGCGGCGCGACATATTATCAACCTGGGCGGGCTAGTGTGAGGAAAATTCGGCGCGTCAAATGGTCAAGTAGCTGACATTGTAGTCGCCAATGGTGATCTCACAAGGGTTCTTGGTCGAAGTTAGAGACGAAGTTGGGACTTCAATTTCAGGGACAGATATAATCTTCGGTGCTGTGAGAGGTAAGATGTAGTAGTAACCATACTGGGCCGAGCGGCTCGAATCAGTACTTTAATCTGCGTATATGCACCCTTAACGTCATGTACCTGATAAGTTACAATGCCAGTAATATCCGTGAGGGTCGCTCCAATAGAAGTGCTCGGGTTTCTAGCCCCGTCGAAAGGACGACCGATCAAGATAGTCTCTGGGTGTGCATGAGGGATACCAGTTGTCTCTAGGACACGAAGCGAAATGAAATTACTTCAAAGCATAAATGCATCACTTATAACCCTCACCGGAGAATGTGATGGTGAGACCACCTCGGGTGTTCTTCCCGGTCACTGGCCAGTCTCCATAAACCCAGATCGAGCCAAACCTGTCAGGGAAGCTGGCGGCCACGGGAGACTGTACCGCGACTAGTTGCCCTTCAAGACTTTCCCAAAAGTCGAGGCCATACAGGTCAGGCTGCAAAGTAGCATTGACGGGTTCCAGGAGCGTGACGTTATTTGGAACGGAGAGCCAACCATCTGCACCTTTGTCCAAGGCAGTAAGGCTGCCAGTAGGGGGAATGCGGTCCTTCCCGATCACAATCGGTATCGCAACGTTGTCGCGGGAAATGACAGTGACATCTTGAGGTGAAGCCAATTCGGTGAGGAAGAGATCGTTAGGGCTCGCGTTTGCTCGATATTCGGACACCTTTCCGGAGAGCGAGATCATGTCACCGATGTTCACCAGCTTTGAAATAGACCATCCATAGACTCTGAGTCCGTTTGACACGCGTACGTCGTCAGATGCTTCGCTGAGTATCCAGACACCGTACTTGTCCTGTAACGCGTTTTAAGAGGTCACTCTAGTTCTGACCGAAGTCTGGTCACCTACCTTAGCAGTAACCACTCCAGTCACATTTCGGACTGTCTGTCCTGTAAATGGAGACTGAAATGACGAGCCCTGGATCTCACTTACGCTCACTGCGCGAACTGCCACACAAAGACTTGTGAGACATGCGAAGAGCGCGCTGAACCTCATGACGAATCTTCAACGCGCCAGTAATCGCAGTATGAATAGTCTAGGCTCTAACACCTAAAAATCTTTCGAATACAGGGAGAGGCTTGGAACGTTGGCCGTGCAGGCAGGCCGGGCTGCTGGAAAGAGTCGGAGGCGCCACCTGACGCGTCTGTCACGGTCACCGCTCCTACTCTTCAAGATCGCGATTAAACCCTGGGTCGAATACACTGTCGGACATATATTATCTACCACCTGCAGCTGCATCTCTGTCATTTGTTGAAGGATTTCTCGGAAAAAATCCACAATATGACAACTTCCCCACTACCCACTACCCTAGGTCCCGACCAGCCCCACCTCGTTTCCCTCGTTCTGCAGTCCAAGAAAGCACTCCAGCATGGCGAACATTTATGCTCACGCGCCAGCGCATTGTCATCGTCTTCAGTACAAAGTGTGGTAGATGTACTTGCGCTGGATGCGAAGGTCAGGTGGATGACAGATGCTGTGCTCGAGCAGCTCAAGGTGTGTGGCGTGTGTCCGTCTGTAAATTGTTACAACGCATAACTTACGAGCTTTTTCCAGTTGGCTGCACATGTTGCTAAGAGTATCGAATTGAGGCGGTTGGAGCAAGAAAAGCGTGCCGCGGTAAGTGTTAAGACTGTCAGTTGCGTCCTGGCTGACAACGATAGTCAAGGAATGGGACGCGATTCGCAATCAACGCACAGACACGCTGGACACGGTTCTCGTGTCCCTCGGCTCACAATCTGTGCCACCAGACTTTTACTCTACGTCATCTGGCTCGTCCCCGTTTGGCAGTCAGCTAAACTCAGACGAGGAACACGATGATAACCCCATCTTCAGCGAGCAACAGCCTGGCACAAGTCCCACCGAGACTCTGCGCAACGAAATGCAGAATGAGAATCATAAGGCGGAGGGCTCTCGCTTAAAGAAGAGCACGTGGAAGACGCTGCGCGACTTCGTAGACGAGCGGGCGATTGAGGACGTTCTGGATACCATAGAAAGCGATCGCAACGCTCTTGACGTACGTTTCATGCTACTCTTAGATTTATCTCTATTACATGCGTTCTGTGTAGGACATTTTTGCGCGGACATCTGGGTATCCAGAGTCGCTCTCCAGGACAATATCGGCCATTCAGAATGCAGTGTCTATTGAACCCTCACTTCTCTCCATCGATGATATATTCAACGTGCACGAAGAGACATCACACGAAATGGCTGGACAACTAGAAAGTCTCGCAAGACACTATGACCAGATGTCTAGTGCGCTAAGAGACAGCGAGACGGGTGAAGAGTTATTGGAGGATGATTTGCAAGGTTTGTTTTACTCATCGATGCTGCTCTGTACATCCGTTCATTCGCGTACTAACCTCAAGCCATGAACCGGGACACGGAGGAGCTACCCGCTATCATTTCTGAGTTGGAAGACGGTGTCAGCTCGATTGAAGCATCACAGTAAGTAGTTCACGCACTCCATGAGGTCATTCAAGAGAGCAATGAAGTGTGAAGTGAGCAGCTGCTTACAGCCAAGCGGACCGCTGAGCAGCATCTAGATACGCATCGGAAGACGCTGGATGACTTGGATGAACTAGGTGACATCATGACTGAGATGCTCGAGCGTCAAGAAGCGGTGGAGGTGCATCTCAAAAATTTCAGGTTTCTGTTTCACATTCCTCATCAACACCCCGTTCCAGAGCGAAAGCAATGAACATCTAGCACAGCTGCACCATCATCTCTTGTCCATCGACGACCTCCAACACCGCTTCGCGTCCTACCAGTATTCGTACAATAAGCTACTTCTTGAGCTTGAGCGCCGGCGGCAGTATCGCAATTCGGCAGAAGAAATAGTCAAGGGCATGATGGCGCAATTGGATGCAATGACAGAAGGTAGGCTACATAAATACTCAGTCACATTACCCTCACACTGACAACATCCCGGCAGAAGAGCGCCAGTTGAGGGAAGAGTTCAATGCCGAGCACGGCCAGTATCTCCCTGAGGATGTCTGCTTGTACGTGCAGAATCCGTCAACCCGTTGGGCAGTCGTCCCGTGGAATGGCGAGCAGGCGGAGGTTCTCCTTGATGTAGAGGGCGATTTGTTGCGAGAGGCGAGTATCTCTTAGCACATGTCGCACAGTTTTTCAGCTGACTTCCGTTTTCAATAGGCCAATGAGCGGATCAATGCCGCTGAAAGAGGATTGGGTAATAATAGTCAGAGCCTGTAGTTTTCGGCAGGAGGCATTACAGCCGTTTGCGAAACTATAGGCCCGACCACTGCCACCAGCAAAAAATCAGGCCATAAGTCAGACATCAAACAAGCACCTCTCCGAACACTCGGAGAGTGGGAGCTCTCAATCAGTGGTCGTTATTTTATTTTACGATCCAACGCGGTTTTGCATCAGGTGTCTGTAGTTTCGCAAACGGCTGAGTAAAAAAAATGCAAAATTGTTCAGACTGAGTCGGCCCAGGGTCGAACTGAGGACCTTATGTGCGCCGACAGCTTTAAACAAATACTGTGTTAGACAGATGCGATAACCAACTACGCCACCGACCCAGCGAAGATCGCGGGGAAGCTATTAATTATGTAATATTTATTGGTGCAACAACTGCGACAATAACTGCATAGCCGCAACTTTCTCCGGCGAACACCATGTCACTCCTTGCTCCAATCATCTGCGACAATGGCACCGGCTTTTCGAAAGTTGGGTATGTAGTGGGTTTGACCGCTCATGTGCTCTTGCTTGACTCTGCCCTCCTAGGTTCGCCGGAAACTCCGATCCCTCATTGTAAGTGAAGAATGTGTATCAAACGAATACCGTGCTTGATACCCCTTCTTCAGTGTCTTCCCCACAGCAATCTCAACGAGAGGCCCTGCAACCCAATCTGCGCGCTCTGGTCCAGCAGTACCCCCAAGGCCCGGACATCTCGCTTCCAAACGCGGGGTCGAAGACCTTGACTTCTTCATCGGCGACGAGGCCCTCGCGAACGCGCAGACACCTGGCTATGGCGTGTATTATCCCATCCGTCATGGGCAAATCGAGAACTGGGACTACATGGAGCGTTATTGGGAACAGACGATCTTCAAATATCTGCGCGCGGAACCAGAGGATCACTATTTCCTTCTGGTGAGTGCACTCACACGCCATATGGTGACTGGTTTGTGATGCGCCTATGCATGTCGCGCTGCGTAGACTGAGCCTCCACTGAATCCGCCGGAGAATCGAGAACAGACTGCGGAGATCTTCTTTGAGTCCTTCAACATCAAGGGCCTGTATATCGCCGTGCAGGCTGTACTCGCACTCGCAGCCTCATGGTCATCGAACAGAGTCACAGATCGCACCCTCACGGGTACCGTCATCGACTCCGGAGACGGTGTCACGCACGTCATTCCATGCGCGGAGGGTTATGTCATCGGAAGTGCCATCAAGCACATCCCCATCGCTGGCCGTGATATATCACAGTTCGTCCTAAATTTGATGCGTGAGCGGGGGGAGATGGCGTCTGTGCCTCCAGAGGATCAACTCAAGGTGGCAGGGAAGGTGAAGGAAAACTTCAGCTATGTCTGCCAGGATATCGTGAAGGAGTTTAGGAAGTACGATGCGGAGCCCTACAAATACTTCGAGAGGTATGAGGGCGAGTATACTGTCACTGGCAGGGTAGGTGCATCTGCCAATTGACTTCACCGCGTGTTCACCTAGGTTCCTAGAAATACGCGGTTGATGTTGGCTATGAGCGGTTCCTGGCCCCTGAAATATTCTTCAACCCCGAGATTTTTTCCTCTGACTTCCTCACGCCATTACCAGAAATTGTCGACGGTGTCATCCAGCAGTCCCCGATCGATGTGCGGCGAGGACTTTACAAGGTGAATATATCTCGCCATATTCGAGTCACAAGACTGTCCTGACTACGCATGATACAGAACATCGTCTTGTCTGGTGGCTCGACCATGTTTCAACACTTCGGACAGCGTCTGAAGCGTGATTTGAAGCAGCTCGTCGACCGTAGGCTGGATGCCAGTGTTGTAGCGAGTGGTAGTCACCTGCGGGTGCGTAGTACTACACGCTCGTATCGATACACAAACTCATTTGCCGCCGTAGTCATCCGGCGTCGAAGTGGAAGTCATCTCCCACAAGCGCCAGCGCTACGCAGTCTGGTTCGGCGGCTCTCTCATGGCGTCCCTTGTGCGTATTGCATGTGTGCTCCGTGGGTTCGTGATGCTGATTGTCTCCCGCAGCCTGAGTTCTACTCCTTTTGCCACACCAAAGCGCAGTACGACGAGATCGGTCCCAGCATCTGCAGACGGTACCAGATCTTTGGGAGCGCGACTTAGGGAAGTATTCGAAATGCCAATGTACACTTTCACTGTATGGATCGCAATCACAGACATTCAGCACACGTTGCGACTGGCCCGGGTGCTTTTGGAGAGTGGTTAGCTCAAGATGCTGGCGGTATGATTGTGAAGGAATGCTTTCACCTACTTTGCTGGGCGGTGGTGATTGCTACTACGGGTCTTTGTTCACGTGGCGTGGATCCTTCCACGAATTTCCCATTATTGCAACCGTGCCTAGAGAAGATAATTGATATAATGGTAATGCTGACGACTTCGTTCTCGAACGTCGGACAATACATAATTTGCAGATGTGCGCTTCCGCATTCTGCGCATGACAAGCCTTCCATCCTGATACTTGACAGCTGGGCATGAGGTCTGCCTGCGCTAGGGAACGTGTTGATGTCAATGGAGAGTCCGGTCTGCAAACCTTGTTCACGACGGAATGGCCGGTGGTACGTGTCATGCTATCTTCTGCGTCTTCAAAGCTTCATCGTTCTGTTTGGGCAAATCGGCCCGAATACCTGCACTTCAGCGAGTACATGCGCATGAAATTATATGGGAGGTAGATAATGCAATCACCGCCGCATTACATTTGGGCAAACTCCCGCCAATCCGGGACCGTGTTGGAAGCATGCAGTCCACATCAACTTCCCCGACTGGGCGAGGCCAGCTCGCGGCATATAGAATGGTCGCGCTCCTCCACCAGTATCCTACGATCTCACAGAGCTCGTGTTCCAAGACATTCGCCCCGACCATGGATGCCCAAGAAGCAAAAGAAAAGGTATACTGCTTCTTGACTTCATCCTCCAAGTGCAGAGCACTTAAGCCACATCTACAGGGAAATGCTGCATTCCAACACGAGAACTACTTCGAGGCACTCGAGCACTACGCCGAAGCGATGCAGTCAGATCCGACCAACCATATATACCCTCTGAATAGATCAATGGCGAACCTGAAGCTCAAGAGGTTTGGGCCCGGCCTCGTCCCATTTGACAACGCTCATGCCGTACTGCAGGTGGTCTGAAGCAGAGGCTGACGCCACTGCTGCTTTGCAGCTGTCGCCAGTGACGGTTAAGGCATACTTCAGGAGAAGCGTTGCACGCAGAGAACAGGCCAAATTTGAAGGTGCGCGCCGAGGTAAGCTTCCCGTTGTATCGGACCTTCCGCAGGCTCATAATGAGCGACCATATAGATATCCAAGACTATATGGATGCCGGTGGTGACTCGAAATGCGCGGATAAAGAACTTGTCAAGATCTCCGCAGCCGAATCAGCTAGAACAAATGAATCTACAGCGGGCCTTCAGAATATGGCAGAGCTTTCGCTTGCATCCGTCGCTGATCTCAATGCGAATCTTCCTGGTGGATTCACATTGAGGCCAGTCAATGGAAAGGGACTGGGTGCCTTTGCATCGCGGCCATTCCGTCGAGGCGATCTTGTTCTTACCGATCCTCCTCTCTACATCGTCGAGAACCCGGACAATGGTGGAAGAATCCACCAGGGCAAGGTGATCACAGCAGTCAAGCGCCTCTCTGCAGCCGACAAGCAGGTGTTTCTCTCGCTCATGAATGTGTATGCCGACACGGGTCGCTTTCCGAACCCGATCCTTGGCATCCACGATACAAATGCGTTCCAAGTGGGGGGATACGACAGTGCGTTGTGCATCGTCGCATCCAGATTCAACCATTCATGCTCTCCGAACGCACGATACTCGTGGCATGCGGCCAGTGGTCGGTTGCGGATATACGCCTTACGCGACATAGCGGTTGGCGGGGAGCTTCTGGTCTCGTACATCAGTTCGAGACGCGTGTACGGGAGCGTTTTCAGGGAACGACAACAACGGTTGTCGATGTCGCACGGCTTCACCTGCTCCTGTGCCACTTGTACTCTTCCGAAGAAAGACAGGCTCTCCAGCGACCAACGACGAAAGGAGCTCACACGCATTTGGGAGTCCATTCCGTATTACAACCCTGGACAAACGGCAGACCGCCTGCGTGCGATCGTCCGCGCTGTGCGTTTGTTGGACGAAGAAGGCTACGCTGCTGACGCGGACGACTTCACGATCGATGCTGCGGGAATATGCGCGTGTCACTCGGACTGGGCCTCTGTAGAATATTGGGCAATGAAGACGTATGAGACACGAGTCGCTGAGTTTGGAGAGGACAGCGATCGTGCAGCAGAAGTCCGGTCATTGTCCTCTGACCTCAGACGGCATCCCGATGCTGGTACGCAACGAAAACAGACGTTTTTGGTGCGCCTGTGACTAGTAGTAGTTGTACTAACTTCGGAGGCTGGCCGACTTAGGTTGCCGAGAATCATCTCTATCGCGTTAGGTAAATAACCTCCGCGATGGCCAGTAGAAAGCTACGTTCAAATAAGTAAAACACATCCGGTACGATAGGCCTCACTCATACCCAACCACTGGCTGCTCAACTGCTTTCACCTGGGTGTAAGGCCACAACATTCCTCGTTGGAAAGACTCTTCTTACATGATTGACTACATCTCCGAACGCCTCGCGTTCATATGCAATCTTCCAATGCCGCAGGCCTCAACTCGAGCAACTGCACTGAAAACCCAAGAAGGTCCTGTCTCCCACGCCACAATATCTCCTTTCCTCCTTGATCTCCGCATCCAATGTATCAACATCACCCTCAAAACTCTCGGCACCCCATGGTTCGAACGGACTACAGCACATCTAGAACCATCGCGCGACCTCATCAGCCAGGAAGAATATTTGTCGAAAGGAATATGATCGTACCTGCATGACCTTTGCTAGGATCCTCTTTCCGCTCTCGGCATCTTCTTCTACCTTCTTGATGACCTCCTCGAGCACCCACTGCCGCAGCACGAAACGCGGGTTTGCCACCAGGGCTGCTTTCTCCCTCTCCTTATCCAAGTCCCGTTCGATAGCACCGTTTGCACCATTGGCATCTGGAGAAGCAGCTATCCACTCATCACGTTCGCTCTCAATACGAGCTGCATAACTTTCTAACCACGCGCGCCAGTCGCTCACAGCCTTGTCTCGGTTCAGCCGTTGTGGCTCAGACGTCGATGAGAGTATGCCAGAGATGTATTCGCCGAGGGCTGGGCCGGTAGCAGAGTCAGAGCTTCCTTCCGCCATAGTCGGGCGGAAGAAGGCGAGCCGCCTGAAGGTAGAGTGGAAATCGAGTTCATGTTCCGACATGAGATTAAGCAACGGACGTGCGAGCCTCAGCTCGTCGGTGGCATCAAAGCGGCGCAGCGCTAGACGCTGCAAGCACAGAGAACCCCACTCAGTCTACATCCACACGCTGGAAAGCGGACCACTCTGCTTGCCTTGTGCATGAGCCTGCCATACTCGGCGGAGCAGATGTCCTGTGCGACGCGTTCCATCTCGTCTTTGACGAGCTCGGTGCCTTTCTTGCGCCATTCGGCGAGCTTGTCGGGCGAGGCATCCTCCGCCCATCCGGCGGAGACTGCCCTGCCGAGTTCCGCCTCTGCTCCGATTATTGGGGAAAGGGCTGTCAGAAGTGCGCGGAGAGCATAAATGCTGCAGACGATGAGGGCTCAGTGCACTCGCAAAAACGAAGGGTCAAACTTTCACTGACATCATGGATGGCTGGAGCTAAATGATAGTGACATTAGAGTATGTAGGAGGCGTAGCAGATCGCGATGCAAACCTTGTATGAGTACCTTCCTTCATCATCGGTATGGTTGCAAATGTGGAATGGGTCGAAGACATCCATGAACGCGAAAGGTCCTACCGACCGGAACTGTCGTTCATCCTCTACAGTCATTGATGGTCAAAAAAGCATCTCACCATAATCGATTGTCAGGCCAAGGACGGAGACACTACTCCACAACGTCAGACAACAGCGAGGACAAGTACGAACAGCGTACCCACTTATCCGTGTTGATAACGCCGTGCATGAATCCATAGGCCTGCCAGGCAGCAACCATCTTTGCGTTCCTCCTCGCGACCTCGAGTACCAGCTTGGTGCCCCACGGATCACCATGTTCGACGCCCTCTCCCTTCCACTGCAGGCCCTCGAGCTTGAGCACCCGGCGGACGACCCACTCCCCCAGCGCACGGAGGCCTTCCCAGTGTGTGTCCTGTTGGCCTATTCCGAAGACGGAAGTGCCCTCGGGAGGATTTAAGGCTTCAAAGGAGCCTATACGGATGAATGAAGGTGCCATGCGGGTGAGCACGCATGCACTTTCCATGCGCTCGCGGGCAACTGGGAGCTCGGGGAGAGAGATCAGCGAGAGTGAGCGGGTGGTGGGTATAGACAGTGCATGCATGGCTATGTTAAAAAGCGGATGTGAGAAAAAATAAATGAATACAGCAGCAGAGTAAATATGCACCTTCTGAACATAGATACTCGCGAATAGAGGATCTAACTACGGCCAGCCCATCTCCGTTGCGCGAGAAGGGCGTACGACCTGCGCCCTTCAACTGAAGCTCGTAAATCAAGTCAGGATCAGAGGGATGTGGCGTAGACACTGCGATCACAACTATGAGTCTGATACCCTGAGCAAGCGCGTATGGACACTCAACGGACTGAGATCGCCCTTCCATCGCCCAGCTGGCCGGCCCAGACACCAAACTGATGGCCACTGTAGCGTAGGGACCAAGGCGCCCAGTGCGTCTCAGGGTCGCCGTCAGTGGAAAGTAAAACTGCGTATCCACTAAGGACATCGATAAGCTCCTCGCGGGCTGCAGTGTCCTCTTCCGACGCGGACGAGGGCTTTGCGGTCTCAGGGTTGGGATCAGTGGAAGCTCGCGTCAGCGACGGAGATCCGAGTGTCGCGAAAACATCGCCGACTTTCAAGTGGGGCACGCAGTCTCGCAGACCCGTCTCCGAGAGCCCGATGAGCACGCGGGGCTGCGCCTTTTTCTCTCGGTAGAATTTCCGCAGGCCCCTAGTCGGAGAAGCTGCTGTAGGCCGCTCGTGCAGGGCCTCGCGATCTGCTAGCCATTTCTCGACATAGGCTGCTCGGTCGGCGATGGGCTCTCCATTCTCCGGCAGCGGGATCCGGTAGGGAAATGGCTGGGGGCACGGTACGACAAGTGAGAAATGTGCGGGTGGGGCGAGCAACCGCGCCTTGCGTTGCAGGCTGGGCGTCCTGGAGAGTGTGTCATAGAAACTCGACACTGAGGGTGTTTGTGGATCCGGGGTGAGATTACGCGTGAGGATATGGGTCGATGGAGGCAGCGGAAGTGCAGAGATCGGATATGTCTTGGTCTGCAACATCTTCTCTGCAGACGAAACAGTGGGATGCGCTCTTATACAGAATTTCTAGCTGCGGACGAGTCAGCACAAGCTTACATACCTTACCACTGACCAGTGTGGTGCACGCGTACGATGTCCGTGAAAAGTATGTCGCAATCGCCGGTATTGTTTCTCACTCCGCACCGACGGAGGGGGAACCGAAAAGGGTGAATGATACCTTGACGAAGACATTCCAGAGGTATTAACGCAACGTTCAAACTTTATTGACAGTCAGGAGGTACGACATTACCGCTCAGCGCATCTGATCAAGAAGGAAGGTCTAGAGACGCCCGGCGGGCCATAACCCCAGGCTCCTCCATACACAACTGCCCACAAGTCTACACTGATATTAAACCACCGAGACTCCTTATAATCTCGCATCCTTCGGCATGCTCCTCATCGCCTGTCGAACTCCTAGATCTGCCAACACATCCTCGGCTAAATGTCCACCGATGGTCAGCACAGGAAGAGAGTAACACGACAAGGTATACTTACCTCCTCCAAGAATAGCATCGAACGCAATTGTCCGATGGTACTGAAACGCTCGGCAATAAGCTTCTCTCCCTTCTATAAGGGAAGGAGCATACGTACATGCTCAATCATTTGGCCCATTCCCGATTGAGTGACTCCCCGCCCACCGAAGATCTGTACGGCGTCAGTGGCGGTCTCCTGTGCACATCGCGTGCTGTACATTTTCAGAAAGGCGATCTGTCTGCACAGAAAGATCAGCCTCAACAAATGCGAGCGGTCATCGCAAGGCCGATCAAGCCCTGGACTTACCCTGCCAGCTTGTTTGCCTGCTCCTTATAGTCCTGCGACGAGAAAAATAAATATCCAGCGTACAGACAAAGTCAAGATCTCGCACCATATTGCACATCTGGTAGGTGATGTTCTCCAGCCAATTCTGCACGCTCTCCGCCCGAGCAATCATTCCTGCAAGCTTACTCCGCACCACCGCTTGGGAACTTAATGGCTTGCCAAACGCCTTTCGTTGAGTAACCCACCTGTAGAAGAAGATCCAGTCATCAGTAGGGATAGTCACGAGATGCGGGGAACGTGACTTTTCGACAGCACTCACTTCATACATTGCTCAATAACCAACCGCTGGCCCCGCGCTGACGTACAGCACATCACCCATCGCTCGTGATTGAAGTTACTAACACAAACCGCGCGTCAGAAACACGCGTGCCAGACCCGAGCGAGTGCATGGATACCTCAGCATGACGAAAATACCTCCACCCTCCTCTCCGAGGGTGTTCTCCACGGGTACCTTCACACTGTCAAAAGTGACATAGGCGGTACCCGCGGTCGGTGAGTAGGACGTCTTGATTGGCTTCGTTGCCACCCCATCGCTGCGCTCCACAAGGATCACTGTGAAGCCATCCTGCAAGGACATCCATCAATGAATTTTTGCCGGGAGCTGGGATGCATACCTCTGTCTTGCACCCGATGGTGAAGCTAGTTGGTACCAGACCACGTTAGAACTCTTGAGATCGGCAGCGAGTAATCCACTCACTAATCTGCCCACCTAAAATAATTAGATTATGCAGTGAGTACCGCACGTACGCGGCAGACACAACGCAGGGCGACACACATGCCGTTCGTGATCCACTTCTTCGTACCGTTGATAATCCAGTACTTCCCGTCTTCAGTCTTCTTCGCAGTGGTCTGCAGCCCGAAGACGTCGCTCCCGGCATGTGCTTCTGAAATCTGATCATGGGCTACTTCAATTCATGATCTGGTGCTCACAAGCATGAACTTGCGAGACAGTAAATCACTGACCGCAAGACATATAAACTTCTTTCCGCCCAGGACTTCGGGGATGACCCTCGCCTTTATTTCCGGAGAACCAAAGTTGAGCACAGGGGATAGTCCGATGACGCAGCCGGCTTGGATACCATCGCCGTACCCGCGAGCACCACACCGAGTAACCTCTTGCTGAATGATCAACTACGCTCCACGGAAGTAAGCATCAAAGCTCGCCAACTGGAATGGCAGACGCTTTACTTCATGGAAATAATCAAACTGGAGGAAATTAACGTCTGTTAATAGACGAAAAAATTAGGGGAGTGATTAGGTACTTGCCTCCTCGGGAGTAACAAGTCCATTCATGAGCGTGAGGCCTTTGAGATGCTTCCCTGGGCCCATGCGCATCGCGTGCATGTTGATCTCCCTTGAGTCGGAATGTGTTGTTGAGTTATTAGCTAGGCAATGATTCTGCAAGCGTCAAGACGTACGCCATTTTGTCGATGACACTCAGCGACGGCCGCTTGCCATCCAATTCGCGCGCCTGGGATACCATTGGATATTTAATCTTGTAGAACGTGAATTGACAGCCTGCTTACTCACTTGGGCATCAGGGTATACGACCTCGTCTATGAACTTGCGCACAGCGGCTTGGAACTTCCTATGCCCCTATATATGGCACGCCAGCGGATTAAAGCTAGCCAAAGCGCGAGGCGGCAACGCACCTCAGTATAGTACGGACTCTTGAACCCACCCACGAGCCAGGTTGGCTCAGCATATGGGACGCCGCTAATCTCCCCAATTACTTTCCCGCGTATTTGCTGCTCCTCATCTTCAATGGTGCCAATCTGCAGGCGGGCGTATTGTGGACGCTCAAGCACTTCATGCCGGTGAAGGCCATAAAATATTTCGGTCGCATCTTCTCCAGCTGGAGTGGGAAGTTAAAATTGACGGACTTCTGCGAGAGCATTAAATCGTGCGCACGTATACCCTCGTCCAGGAATACTGAAGCCCCACCCGGATGGAGGTCCTTAAACCGTGTCACATCGTAGACTTTCGAGTCTACAATGATCCACTGCAACATCACATTAGTGGTATTGACTGCGTAAAGAAAGACTCGTACTCACCAAACTCTCTTCGTTATTATGCTGAAAACATGAATTATTGGTCAAGAGGGGTGTCCTGGGAAAGTACGAGTGACGCGCACCTGTGCAACCTCCTCCCGGGTAAACTTCTTGAGTGTCTTCGAGGTCATGGCAATTTAGGCCGTCGTTGGTATTCCACTAGGGAGTGTAGAGGGATGTGTCTGGTCGTTTCCGCACAGAGTTGAACACGGATAGGTCACTCTGACAGCCAGAGCCGACAGCGGTTGCATGAGATGAGTCACGTGAAGATGTAACGCCCGTGATAAACGCGATACGCGCGACGCGAGGATGGTACCACTGGAGGCAAAAGTGGATGTTCTGCCTTGGAACAGTGTCTGAACATCCAAGGAACAGATTACGTTTTTGGACATGTCACATGTTCTGAACATGATAAGGAACATCTAATATGTCTCGCACAATGTTCTATTGGAGAGCATGCTGGAGACATGTTGCATGTACCATTCTGGAACATATAATATGTCTCACACAATGTCTCATTGGAGAATGTCCTGCAGACTTGCTGCATGTTTCATTCTGGAACATTTATTATTTTGCTACTATATTCTGGGCTTATCTCTTGATGCAATATGCTCTGTATAATAAGGATTTCCCATGGCCAAACACATTACATTTCTGGCTGCCGTTAATCTTCAGAACATTGTGAGAAGATGTTAAGTGCTCCTACTCCAAACATACAAGATGTCCTGGGCACCAAGAACATTTGCAGCACATGTAAAATTTTAGTATAATTTTAGTATGTATCATACATGTACTGCAGATGTTCTTGGTGGTCAGGACATCTTGTATGTTTGGAGTAGGAGCACTTAACATCTTCTCACAATGTTCTGAAGATTAACGGCAGCCAGAAATGTAATGTGTTTGGCCATGGGAAATCCTTATTATACAGAGCATATTGCATCAAGAGATAAGCCCAGAATATAGTAGCAAAATAATAAATGTTCCAGAATGAAACATGCAGCAAGTCTGCAGGACATTCTCCAATGAGACATTGTGTGAGACATATTATATGTTCCAGAATGGTACATGCCAACATGTCTCCAGCATGCTCTCCAATAGAACATTGTGCGAGACATATTAGATGTTCCTTATCATGTTCAGAACATGTGACATGTCCAAAAACATAATCTGTTCCTTGGATGTTCAGACACTGTTCCAAGGCAGAACATCCACTTTTGCCCCCAGTGTACCCCGGCCGGGAGTCTCCTTATAGTGGTAGGGTGGTTAGGTCCTAGCGGAGTTTGAAAAACCTAACCTACCGGCGCGGGCGGCCCCGCGTCATGTGCCTACTCAATGCAGCAGGCAACCTGCCCCAAATGGCATTTCTGATGTAAGCACATACCTAAGGTTGGGCACTGCACTACAGCTATTCAAATTACACACTCTGCAGCATGTTTTAATAAAAATTAGTGTCCATAACTGAGTGCTCTATATGCTCTCTAAACATAAAAAATTACTGCCTATGTACAGTCCCAGGTGAGGACCACAACCATGATAACACTTATGTGCAGCCAAACCTGCACACTGGGACTTTTCTCATATTCAATGCATGTCCTGCCAGTAAAAATTACAACTGGCAGTCCTTGTGATATCATGGAAATTTTTTAAGGTTGCAGGAGAAACTCAGTGCATCCAGATGGCTACAGTGAATGCAACTGCACTGGGCCAAAGTTTTATTGTGCTACAAGAGGGACATACACTCTCGCCCAAAGGGCGAGCAGAAAATTTAAAGGATTTCTGCATGCCGTGAATGTGTAAAATTTACAGGACCTAAGCTTCATTAGTTGCCTCACAAGAAGAGTCATCCCTGCAGTTGTGTTCCTATGTCTGACTGTACTGCATGATTTGAATATAACTCTGGAAAATCATCATGGATTATGTGTAAGTGGCATGAAACCCGATATTCATACACCAAGGCACTTTGCGCAGGAGTTGAGGACATGCTGGGCATCACGCAAAGATACAGAGTGAATACCTTCTCGCTCGCTCGAATTAATTTCATTTAATTTATTTAATTTCCGGCCAACCCTACCACTATAAGGAGACTGCCCCCCGGCCCGGGCCCGAGAACACAACTCGCAGCCGAACGTCAAGTAATATTAGTTAATATATAGCTAGACGTGCAAACATTCCAAAGCAGCGACACAAAATAAGTACACTGTAAACACGCATTGATACATACATCAGCAAAACTAGACGAAACTTATAAGGCATGATAAGCCCTTGTAAGGTACATAAGACTCGTATCCTGCCGAGTTTTTCACCGGGCCTTATAATATGACCATGAGAGTTCGGAAGGGCCATAAACCTGGCAAAAGCAGGCATCCTTATGAGCCTTCCGAAGCTTCCAAAGCCTTATAAGGCCAGATGTGTCGAGGGTTCATTTTCTGGATATGATAGGGAATTTTCACACATCAAGCATATGCAGAGTCCTGTTAACTATAAAGAATATATTCCAATATTATAACTACATGAAAATATAACAAGACTGTAGAATAGATATCGACCCGACCCACACACTAAATGCACCGAAAACACAGAAATAATGACCCCAGGAGCATAAATTGTAGCGACAGGCCCTGTCAGGAGCGAGTTGATGCCGATCGCACCCCGACAGGGCCGCCGCCCGTGCACCTATGCACCGCGCATCGAGCTGCAGTGCGACACAATAGGCCCGAGCAGCATCAAGTCTTCCTGCAGATGTGCAGTGCCAGGGAAATGAAAGAGAAATAATCAGATAATACTCCAAACATACCTGGCTAGCATAGCCTCCATTCAACCTCCAAATCCCCATTGGCATTGTGCCGGTGTATCTAGAGCGAAGATTGTCAGACAGCATCCATGAGGGACAGGATGTATCTGCCAATCCGAAGCTCAGGCAGAGTACATGGAGACTGCGAGGCACATCTGTGGGTACAAAGATGGCCCCGCATGAGAGTGTGGTATGCAGTAGCTAGTCGAAGGGAACAGTAGAGGCAGGAAGAGAGAGAAGAGGATGCCGACGTGAGGTGACCAAGCAATTTTGATGAAGTTCAACATTTGCAGTTGTTTGTGAGCCGTCATACGCCAGGGGTAGTCAGACTGGCAGAGAGTTGCGCAGTTACGGGAGGCAGTACGGAGGGTATATGTGGGGGTCAGCAGCGAGATGGACGCTCAGAAGGCCTTGCAAGGCCTTCTGATACGCCATCAGTCTTATCACGTGTTCCAAACGCCACCAGGGCATAGCAGATTTCTCCACTTTTGCTGATGTATTATAATAGATTGACTCAGTACTATTTTCCTTACAACCTTGCGCAGTCTTTCCCTAACGCACCATCACGCATCAGCTCCCTCTTTTCTTCATCGGTTAGCCCGAGTTCGCTGAGCACCTCCTCCGTGTGTTGCCCACGAATAAGTTCAGTAGTCCGCTTTACATCTTGAGGAGAGACATCACGTAATGCAACAGACGGTGTCCTTCCCAGATGTGGATGTGGCGTCGGAATAAGTAGAGGCGTGCTTGAAGGCGTGCTTGAAGGCGTGGAAGCCGCTGCCTCGGAAAGCGACAGAACAGGAACGGTGCATGCATCAGTTCCTACGAATGAAGTAAACATGCGTCAATCTTTTGTTCATGTTTTCGACAAGAGGTCATATACCATGAAACACTTCGGTCCAAAAGTCCCTTGGATGCATCCTGAATCCTTGCTTCAAATATTCCTTCAACAACGGCCACGCGCTCCGGTCTGCCTGCGTCTCGTATGTTGGCCTCCATCCATCCGAAAGTGTGAACTTCGGCGGAACCACACCTAGGAACTTATCAAGGAATACGCGAAAGAACTGCGGCTCTAGACATCCCACGGTCATCCAGCGCCCATCTGCACACGTATAAACATCGTAAAATGGCGCTCCACCATCAAGCGTTGTCTTTCCTCGCTCGCCAGAGAGTGGAGGGGGAGCATAGAGATGCGTAAGCATGAGGAAGGTCGAGACGTAACGCGTTCCTGATACCTGCACAACGCGTCAATCCAAACGCAGAAGAGAACATGACTTCTGTAAACGCGCCATATCTGTGTTCACTACCTGTCCTAGACCGCTGCGCTGCCGCTCCATGAGTGCAAGCAGGATTCCCAATGCGGATGTAAGGCCACCTCCAGCGAAATCTCCTAGGAGATTAGCGGGGAACATTGGTTTTTCATCCCCTGGCATAAGCTTATGAAGTAACGTCAAAGCAACATGTTCTCAGCAGATATCGAGATCAGCAGTTGCTAAAACGCCTACCGACAGTACACCGCTCGAGGCGAGGTAATTGATATCATGTCCTGCAGACGAGAGATTTGACTATTTGACAGTCATCAGAGAACAAGATAAGAACACTCACCCGCCATATCCTTTTGACGACCTTACTTCTGTATCAACATACGAGTACGACACGTGCGGATCACAAACTAACCTATTCGCGTAAAGCTGCTCGACTTAGCTTTCAGCGACTCGACTCAATTCTCGACACTTACCCAACCAAGCGCGCGTAAACAAGTCGTTTGTTGCTCCCTTCATTGCCTACGAACGTTTCTGGACCAAGTCCCATGCGCTCCATGACGCATGGACGAAATGGGTCAATGAGAACGTCTGCACTATCGACGAGCCTGCGCAGAGCCTTACGTCCGGCCGGTACCTGCCGATCCTCGATGAATCGCTCATATCATGAACAACTATTAAAACAAAAATAGCACGAACTCTGCTGTCGATGGCTATCGAGCGCTTTCCGCGGCAAAGGACATCTGGGGCCACCGTTGGCGGAACTGAAGGACGATCTACGCGTATCACTGTGGCACCAAAGTCAGCCAGGATCATGCCAGCCATGGGGCCTGGTGCAAGCCCAGCAAACTGGTAAAGATGGTAGGGATGTGATAAGCTGGTGGAGGCTTCGCAGAAAGACATGCGGACGGACCTCCACGACTCTGATGCCTGCAAGGGGAAGGGTGACATCGCGCTGCTCGGACATCTCTACAACTTTACGCCGCGCCGTCCTCTGTTTCCAGAGTTTAGACCACGACTTTGTGATGGCTTGGTGTCGTGAAGAAGAGCGGAGCATTGAAGGTGATCCTGCTACTACAATCATGATGCCTCCGGATCCGGCACATTGCAGTTACACCATACCCGAACTGTGTGAAACTTTCTGAATCAGATTGGTGATTCCGAGAGCTGAACTCGAATACTACGCTTCCCATATTTGGTAGATCGAGTGTTTGTCAGAGTCTCGGCCACGAATTTGCTTCCATCGTCATCCGCAGTGAGTTACTTACTCATCTCTTCATCACTTTCTTCCATCTCCATGGCTGAATATCATAATAACTATCAGGAGAAGTATCTTGCAGCGACCCCACCAGCGCACACCTCCAGTACTTTCGGAGTGGCTGAGCAGGTTCCAGACAAGACGGACGAGAAACATCCTCTAGCAGATGGCGCACCCGCTTTACCCCCACGATACTCCAATGGGATTCAGGCGTATCATGAACGAGACTCTATCGATGAAGGAGGCCAGTCAGACGTTGATGTCTTAGAGAGCGCGGAGCCCGTTTCTCCCGATTTGCCATCGGCGACCCACCCCACTGTTGCCTTTGCCATACCGTTTCCTACCGTCTTTCAACCTTCAGAGAAAGCGAGGGATAAGATCCCGCCCTTCGTGCTGTACTCTCCAATGGCCGCGGCGCTATCAAAGCCGCCGGAAAATGGGAAGGAAAGTGTTACTCGTAAGGCGATGCGCAAGTGGGAAGAAGAGGAACGGGAAGCTAGAGAGAAGGGCCATGGCTTTAAGGTGAGAATTTGTGTATTTCCTGCCGAATCTGCGTTTACATTTACATTACTCCGAGCAGGCCAAAGCAGTGAAAGTGAGCAGGTTGTGATTACAGATCGAAGACACGCCGTACTGATCATATTGGGCAGCTCATATCTAAGGGAATGTCTGCTACTAAGAACAGCCGTATTGAATTCTTAGTTCGAACTCCAAACAAGAAGAAGCTGAAGGAGGTAAGATTCTCCTTCGTTGAAAGTAAACAATTAATCGAACATCATTTTAGTTGCGCATCATCTATCCTGCCTCTTACGATGCCGAAGATATCAAGCAGCGTTTCACAGATCTCATCAAGAAGGCTAAATCGGGCGCTATTCGAAACGGTGTCATTTCGACCGCGATGCTGCCATTCATTCTTACATTTGACGTACTTACCTTTATCGCTGGAGTACGTAGTCACTGTCGTTACTTTTCCTTCAACTAATCGTCCATTCTTCCTAGCCGTTTGAAATCAATGCTGTTTGGGCTGCGTCTTCGTGGACAGGCGCCGCCCGCGCCTCGGCCATTTCCTCACGCATAACGAGCGAGCGGCTTCCTGTCTCCCTTTCTCCAGACATGCGCCTCGACCCGCTCTCATATCGATTGCATGAAATCTGCTGGCGGAAACTCAAGAAGCCTCGCAGCACCATGGAGCTTCCGCGGTGGCGGCCAGAAGCTGGCCCTCTTAAGCGCGGTCCTGACCTGGCCGGGGTCGTGCTTGACGTGATCCGCGACCAGGGCGAAGATCTCAGTGAGCTGGAGACGAACAAGATACTCGTGTCGGAAGACCTGGAGAGATGCTTGAAGAAAGGTGCGAAGGAGTGGGTCAAGATCGTTGAATCGTAGACGGACTATCGGCTGGAGCGTGAAGCATCTTGCGGATTCGGATCAGTGTACAATCAATTCTTTCTTTCTGGTGTATATCAGTGAGCGTTGTCGCTTCTTTTATCCTACATTAATATCTCTGTATACATGTAACTCCTCCACGACTTAAACGAATAATTTCTCGGGCCAAATGTAGATGTCATTTCCTTATGGTTTACGTGAATTGCATGTCAGAAGCACTAGGTCTCGATTTCTCATAACACTGGACCTCTTTGCCCACTAACTTCGTTCACCCCAAAAAAATTGCGACTATGTACGTGAAGTACTGAATCATTCCTTCGTAGGTTAAAATATCCTGACAGACAAGTATTCCAAACAGACAACGCAGTATCGTGGGCTTATCGGTTACAACATATTCTTTGGTCCATATTTAATCAATTCGTGCAGGCACCCAGCTTCCAACTGATACAACCACCCATGTATCCACAGATTTTTTCCCTCCGCCCTCGCGGCCCGGACGGCCTCGCTCTTCTCCACATTCCGCACTTGCATACACACATTCTCCTTCACTAGGTCGGGGATAGAGAGTCCACTCTCCTCCGCTAGCGCAGTTAACGGCGCCAGCCAGCGTCCAAGTGGCGTGTTGGGATCTATGGATTCGCCTCCGTGAGCGGCTGCGTGGCATGCATTTACCCCACCGCAGTAAGTATGCCCGACTACAATTATGTGTGAGACTCCGATGGGCTGAATCGCAAGGCTAAGCACGGAAAGCGCGTTGTTATCGTCCAAATGAAACTGGCTGTGTAGGTGAGCAAATCAGTACCGATCTATAATGGAGACTATTAGAAGGACGTAACGCACGCACTTTGCGATGTTCCTGTGGGTTAAGATCTGGCCAGGCATACTGGCTGTGATAACAGACTCAGGGACGCGCGAGTCGATGCAGCCTATCCAGAGCACCTGTGGAACAAAGCGTTTAGGTCCGGATTAGGAAAACACGCGCAATGACCGCAGCATACCTTAGGAACCTGAGGGCCCTGAACGCTTTCCCTGAAGAATGCCTCCCCGATGTCATTTGCCCAGTTTTTGTTACGCTCGAGCAGCTGCTCGGGGACATCAAGATTGTGGGCCTCAGCCATTGTTGCGTATTAGCTTCCGAACTGGGGAGCTCGAGGGTTAAGTGGATAGTGTCATTTGTGTCTTTCCGCCTTCATATAAGTACTAGGAAAGACGCGCGCTCTTTGCCCTCCCGGCACCGTGACATCAAACGTTGTACGACAAAAACCAAAACCTCCCATGTCTTCCGCATCAAGTGACATCGCAGAATTACTCATTGGTTGCGGGGTGTGAAGAGAGTTCTATAGCAAGTCCCTTCTTATGACAAAAGCACATATCGCAATAATATCGCAATAGGCTCGTTAACCAGCGTCTAGTAGACTGCATGCAGCGGCGAGGGCGATTTCTATCAACTGCGGTGGTTCATGAAGTGGTATCTCCTTTCTTCCATGCAGCGGCGAGGGCGACTTCTATCAACTGTGGTGGTTCATGAAGTGGTGTCTCCTTTCTTCCATGCAGCGGCGAGGGCGACTTCTATCAACTGCGGTGGTTCATGAAGTGGTGTCTCCTTTCTTCCATGCAGCGGCGAGGGCGACTTCTATCAACTGCGGTGGTTCATGAAGTGGTATCTCCTTTCTTCCATGCAACGGCGGCAACCTCTATCAACTGCGGTGGTTCATATAGTAGTCTCTTCTTTCTTCTGAGATGGAAGCATCAAAAGAGAAGTAACCCAGCCAAAGATAAATACGCTCCACCACCCGACGGTCGCCTCAGGGATGAGTTATACATCTATCCTTCGGCGGAGGAGCGAATAACCCGCATCAATTCGCCGAGCGAGCATACGCCTCCTTCAGTTGATCGAGTGCACTCTTTAAGCCAGAAAGTGAGCAAGGCACAGACGGTTCGAGAGAATACTGACCTCGTACGAAGATCGAAGGGAAACAACATCCTTATCCGAGACCCTTATTCGCTTGACTTTATCCAGATGATCGGATGTCTTCAGCATTGACTTGAAGTAGCGAGCCTGCGATGTACGGATCAGCGATTTAGATGCCACCGTCCCATCAGAAATGCGGCATACCTCTTGTTCCTCAACTAAGGTCCATGCATGTCCGGAGCGACCCGCACGTGCTGTCCGACCTACCCGGTGTACATACTTTCGCATATCCACAGGAGCATCGTAGCTCACAACATGTGAAACATGGCTGATGTCAATCCCACGGGATATAAGATCTGAGCAGATGAGTCTATACGCAGTCGCATTCACCATTTGTGTAAGTCACAACGCAGGGTTTGCCGGTACGTACATGTCAATCTCCTGTTTCTTGAACCTTTCCAAGAGGGATTTCCGCTCGGTGGCACCCAGATCACTCGAATAAGCCCGTGCGACGGTATTACAGCAACTCTGGTCTTCAGAAGAACGTGCCGCCTCGAAGTATTCGAACAGTCGAACAAGGCGTGTTGTTGACTCCGCAGACTTAGTGAAGACAAGAGCATTGGTGACACCGCGGTTGTGCACCAGATGAAACAATGTCAATGGCTTCTCAGAAGACGAGCACACAATCATATGTTCCTTCAAGGATGACCGGACGTATTAGTTTCTTTGGTAGGATAGTTTAGAGATGGCGTACCGTTAAACCCGCAGGCATTGTGAATTTCTCCATTACTAGATCCAGTACGCTCGCCTCTTCAGGCACTGCACTCTCCTTTCGACTCTGCACAATGAAGTACCTCGGATTGTGTAAATTTAATGCAGATATCTTAGCCGGGTCTCTGGTCAAGGTGGCAGAGAATAGCAGCTTTTGACACGACGAGTCTCTTTTCTCGTCCGTATCTGTGCAAATATCAGGCACGCCGCGGAGCAGATGAAGCGAAGCGGGGGAGAGAGCATCTGTACTGGGAACTGACTGCTCTGAGAGAAGATCGGGAGACACGTCTGGCTCTTCCTGACGTAGTGGAGGTCGGGTTGCTGCCAGCACTTGAGCCAACCAATCTTGGAAGGATTGTGCGAGAAGACGGTCTGCTTCGTCAATCACCTGTACCGGATCATAAGAAGGTAGTAACGTCAGACGAATGATGGGTGGCATACCAGAAATCGCAGGTGCTGTAAGGAGAAGTTAGGACTTCCATTGAGATGATCCATAAGCCTTCCTGGAGTGCAGATTAGAATATCCACCTTGCTTGAGCCCCCCTGCAGTCTGGAAGTACAAATCAATGCACGGAATGAATGAATCCTAGAAAAATATGCAGACAGTGAAAGTTTACAACGCACCCGGGTGACTTGTCTGCAATGAGTTGTGCTTGCTCGTGAGCAAAAGAGTGCTGTCCAGTAGCTGTCCCGATCTACGGGGTGAAAGAGTCACCACACCGAAGGATATTGGACACTAAGCACGACTGCCATACCTTCAAACCTCTGCCTTTTGATACGGCTTCGAAAGTTTCGCGCACTTGGATAACCAAATCACGTGTAGGCAGAACCACGAGTGTCCTGAGACGAATGACGATCCGTGGCGACAAGATCTAACTAGAATTCCCCATCACAATCAAGTAGAGACGAGAAGCAGTGCTTACTTCCACAATGGGTAGAACATAGGCCAAAGTCTTCCCACTTCCAGTAGGCGCCGAGACACAGACATCGTTTGGGGGATCGTAAGGGAGGTAAAGCGACTTCAGGCGGTCTGTTGACAGAAGAAAGGGAACAACTGCCGTTTGCACTGATCATGAAATTCAGTAGTTAATAAACTCTCGTTGCGTGGCAAGCGAAAACGAGACAAACCAGCGAACAGTTCGGAGATACCCAGATCTGCAAGTCTCTTTCTTGTCCTTTCGCTCAATTGTGTTCCATTGTTGGCATTAGCTGTAGATGAAAATCCCATGACTTGGGCGGGGTCGATAACTTCGGCTTCCACCAAAGCTTTGTCGATACCCTGCAAAGCGAGGACCGACTTTGACGGGGCATCCGGTTGAGAAGGCAGAGAAAATGAGGGAAGGATTGCTTTGGGCGTTGGCGATTGTCCGCGTGGATAATCCTGTACCGTAAGTGCCACTTCCCTGTATTCCGTTTTGCTGCGATCTGTGGAAGTAGGTGTAGTCGGTCCACTGTCGCCCTTATCAGAACTGTTCAGTTTGCGTCTTTTTTTGGGTCTATTCTCCTTCTGTGCTGCCTCTCCACGCTCGAGCTCATGGTCGCTTGCTTCCGATGCGTGACGGTCAATCTCATGTTCCTCAGAGTCCTCGTCAGTTTCAACCCCCACCGGCAACACGTATGATTGTTCTTCAGCAGCCTTCTCCGGTACAGTGGCAAGACCCTTTCGTTGTTTACGTCTTTCTTTCTTGGCTTTCAAATATCTTTGTTTGGCCCTTGTTTTGACCTGCAGCACGATTAGATCCTCATCCTCGACCGTACACACAGATAATTTGACCTTTGGCTTTACTATTGGCGCATCGGTGGCTGACATAACCTGAGCAGCGCTCATTATTTAAGCCGTCACTAGTAGAACGGTAAGTACTCCAGAGTTCCAGATGATGGTCGCACTTAGCTCGGTGGCGGCTCAGCGGCCAGTGGGAGACATTACCTAATCTCAGAGCCAAATCTGATCATTCCACTTTCTGCCATTTGGTACCCGGGCCGCCATCCATCTTCAGCTTAGTCTCCCGTAGGCAGACTACAAAATGATCCCTATGAGTGAGGGAAGGGACGGAATCATATAGGTCTGCTTCAATACGCGCCCCCTTAGCCGTAGTACACGATTTCACTCGTGATGAGCCATGCCGAAGGGATGCCGGTGATCCGGCAATGTGCTGACTGAAAACGGCAGACGTGTTCTTGACGGGCTCTCCCTGCTATGGTGTGTTTTACGAGATACTGAAGTTTAAAAGGCTTGAACACAGTGCAGGGATGCTCTGGTTCAGTTCTGTGACAACCAGGGATTACTATTGGTGTGAGCCATGGGGGGAGATGTTGCAACATATTAGATTAACATGTTCTCTGTCACCCCTCCCGGTTTGCAGGTACCTGCGACCTCCTCCGAGTCTGTTGTACCACCAGTTCCTCCACTTTGCAGTTCGGAAGGATGAGCCTACCACTGCACATGCTGGTCTGTCCCATATGCTCGTCTCCGGGTTTTCGGACAACACCTCGTGGATGCCAGATCTATGCACGCGTTTCTGAGATCAAATTTTCAACATCCCGAATTCGTGTACTGCGGTTTGACCCTCGCCAATTGAAGCAGACTATCTTCAGCTTGAGCTTGATCAGTGTCATGATCAGACTGGTGTACAAGCTTAAAGTTGCCCACCTCAGGGCAGACGACGAATCCTCATAGAGAGATGACTGCAAGCTTGAAACCCGAACTTGAAGGCCTCCTTGTGGTCGTACCTGTGTCTGGAACTCATATGTCGACTTTACGTGGCTCTAGTCGAGACGCTCACTGGACCGCCCTGATTTCTTATATAGAGAAGTGTATAGAGAAGTACTTGATTCCACTTGTAATGCTGGAATAGTCTAATCTATGCCGTGCTGGTCGTAGATTAATTACTGTCATAACGAAATATCCGGTAGAGGCACTGGCAACTGCCTGCCCAGACTCTATTCAGAGAAACATGTAACTTGGGTCTTTAGTTGTAGCTAGCCAACCCAGCTAGCCTTCCGGTTTTCCTCATTCCTTCTGTTGACAAACTTGTATGCCCGATGTTTGTGCTTTGCGATTCTAATGCGAGCACCCTGACTCTTCGGCGGCAAAACAGCTGATTCGTGGCCCGAGGTCCTCGACACGTCTGGAAAGCAAACTGGTGAGTTGTCCTTCTTGACGCGCACTGCCGTCTGGCCTATAATTGATGCGATTTTACGCGCACACTGTGTCGGTGTCGCCCTTCAGAGCTGAGCTATGCGGCCCGTTGTCTTGAAGCCCTTTAGAGATGTATGTGAACTCGACGAGTCGGATTACGCCAGGTGGAGTCTCAATGCACCTGCCCATGTGGTCTTCCCTCCAGTAGCGGAGAATTCGTCTTGATATCGCGCTGAGCATCTCCACATACCTTTGCCAGTGCTTTTTCGGCGAGCAGAAGTAATACCTCTTCATCCCTTCGTTGCAGATGTTCCGAAGCTTGTTCAATCGACATTGCTTCGTTTGAACATTTTCTCCGATGTTTTTATGGCAGATAGACGTGTCTTGCCATCCGATCTCTGGTGCGTCCTCCTGGTGCTTTTCATTGCGTGGAGATGCTCGTAGCTCGCCCGCTCGCTGCAGATCTGTAATTATCCATCCTAAATTCACCGTGGAATTGATTAAATATGACAAAGTCCCTATGCATACCCCCTTCACTTGGGCGGTTTACTGCGGTGCATTCCGTCATGGTTAATATGGATGATGCGCGACTTGTTGCAGACCAAATGCGGCATCCTCGACCGGTCTGTGCTTCCATTCGAAGTCCCGTCTTGAATTTTTTGCAGCTAGATTGCATCAGAAACCAAGGACACGCCACGTACGGGTTCGGACGATGAAAACGAAGCATCACGATAGAATCTGTGATCTTCGTGATTCCGCCCACCAATATCTTCTGGATTTACTTCAAACGGCGTATTGCCGGGCCTTCTCCTTGACATTGTCATATCTTGCCGACCCCTTGTTGGCTACCCCAGCATGGTTACCGAGTCACAGGCGAGTCTCATAGACGATCTTGGAGATCACATGGCTTGCAATGTCTATGTCGAGCTTGTTGCAGTCGGATCTCCTGACCTTGCGACATTCCCGAGGTCCAACCCTTATCGGCACGTAATCTTAGCCATCATTGTCGGAACTACGCATCTCCACAGACCCACAGTAAACTTATGTTTCTGGAGACGCTGTATCCAGCGTGATTGAAATCGTCACGTTGCTTCATATACTAGAGCTACTCTATGTGGTGGATTTATGCCTGTAGGATCACCTCGCGACGCCATGAATTTTTGTTCTGGCATATATAAGAGGAGTAAACTAGCCGAGATATCCGTCTTTCCACCTGTGCATGATAGGCGGTGCGTGTTGACCAGCTCGGTGCAATCTCCAATTTTTTGCTTGCTGTGGTGCAGATGTGCTCACAAGAATGGTGAGTGTTTCTGTCCGTGCAAACGTGAGCTTGTTCGCATATTCATTCTTGCCATACCCACTAGCTTCGGAAATCAACATCGAGGATGTGGCGTCAGTCTCATTTAACTCGGTCTCATCAGCGTTGCTGGTTATTCATCAACATCCGGGCGATGTGTGTGCTCAGCACTACGTCCTTCTGTACTATTCAGGCGAACAAACCGACTGCGGAAGGCCCAACTGCGGTCTGAGTTCCGCGCACATCCATAAGACTGCCAAAAATTGTCCATGCCCCAAGGTATGGAGTTCACCGTTGCAACTTTTCGCTCTGACCACGCCCTGCTTTTACTTGTTCAGACCTTCCGTGACCAGCGGAGAGTCCTTAATTTGATACAAGAACCTTGTGATGCTTGTAAGGAAGCTGCTCTGGCAGCACGGGTCACCCCCCGGTGGTGATAGGGATTTCTGCCTTGTGTGCAAATCTTTCGACATCTGTTTCCTAGACCATTACAAGGGTCAACGGATCTCGAATGTATCTCTTACTGTGCCTCGTCAAATATGCGCGAATTTTGTATCACTAATATACGACCTCTGATGGACAAACCTTCAGCGGTACATGAAGCTCTACCTCAGCATGCAATGCAGCATCGCTTCCATTACTTGGAACTTTGTGCATTTTACATCCGGCTGGATCTGTATAGATAAAATCGCAGCACTAAAGACAGCATCCTTTCACATGCACTAGTCTAGAAAGAAGACACGACGCAAACACGATACAACGACATGTGCCTTGCCCTCCCAGGTTTGATGAAATCAATGGAGATAACTGAGAACACACAATTATTGTCCACGGGGAGAACATACATCCGGAAGCATCATCGATACTACACATTTGCGCACAACATCAGAACCGTCTTCCTCCACGCTTCAGTGGTTGTTTAGCCCCTCGTTGCACGCCCCCTTTGATCTGCACTACCCGTCTTCTGCGCTCTGCTTCGCTGTCTTCGTCACTTGATGACACCACGGGGGCGCGTTTAACTCTCTTGGAGACTGGTTCAGGAGACGAGCCGTCCCCCGGGGCTTGCTCCTGGGAACCAGATTTATCAGGGGTGGGCTGGGACTTAGAGCTAACACGTGTAGGGGAGCCTGATCGCGAAGCAAGGGCGCTCGGCAAGATATGGTTTTGAACCTTCAAATCTTTGGCCTTACCCTTCTCTTTTTGGGGAGGTGGCACATCATCATCAGACTGCTCCGTAGCAGAGTCGTCATCTGCAGCCTGCTTTGGCGGCAAATTTTGGGAGGATGGAGACTGTGACCCGGGAGGAAACCGAGCGGATGGCCGCGTACCATGAGCCTGCACTCAACCAAAGGAGGTAAACCCTGAGAATAACCGTTTGATTGTGAGACGTACGGGGACGACCGGAGACCCTAAAAGCCGGTCCTGTGGAGGCTTCGAAGGGGCTCGTGACCTTTGCGGTGGTGAAAGGAGGTTGGGTCTCTCCACGCTCGAGGAGATAGAAGCTAGGATTTCATAGTCAAAGAGGAAGATAACGACCAGGGCGGAGATGCTCACGGAGCTCCGGAAGGAAATTGAAGATGGCTGTCATACGGCGCAGTGTGGTCGCGACACGGGGCCTAGAAATCGCATTTTTTACATGCGTATCCACTGTCCGCCTGGCAGTTCTCCCGACTTTGTCCACTGCCTGGTGACACGTTAACGGAAGTATTTCAGCACCGAGTGACCTTGGTAAACGCGTCTCACCTTCTCAAGGTTGACCTCCGACAATTCGCTGATAGTATCTGCAGAGGAGAACGCAAGATGGGTAACGCTGATCAGAGGCATGATGAGGTGTTTGGATATCAGATCAGCTGAGACTTTGGGCCCGACGTTGTAGGTCTCCCATCGCCATTTGAACGCGTCACTTCCCAGTTCAAACGCAAAATCCTGTATGTAAATAATGAGTGATAGAAGAAACGATGATCAATGGGGACGACAAGGCATACCGCGTAACGCGAATCGACGATGTCGAAAGATAGGTCGAGAATGCCGCCGAGAGTATGTGCGGACGACACGAGTTCCAAAGTGCTTGTCCTCCATTCATCCTCTTCTTCTGTCGTGATGAACATCGACGATGACTGCGGGTTGCAGTCGCGCCATCGCCGCGCAAACTGCTTGCTCGACAACACTGAAAATAGCCACTGAAACCTGCATCTTTCAATCCAATGGCAAAGTTGCTTACCTTCACCCCACACGCCTTTCGTGTCGGTGATCATGATGCAACAGCATTGGTCTACTGTTGACGAGTAGAATTTCTACAGAGCATACGGAACGTGACGAGGATGTAATGTAACGACAATGCGCGAAGACAAACCAATAGATAGGGGATGGACTTCTCGCTGTCTATTCTGACGAGCCACTCCTTGTTAAGGAGAAGCTTGTAGTGATCCTGAGAGCCATTATGGTCGTGACTATTAGTAACTATCGACAATACCGTGCAGGGCCACTCGCCTCTGACAAGTACTCCATATGTTCGAGATACTTTACGTATACAATGTAGACCAGCTAGAAAGATGAGATGCTCTAGTACCACTGCTAGTATTACCTTTGCATTGACCAGCTCGGTTTGTCAGAGTAAGTAGTGTGCAAGATCATTGAGTCAAACAAAGTCCGAAACGGTGGCGCTAGGAGCGCGCTTGTTTGCTGCCGCGAAGCTGAGGCCAACGTCGACAATGACAAATACTGCTTTGTTCGCACCGTCCATCGTACCGTGACTACGTCTGACATTGGCTGGAGGCAAATGTCTTTATCGTCCCCGTGCGCATGAACATGACCTCGGAGATCCTAACTAAGTGACTGAACGCATCCTCTTAACAGACGTTGCTGCTAGCTATATGAACGCCATGGAGGCAGGGGAGATACCCCCTGACAGAATCCCTGCTGTACATCCTCATGCCGTGCCATCATATGACCATCTGCATAGTGAGTGGCACGACGAACGATCGTCACAGGATATATCTGGTACTATTCATTCCCCCGCGCTGGAATGGCCAGGCGATGCCGGATCACCTCCCTGGGCTGCGCAGCCATCGGATAACTCCCCTCATCCCCCTCCTAAACCATCTTCGAGGTTGTTCGCCCACGCCCCGGCGTCTCTGCGACTTCTCGTGCAGAAAACTTCTGTCTTGCCGAAGAGGCAGACACTCGCAGTCATCGATGGCTACTCGGAAGTCCAATTTGGTCGCGACATTGCCCCGCCCGGCAGCGACACTCCGCGCTTACGCCTGAAGGAGATGGAGGTATCGAAGCTGCATGCAACAATGTATTGGGACCAGAAGCGGGAGGAATGGGCGGTGGTGGACATGGGCTCGAAGCATGGCACGTTTCTTAGGTCTTCTGGCTCTGCGCCGTTTGGTGGGGTGCAGGGTGCAGGTTATTCTGTGGCACCTGACATGGACACGTCGTGCTCAGAGGAGAAGGGTTTCCGTTTGTCTCCACCCAGAGTTGCAAGCATTCCCCGCCGTCTGCGACATCTCGATCGCCTCAGTGTTGGAAGTACGACGTTCGCTGTTCACCTTCATGACGACCAGATGCCGTGTGTCGACTGTTCGCGGCAGGAGGGCAAAGAAATACCTTTGTTCGCTGTACGTAGGGTGGAGCGCTATGCCGAAGCGAACAAGAAGCGCGAGCTGGAAGCGACGAATGCTCCACTGACGGTTTCTAGCCAAAGTGGAGCGGCAGGAGAACGGAATCCGAAGCGTGCGCTGACGATGCTGAAACGGAGCTTGCTGTCGCGTCACGATTCACCGCCCACTAGGGAGCCAACACCGCGATATGTTGACAGGAGTGCACGGCGACGCGCCCTACATCCTCATATTCCGCTCGACACCCCACACTCACATCTGCAGACGAAATTTTCACCATCGCCAGCCTCTTATCCCGTATCTCGTTCGGAATCACCATTCGCTTCAATACCGACTTCTTCAAGATCGGCCCCTCCCACTCCTTTGCCGGATACAAATGTCGGACATCGTCTTCTCATGAAGCAAGGCTGGCAGCCAGGTACGAGTCTTGGCCAGGCTGAAAGCGGTGGCCTCGCTCTGGTCGAGCCTCTTGAGGTGAGCGGTAATGTCGGCAGAGCAGGGCTGGGTATGAGCGCTTCTGCAGCTCTTCCACCTGGCGTTGGAAACGTTGAAATCGAATGGAAAGAGGATGGAAAGTTCAGACGTTGGGCAAGTCTTAGAACGGAAGATATCGCGAGATAATCCCGCGATGAGTAGTGCACTGTCCACTGCGTGGTAAGACGATTATCCTGTTTCTCATAGATCACGGCTGAGTTTTGTTTTCTTACGTGTTACATACAGGTTGAGTGGACGAGGCCATTCAGAAACCCTCGCGGGAGAGCTGCTGCGAGAATAAAGCGAAGGCGGACGAGCCATCTAGGAAATGTCAAGACACCGCAACTCGATGCGGCGCGCGATGACCGGCACCTAAAGCACAGCGTCGGGCACGGCGGCTCGCAATGGCGTACACGCCTTACTGAGTGCCCCAGCGCAGACCCTGCCAAATGCTGCCAGGTGAGTATCTTGACATCTTGTCTGAGCCATCACGAAATTACCAATGCAGGTCTGCGTGGATAGACTAATTCAGATTGAGTGAACCCAGCTAGCCAAAAAGAAGAGAACGACAAACATATACCTCCTGGTTACTCCTGATTTGACTGGCTTTGCTGGTTAGCTAGGTTTTGTTGTTGCGAAGCGGGGGAGTTGGCGCTTACTGTTCCGACGTATATTGCGGGGATTCACTGTTACTCGACATGGGATCAATCGGAATCCACCAGCCCTGCCGTTTCCGAGTCCAGACGCGATTGTGGACTTGCACGTTGCTTACATTCCATTCGCCGTTGTCCGGACAACGGAGCTGTGCTCGGTTGTTTTCCCTCATTTCGGGAGACTGCGTCTTATCGTGACATGTGCTGGCTTGCCCCACTGATCTCGGTGATGATGATGCATTTGCTAAGGGATCTATGTAGTGTTACCGCCTTCCGACAGCAGCTATATTCGTCTTCGGTTCGTGGTGTCGATTTGAGTCCGGACTCGTTGTGTAACGAACCGTGGGCAGTCAAGATGACAATATTCACTTAGCACAATAACTGAAGTACCTTGGCACCCTAGAGCTCGAGAATGAAATGGAACATGTCACAGCGACAGAAAACGAGAAAGGCGGCGGCACCTCAGGCTGTCCATCACTGAGGAGTGGGCGCCTGTGGACGCGTTCTTTGCGCAGGTTTACTGGTCACGTGCTCGCGCGACGCGGACGAGGTTGAAATCGCGAAAGTGAACCTTGCGCCTCTTGTTGTCCCCCAGGCTGACACTCGCAGACACCCGCCTCCTCTCTCTCCCCTTTCCTCCTTCCATCTTTTGGCGCGTCGGGCACATTTTTCTTTATCGTCGTTTCCACCTTACATTCCGTGAAGCGCACCCCCATCAAGAGCAACATTTCACCCCTCGTCACAGTAGTCAGATACGATTCAAATGGCAAGCCATAACGTCCGCGTAAGTGTTGCAAGAATCTTCTCTTCCGTCAATATGCCCTGAGCTTTGATCTTTTATGTCGTCCATGAACACAGCTTCCCATGCGAAACCGAACAGGTCCTCAACGCCCCAGAGTACACGGCGATGAGAATGCCACGAGTCGACATGTTCGTCAAGGATCCGGTATTGCAATCGCAGGCGCGTCACGCGCCGTCGCCAACGGTCACATACAGAAGAACGGGCCCCAGCGTCCCGCCCTCGGCGAAGTCACGACCACAGCAGTCAACCGCAAAGTACGTGCAACTCCGTCTGGTTTTATATCTGTAAGGTTGGTCCACTAACAACGTCGTTTCTGTGCACCCGCAGGACGCTGCCAGCAGACCTACTGGGAAAGACAAGGAAATCATCGATGCAAACGTCAAACGCAGTCGCTCTTCCTCCCTCGTAGCCGCGACTGGGCCTCAGCGCGTCCCTGTTGGTCCTGGCAGAGCCGCGCCAACCGTCGCAACTGTGGTGCCTGTGCACGCGCGTGCGACTCGTGCTCAGAGGCCCCATTTGCCTAACCGTCCCGTTCACCGTGTTCCCGTCCCGACCGAACGCGAACTGCGTGCACAGGCCATCGAGGCCCAAGAGGATGAAGACAGCATGGACGTCGAGGAGCAGCCGCCTGCCAGGGTCCTTACCATCGAAGAAGCCAGCCTGATCGTCGGCGAGGAAGAGGTGGAGGGTATGATCGGCGTCGACAGCACAGAGGACAGCGAAGACGAGGAGGCTCAGTGCATTGCCAACGCGAAGGCTGCGCGCGTTTGGCCTGAGGTCTCGACAGATCGTGCTCAGCGGTATAGCCGTCAGATTGAAGATATCAAGGAGACCTTCAACGATCCGTCGGATGAGTTCGATATGACGATGGTGTCCGAGTATTCCGATGATATCTTCGAGTACATGCAAGAACTTGAGGTAAACCTGCGTCCTCTTCGCGGGCGAGCCTCTTGCTGAGGAACTTGTACAGGACGATGTGATGCCAAACCCCGATTACATGGACGGTCAAACCGAGATTACCTGGGACATGCGCCAGACGCTCGTAGACTGGTTGCTGCAAGTGCATCTGCGCTATCACATGCTTCCGGAGACACTATGGATCGCAATCAACATCGTCGATCGCTTCCTTACCAAGCGTATCGTATCAGTTCTCAAGCTCCAGCTCGTTGGCGTGACCGCCATGTTCATCGCATCGAAATACGAGGAGATACTGGCACCTTCTGTTGACGAGTTTGTCTTCATGACCGAGAATGGTTATGGAAGGGAAGAGATCCTGAAGGGCGAGCGGATCATGCTGCAGACGCTCGACTTCAAGATCAGTCACTACTGCTCACCCTACAGCTGGATGAGAAAGATCAGCAAGGCAGACGACTACGATATTCAGACCCGCACGCTGGGCAAATTCTTGACCGAGGTGACGCTCCTGGACTACCGCTTCTTGAGGGTCAAGCCGAGCTTGGTGGCCGCCATCGGGATGTACACTGCGAGGAGGATGCTAGGAGGAGACTGGGTGTGTGCTCGCTCTCTCCTTCCCCCTTCATACGCGATTGCATGTGGGAGACATGCCTTTACCACGTTGTTGTTCTCCAAATGCGTGTCTTTCACGTGATGTTGATTTGTCGGCGGGATGATGGAAGCGCTAACGCATTGTTCGCCACTTTCAGACCGACGCGTTCGTCTTCTACTCCGGCTTCACTGAGGAGCACCTCCTACCGGGACACACTTGGCTGCTGCAAAAGTTGACGGAGCACGGGTTCACAAAACAGCACGTCTGTCAGAAGTACGCGAACAAGAAGTTCTTGAAGGCGTCGCTGTACGCGATCGATTGGGCACAGAGACACGTCCACGAAGAGCTCATGAACTCGGAGAAGATGGACGAGTGAGGTACCCGGCTCACTGTGGCGAGGTTGCTCCGATGTTGTTGGGCGTGATCCGTACCGTCAACCCGCATTCGACCTCAACATCACAACTCCTTAGGCCTTAATCATCACCCTCTCTATCACGCCACGATCCCATGCCACGATCATCGGTCTTTCATCTCCGCCAGTCCTTGCATCCAACACACGTATTTGTTTATTATTACAACACTACCCACATCCTCCCCCTCGTCCATGTCCATGTCTATGTCTGTCATTGCGCGTTGCTTTCTTCAATTGTTCTTCAATTGGCTTCAACCTCTGCCCGACGCCCCGCATGCCACTTGGTTGAACATTTGCATTTCATCTGTATAGATCTCGTTGTCGTCAGTGCACGCTCTCAGTCTCCTCTTTATCTCGGCGCATATGCCTCCATGCTCGTTTTGTTCCATGCGTCACGCTCGCAAACATCGTCTCTATTTTATCTGCCACCTTCTCTTGTTTCGTTATTGTTTTGCATTCTTCCCCCACATACGGTCGACTCCGTGACCTCTCGTCTTGCTTTGTCCCCTACTTCCCGCCCAAAATGCCCTCTGCGCACTTGCAGGTTTTGTCGGCTTGTGTTAGTACTATTGCCCGCCGGGTTCGAACCCCATCTTGCCCTTCCGTCTTGCCAAGATCTTCCCCATCTGTCGTCTTGTGCACGACTTGTCCTACCAAGCCTTGTTCCCCTTCCTCTCGTTTTCCGCTTGGCGGTCGCGCTTCCTTTTGAATTCCTGGCCCGGCATGCATGGTATAGCTACGTGACAGCTGTACTATATCTGCGCAGAGCGCTCGACACGTCTCGGTTTTGGTCTAATTATCGTATTCTATGCGGTGTATGTGTGTCTGTCGGCAGTCCTAAAGCCAGAATATAACCCTTCCAAACTTGCAAGGCCAGGGGCGTTCGCCATGGAGACGAAAGATATGAGCCGCGAGGACCTCATACTTGTCAGGTCACGAAGAGTTGAGAAAACTGAAATTGGTGCGTTACACGTTCAATTGATCTCGTTCGTCCCTTAGAGAGACTCAATGTGTGCTGCGAAGCGTTCTCCCTACCCTACTCTGTCTCGAGAAGGCTAGCGCTCTGGAGGCTCTGGTCATTTGCCACTAGCGACTGTGAACTTACCCGACGCGTTCTGAACTCGGAAATTCGAATGCAAGAATCGCTTTTCCAACGGACCACATTAGCAAGACATGAGTGGCGGGAGAACTATTACATTTGCAACTAGCGTTCAAGTGACATGAGAACGGGCCTTGTCTGACAGCAGCCATAGTTGGAAATAAACAGCTCAGCGTTGCAAGGTCACAGGTCGGTTTGGGACTACCACACGATGGATTGCACAACGACACGTTGACCGCATCTTGAAGGTACATGTCTGTGATGCAATTACGGTGATGTTTAATTGCGAGGGTCCCTGGACAGTGATCAATAGGAGAATGCTTGCTTGCGATGCATCATACACTCCGAGCTTCAAGCTTCAAGTTCTGCCACCCTTTGGCCATGGCTGCCAATGACCATACGGAGAAGCTCTTGGATGCCGCTCAAGTACTTATCAAAGTGGGGGAACTTAGAGGGCCCTTCTGTTGAGGCAAGTCAACCGGACAATCTTCTTTTCACTGCTCTCTTCAATCCAGCGCCATCGTCTCAGCAAGCGGGTCGTTCGCTGAGGTCGTTCAAGTTCCCCTGAAGTGCCTCTTCGAAGTCGCTGCCGAGAACTAGGGAACTGTGCTTTGTACACCGTCGCTGAGCACTGTATCGCGGATCAGCTTGCCGAGGTCGACCAAACGATTGGAATACCTATTTCTCAGTTGAGCAAACCCATTGGTCTGTGCTCCTTGAAGCGAGCTCGGTGCGGCGTCAGGCACTGGACGAATACGAGTGTCTGGCGAGGGAACAATCGTAAGAAGCAAGGTTTGAGTGACTGGACCGATATGTTCGTACGACAGTTCTCCGAGTCTTGATCAGCTGCATGATACAGAGTCGACCGGAGGACTACTCCCTCAGAATGCATGAGTCTGAACAAGCTAGATTAATACGTAGCAGACGAGCCCGGCTCCCTTGCAAAACATAAGCCACACGATACAGCGTTGTGCAATCTGACAATGATATTGTTTCCCTCCTCATAACGCTTCTCGTCTCCGGTCGCACATATGCATCACATACCAATGATCGCGACGCCGGCTCCCTACTATACTGATCGCAAACGTCAATCACATGCGTTCGGAGCCGTTGCGGTCACGTACATATAGGCCCTCTCACCTGAGATTGCCCTAATAGTACTTTCGGTCCACTATCACGATGTCGCAGTTGTCTTTCAAAGGCCAGACCGTAGTTGTCACCGGCGCGGGAGGAGGTTTGGGCAAAGCGTGAGTGCTGCACAGTTCAGGTGTCGTGAAGGGTTGGACTCTACATTGGACATAGGTATTCGCTCTTATTCGCAGCGCGGGGAGCGAATGTAGTCGTGAACGACGTCAGCCAGGCAGCTGCGCAGAAGGTCGTTGAAGAGATTGTGAACGGTGCGCACCATATCGGACATACCGAAGCGCATACACCTGAGTCGCCGTGCACTAGCGGGAGGGAAGGCCGTCACGAACACGTCTTCGGTCGCAGACGGCGCTGCCGTGATCAAAGCAGCGGTCGACGCGTTTGGAACGGTGACCATTCTCATCAACAACGCGGGTATCCTCAGGGACAAGGGGTACGTTGTACGTGTATCACGCGAGGTTGTGTTCATGTCTCTCGTTCTAGCTTCAAGAACATGTCAGATCAGGAGTGGGACCAGGTCAACCTTGTGCACCTGAAGGGATCTTTCTCCTGCACGAAGGCTGCTTGGCCTATCTTCTGCAAGCAAGGTTTCGGTCGCATTGTAAACACCGCGAGTGCTGCAGGTCTCTATGGCGCGTAACATCGCTGCGTCCGTCGCGTTCTGTGGTCTGAACAGGGTGTGGTGTGCAGGCAACTTTGGCCAGGCGAACTACAGTGCTGCTAAGATGGGCCTCGTTGGCTTCACGAAGGCACTTGCATTGGAAGGTGCCAAGTATGGCATCAAGGCTACTGTGATTGCCCCCGTACGTCAATTCCGCCAGATCTTGCTATGCATTGTTGCTGATGATAGGTGCTTTTGTGAACAGATGGCTGCGTCTGCTATGACGGAGACTGTCATGCCGCCTGAAATGCTCGCTAATCTAAAGGTATGTCGTGTGTCCCACCTCGAGTAGCTCGCGCTAGTTAGACGCGTCCTTCAAATTGTAGCCCGCATTTGTCGCTCCATTCGTCGCTGCTGTGACTCATCCTGACGGCCCGGACGCTTCAGGTAAGGTCTTCGAAGTCGGTGCCGGATACGTCGCGGAGATTCGTTGGGAGCGTAGCAAGGGAACTGTCTTCAAGGCAGATTCGTCCTTCACACCTTCTGCCGTAAGTATTTGCCGTTGCATGCAAAGAGAAATGTGTATATGCTCATAATGTCCTGCAGGTCCAGGAGAAGTGGACAGAGATACAAGACTTCGACGAGCATGGGCAGTACGTCGTAGTATAACATCGGCCGTGCATATTCATCCATACTAACGCACTAATAAGCCCTCAGGGCCTCCCAGATGTTGACGCGCGGGTACGAAAATATCATGGTTCAATTACACGGTTGATAATTGACCTACCGTACCGCAGGAGAAACTTTCTCTAGCTGAGAAGCTCTCTACGAACGCACAATCATCTTCCGAAGTACGGTTCGATGACAAGACTGTCATCGTGACCGGCGCAGGAGCAGGCCTTGGCCGTGCATATGCTCTCATGTATGCACGCCTCGGCGCGAACGTCGTGGTGAACGACATTAACGAGAAGGTTGCGAACAGTGTCGTGAACGAGATCAAGAAGGGTCAACCTATTTTTGCCTTTGGTGAGTTCGAATGCTGATGTTGTGCCCTGGATGTCACAGCGGGCGGCAAGGCGGTTGCGGCGGTCGCGTCTGTCGAAGATGGCGAAGGAATAGTCAAAGTTGCGCTCAATGCATTCGGCGGCGTCCATGTGCTTGTCGCCAATGCTGGACTAGTTCGCCCGAACAACTTTGGGAACATGACTGACAAGGAGTGGGATGATGTCTTTGCGGTGCATATGCGGTGAGTGCACCCGGGTGTCTTCCGAAGCTTTTGATTGAAATCTTGGTTTCCATACAGGGGCACCTATAAGGTCGGTGATACATGCAGTACTTGAACGCGGTTCTGGCAATTAGGATGTTGATTCTGGTCTTTAGTGCGCCAAAGCACTTTGGCCTATCTTCCAGAAGCAGAAATATGGTCGGATCGTGACGACAAGTTCGCAAGCTGGGCTCTGTACGTTTCCTCTTCTCTATCCGGACTCTTACTATGATCTCTGATCTGCTTTATTGCAGATGGTATGGCCGGCTTGGTAAATGTCAGTCTGTTATCATCGAGCCAGACCTTCGTCGTGTCTGACTAGGTGGCGGGTTGTAGTACTCCGCCGCGAAGGCGGCGATTTTGGGCTTCACTCGTACTCTTGCCATCGAGGGCGCCAAGTATAATATTTTGGCGAATATCGTTATCCCATCTGCAGGGCCGACATTGGGTCTGGGGCGGTGAGTGATTGAGTTGCTTGCGATTGCTCAGATCGTTCATGTCAGGAGATCCCCATCACGCTCAGCGCTTACACCAACATTGAAGCGCTGAAGGTCAGAATTGTCCAATCCGCTGGTTATCGGGCGCTCACCTCCCATGTTCACACCAGGAAGAGTATGTCGCCCCAGTAGTAGGATATCTATCCAGCGAAGCGAATGAGACCACTGGCGGTCTCTTTCAGATCGCCGCTGGGTGGGTAGCACAGATCCGCTGGCAGCGTGCAGGTGGACACGGCTTCTCTACGAACCAGCCCCTCACGCCAGAGACAATCATCTCGAAGTGGGGCATGCTCACCGACTTTAGTAAGCGCTTTATTCTTCGTTTTCATTGTGTCTTGGTGTTAAGGTCACATCCAGCGGATGGTCGTGCGACCAATCCCGCGTCTACTCAAGAAGCGATGGAGCAGGTCTGTTGACTCAGTTGTGTACACTGTATTGTTTCTCACAGTGTCTTCCTCAGCTTGTCGAGAACTTCGGTAACACAAGTGACGATAGTACATACACAGATCCGGAAGACTCTGAGCTTGTTGCGACCGCCAAGAGGAATGTACCAGACCCAGAGGACTACAGCTACACGGAGCGTGACGTCATTCTGTACAACATCGGCATTGGTGCGACAGAGAGGGAGCTGCAGTGGACGTTCGAGGGGGACGACGCGTTCTCTGCTATCTCGACGTTCGGTGTCATTCCCCAGTTTCCAGCGAGCATGGGTATGTCTCTTGACTGGTTGCCAAATTACAATCCAGTACGTGGACACACTTCCTGCGTCCGTATATTCTCTTATAAGATGTTCGGCTTGTTAGGCCAAGCTGCTCCATGGTGAACAATATTTGGCCATCAAAGCACCCATACCCACGAGCGGAAACTTTGTCAATGAGGCGCGGTCAGTATCCACTTCCTGCAGCACGGATAGCAATCAACCGTAGTTCTGTGTCACTCCTTGCTCATCGTGCTCCCAGATTACTGGAGGTGCTTGACAAGGGCAAAGCCGCAGCTGTGACAACGATTGTGGAGACGAAAGACAAGGCAACCGGCAAGGTCATCTTCGAGAACCAGTCGACGGTATTTATCCGTGGTGCTGGTGGCTTTGGGGGGAAACGGGTTGGCGACGGTGGGTACCCCCTGGGTAAAGAAGTACGCTTATCGCTCAGCGTATCGAGATCTAGACCGTGGTGCTGCTTCCGCAGCCAACACACCGCCTCAGCGCAAGCCTGATGCTACCCTCGAAGAGAAGACATTACCTGTGCAAGCCGCACTGTACCGGTCAGTTACAACAAGCTACATTGTCCCCTGACGTGCGTCTGATTGATCGGGGTGTCAGGTTGAGCGGCGACTATAACCCGCTGCATGTGGGTGTGAATCGTTCACAGCATTTCCGCTGTTCTCATGACCCCTTTAGATCTTGCCGGAATTTGCTGCGGTCGGCGGGTTCGACAGGCCCATCCTACATGGTGAGTATCCTCGTCCTTGGGGATGCTGTAGCATGATATTGATGCATATTTGGGCTAGGCTTGTGTTTCTTTGGTATCGCTGGGAAGCATGTGTTGAAAGCATTTGGTGACTTCAAGGACATTAAAGTGCGGTCAGTATTCGTGCACACTGCTTTGGTTCCCACTGTGGCGACTAATATGGCGATGTTGTTCAGATTTGCCGGTGTTGTCTACCCAGGTGAGACACTAGTGACGGAGATGTGGAAGGAAGGAGCAAAGATCATTTTCAGTGCGTACCTTGGGCATTCTTATCAATCACTTGCAGACGCACTGATACCCCGCTGCTGCACTAGCTATGAAGGTAAAGGAACGTGGTACCACTGTACTTGCAGCTGCCGCTGCAACGCTGTCAAATCCTAGCTCACCGTTGAAAGCGAAGTTGTAACATGATGTATTGTAGCTATATATCGATGTACAATAAGTTTCACGGCATATACTCTTAACTCCAAGCGGGTATTCTGTTCATGAACATCAGAAGGACACAGTATGTGACACGTTCCAAAGTCCGACCATCTATGCTAACCTATGCTACAAATGTGATCCAGCTGTCTTACGACGGGAACTTAGCTACCAGAGATAATATACCACGTCATTCGCAGCTGAATCTAGAAATACTATATCCGTAGAGTAAATAAGGGACACACGCGGGAAAAGATTGTGGACAGCAATCAGCATGACGCCAATTGCTGCGAGATGTTAACGCCTGGAGGGAACGTGTCAGTAATGGAGGCATCTAGCTTCGTCCGGAAGGTAATAGATCTTACCTGGGTAGTACCAGAACGTGAGAGCGATGATGACATAGAGACACATGAGGATCATGCCCTCAAGCCAGTTGCTGAATCATGGTCATTCGAGGGATCCACGCAGAAATGTCATTTCACATACCTCTTTCCATCTTGCACAACGTAATTGACAACGAGGACTATGCATGAAGCGCAGCGAGTGAGTGATCGCCATGACGAAGGGGGCATACGAGCGACATGCCTGATAGGAACAGTACGATCGACTCGAACGGGTCGAACAGAAGAGTCAACGGCTTTCCGATCCACCACCCTAGAATAACAGAGAACGGTATTACAAAGAGTGCAATTTGCTAGCAACACGTTTAGTTGTACGATCATCGGAAATGGAATGACGTTGGCTTACGATGCTGGAACCGACCGCAACGCCCAAACTGAGCGTGAGCTTGTCCTTGACAGAGACGGTCACGGCCGTGACGTGCTCTGCATCGCACATTAATTGGCTTGCATGCATATCGTACGTGGCCGAATATGAACATACCTGCAGCATTCCCAACAATAGGCAGCAGGATCAAACCAACAAATTCCTTACTGATCTTACCGCTAGCCGTGAGGCCGCTGATAGAGTCCACAAGCCACTCGGCAGTAACAGCCACGATCTGCGGGAATAATACTATGAGTCCGAATGGAAACCGAAGTGCGGAAAGCGTATGACGTACCACAGTGACCACAATGAGAAGGCCAACTGCTAGAGGGACACTCATCTGCGGTGTCTCTTCCTCTGTTTCCTCCTCTTTCGGAGCCACAACCGCAGCCTCCACGTCAGTAGTGGTGGTCGAAGTGGTGGCATTCGCTTTATCGGTGGCGGTCGTACTTGTCTGTGCCAGTGGCTCCGTGCTCGCGCTGTGTTGCGTGTGCGAGCGCCATTTTCGCGCAATGTATGCACCCGGAGTCCCATTTGCGTACTTGATCGATTTGATCACGTCGTCACTGCGGTCATCGTACAACGCTTTATGGGAGAATAGTTGGAAGCACAGGTAACAAGCATAGACTGCGAACGAAATGAATGATCAGGATCAAGCGCGAGCGCCGTCTGAAGACCACTTACTGAAGAGGAGTATGATAGCGCCCTGTATACGAGATAAATCAGTATGGCATAGGATGAATTAGATCGAGATTACTGACACCTCGGCTGAAACTGAGAATGTCGCGGCCCTCCTCAGGGTCTGGGATCTCGGGACCTGCTGATAGGTGGAATGCAGCAGGCAGAAGTACAGCAATAACGGACACTATGAGCAGTGAAGAATTGAGCTGTGTGGCGCCTATCGGGGGATAGCATCGTAATCATTTTAGAAGCTGTGAGCATTTGATGTAAGATCATGGAAAGAGGCACGCACTCAGACCGAAACCTTGCTCAGAGAAGCGCATGCCACCGGCAAAGAAACACATTCCAAGCACGAGAACTGCTCAGAAACCGACTAATCAGTAAGCGCACGCTTATTGGGCAAGAAATATCAAACACTGACGCAGATTGCTGAGAATGGAGCCCACGACTGATGGCAAAGAGCGCCCATGCCAAATACAACCGTGCAACATCGGATCAAAGGCAGAAAAACGATCATCGTTCAACGTTTATATCGGAAGATGTGGGCGCCAACGTACGAGATGACTGAACAACCTGTAGTTCACACTTCACCAGTGCAATGATCTGTTGTTCACCCGTAAATGTGGGGCTCATCAGAGTGTGCTAGGGGCTTACCGCCACAATCAACTCAACGCTTTAACGGATCGTCAGTGTAAGAGACATGAGAAATAACGTATGCACATACGCATTACCCTGTTAAAAGTCGTCAGCTAAAAATATATGTCATGAACGGGTGGTGTCACGTACGAGAGTCGCATTGAGTAGACCGGCAAGTGTTTGTCCGACGCGTAATGACATTTCATCTGTCGCAAACGCGAGTAACTGGAGCGGATGCATGAGCAATGATAATTCAGGACAAACTAGCAAGATGATGATACTACCTTGGCGAGTGGTATAATGGACAGGAAGGAGACTACAGCAAGATCAGACTAGGACTTATGGGAGCATGAGCGATACGTACAGATGAAAATCAGGGTATCATTGGAGTTGGTAGTTGGCAGAGCGAAGTGCAGAGCCCACTATCGAGGGTGTGTCAGAAAAACAAACTCGACTCGTCGACAAAGTACATACGGATACAGGAATGCAGACGAGCAGGACATTCAACCCTGCAAAATTTCAGTGGCAGACACAAAGACCACTATGAGCTTGAATACGCACAAGACATCGTGATGATAGCCTTCACGCCGTGGAGGAGGCTGGGCGCTTTGCGAATTGGTTTGGGTGGTATCATCTGGATTGTGAGGGCTCTGCGCAGACCTTCGATCGTTGGAACCGAGGTACTTATACGCGACAACCGCCTGCCGCTCCTTTTGGAATCCACCCTAGTGACAGCACTTGTAGGTGGCGGAGGCGCTGACGCTTCTGGGTCTGCAAATTCAAAGGTAGCACGGTGTTGCACAGCAGTTGCTTGAGTTTCTGTTGAATGATTGTTGTGTTCTAATTGCGAGGCTGTGGTATTTGGGTTAGACGTTCGAACGGTGCCCGCATGGAATGACACTTACACATAGTACTGCGGAAGCTGCAAACAAGCGGAAACCGAGCTCAAGGTGAGAGAGATATCGCAAACGTAGAATACGATGGGAACAGAGTGGTAACGAGCGACGAGGGGCGCTTTGTATCGCCAAAAGATGCTTGGCAGTGGCACTGCTTCTGAGGTCAAACAGAGAACTCACATGCCTTTTTCAGCACTCCCAGCCCCAACACCGCTATTCTCACGCCATCCAGACCTAGAAAGCTGTCACGCCTTTAATTGTCACCCTCATCTGCAATTGTAGTGTTCGTCGATTCTTTTCATTGTGGCCTCGCCTCGTCGTCGCTCGTAGCATGGTTAATTAGCACAATTTCCGCGACCAATCCAACGGTCCGCGCCGGCAGTGCACAGCCCAAGCATTTTTCTTTTGTTTTTTTCTTCCACCGTACTCACTCACACTCAAGCACAGCATTCTCCTCTATTCAAGCACAAAACTGGTATCCTCTGAGGCCGTTGTCAACTCTGACGCTACATTTTCTTGCTTACATCCCCCGCGCCGGAGCTTCGTATTTCAGGCATGATATGCAGTGTTCAGTCGGCTGGATCGATGTTGCTGCGTGCCGACGAGGCGGCTGTCACGTTATCACTCGGAGGCCTCACCTTCCCGACATGACGGAAGACATGACATAAATGTCTGGCCGTAAACTCGCCGGAAGATATGGATTCCACTCACTGTACATGTCGCATATAAACCGCCAGCTCCCTTTTCTCCAGACCGCAGCAAGTCTGGGTCGAACAAAGAATGCGTGTCTGAGAGTTGCAAACGCTTTAGCAGGTGTGCCTCTGTACTCCTGCAGCGTGTATGGCTTGAATGGATACTCATACTTTCTGATGCAGTGGTGGCAACGTTGGGGATCAATTACCCAAGTGTCAGATCTGGCGCGCGAAACCCCTCGCGTATGCGTTCGAATCATTTGTATCTACCAACTGCCAAGTAACTGAGCTTGAGGACGCGCTGGAATCCCATGTATCTTGTGGGACCCGTATACCTTGCCTCATGGAGAGCGGTGCAAACCTGACATGTCGGCGCGAAAACGTTGCCTCCTCTTTGTGTGCAGCATGCCTTATAACTCGCGCACTTCAATAACTGCTAGGTGCGCCTGGTTTCCTGCTGTCCAGCATAGGTTGAACAATGCGACTGACTCGTCCCCTACCATGAGCGTAGGACGCATGCCTCATGAACCCATGAGCGACTATGAATGAATAGTGAGACTACCGCAAGTTCTGTCGAGTTGCATTTAGCACTTTGCTAGGACACAGGGACTAGGTCTGAATAGATGATGCTCTGGAGCACGAGCTCCGCGGCTGCGCCCTCCACGATGCCTGCGAGTTTTAAACGGACAGGTTGGGGTCAGGATCTCACTAATTGTGACTCGATGAATGCCACGGTCCAATGCCACGGTCCACTTATTTGTCGACCCAGATGGTGCGCGTGGGCGACGATTTTACGGATTCAAACGCGTGGTATTCGCTGGCTCTAATCCCTCCAGGAAGCAGGTGGCGTGTATCGCGATGCGGCAACGTGAAGGTTCTCATCCGTGACAGCTCGGTTTGTGACTGATCACCAAAAATATGTCAGGTTACTACAGTGGTACGTTCCGAGTCCGTCAAGGTTCTGTCAGAGATACCCATCTATCCGGATATCCGGATATCCTTATTTTATCTGTGAGCTTCCGAAGCTTACCAGGAAAGCAGCGCTTGGGATGTGATGACGCCAAGAGCTAATAGTAAATTTCACGTGGGTACGCGATCCGTGACCCGCAAACGCATGTTGATCATTCAAAGTTTGAACTTTGGAGCTCCGGCTTTGGAATTTACTCATCGCACTGCGGCAAACCTTGGCGGGTGCAGCAACTATGTAGTGTTACGCACAGTCCTGACAGTGGTCGAACGGTGGTTTTGAATGCGACCGCCGCGGTGGCACAGTACTCGGCACTGGTCGGAGGAAAAGTTCAATTACACCGAAGCGGAAAGCTCGGTCCGGGAGGTTGACTTCGTGGAATGTTACCAACTCCGCTCATGTACCGTACTCAAATCACGTCGGTGAACTCAACGCAGACGTTGCTCAGAGAACGCATGGATTCGATCTACTTAGTCCATGTCAATGTTCAAATGTTCACCCCTGATTGGGAGCTGAATCTTGTGAAGGTTCGCGATCGCGAGGCGGAGCAGTGCCATCCGGGGTCGCTCGAGGCTTAGCGCTCGGTGTGGTTCTTAGACCTGTGTATGGTACTTATGTGCGTTCTAAAACCGCACACTTCGCTTGTGAATTGCGGATACAAGCAGCGCTGATATGGTAAACATCCGGTATTACGCCAATGCAGGGCAGAGTTGTAAGTGATGATCGATGACTTGACACAACCGTGTACACAGGGATGCACGTCTTCGGACGTGAGAAGTATACACACACATATGGGACAAGGGGTCACTGGGGCGGTGTGAAAGAACACGACAGATCATTAGTGTTGAGCAAGAGTACCATTCGCGCAGGCAGGAGCACGCCACGTGCGAGTACAATAGTAAGCGGTGAGAGAAGTCGGAGTAAAGCAAGCAGGTGTAAAATACTTTCGCTCTCCATGTTCAGCCTTGATATGCGAACGACACAGCGCCGTACAGCCCCGCTTCTCTTCCCAGAAGACCGTGGCCTTGCAAGACCTGCACAAAGAACAAAGCAAAACGAGTATGAGTACTCCATGATTTTGGTAGAGTAAATGGGCCAGAGAAACGCACCTCCATCTTTCTGGCATGCCACCCAATTCCACTGCTAACGTTCCCGTTAGCGTCTGCAAGACGCTCCAATTCAATTCGCCACGGGTGGTCCTGCTCCAGATCCCTCCTCAGAATAGAACTATGTGCGCCACAGCTAGAGGGTGGAGACTTTACGACCCAGCCGCTCGCCACATCAACATACCATCCGCGTCCACCCTTGCTTTTGATGACGCGCCACGAACCTGCACCAGAGCCAACTGTGGCAAGCAGGGGCGTGGCAAGTTCTACGACACGCAGCCGGGTGGGCGGCTCTGCGCTCTTCTCTTTGCTTGACGAGGAAAGGTTGCAAGAGAATGGCGGCGTACACAGTGGACGGATGATTTGAGCATGAAGAGCGATCGACGCTTGGCGCGCCGAGACTGCCTCTGCCCCATACCCGAGATCCTGCGAGGACGTAACAAGGGTAAGCACCTCGACGTTCACCGCTTTCGTTCTGAGGAAGTCAGCCACGGCACTGAGTTCGAGGTTGCGGATGTGCGACAGACCCAAGGAGCGTAGCTGGGGTTGAGGCGCACACACATCACAGAGGAGTGCGCTCGTAACAGGCGCGCTCGACAAGTCCAGGTACGCCAGCGCCCCGGTTCTAAAACACGGGGCGTGCGCAAAGATGTTATGTAGTTCATCTTCGGAGAGTGGGGAAGGGAACGTCAAGTCGCCATATAGGCTGAGTTCCCGAATGCCCTGCGCGGCGGGCGCTTCAACGAGGAACTCCCGGATGCTCTCACCGGTGAGCCAGTTACACCGCTCGAGCGCAAGTGACTGCAGATGGACGGTTGGCGAGGTCCCTAGGGCCTGCAGAAGGTCGGGTGTGACACGTGTGCAGGAAAGGTCGAGATGTGTAAGGGACGGGAACGCCAGGACCAGCGGATTCAGGATCTGCGCCTGCACGGACTTGACACCTCGCAGACACAGGCGCTGCAACGACAAAAATACCAGTGGTTCGTAGCGAACGACGCTGCGCGACTTCGGACGACCACGCTCGTTCTCGCCCTCGTCTTCATTCCCGCTCGACGGGAGTTCTGAGTGGTCAATGAAATGATCGTTCACGAATTGCGTGAGCGCGTTCACGAAGACAGCGCTGACGCATCCGGTGAGGTCTAACGCCTCCAACTCCTTGTACTCCCTGCGCCGCTCGCGGTCTTCTGCCTCAGTATCCTTTGGGTCAAAGAAAACCGGGTCTCGTCCACGAGAGGGTCGTCCTCGGCCATGCGAAGCATAGCCTCGAAGCAATAGCTCTGTCAACACAGAGAGCGTGAGGGCACCATCCATGTACTCTGTGGCACCAAATGCCAAGAGACCGGACAATTCCTGCACGGAGCGAGAGTTGCCAATTGTAAATCAATAATTCTCAGCTCAGAGGGGGAACATACTTTCAACACAGCTTCCAGCCTTTCACCTGTAACGAAACGGTTGTTGACGCCCTCTTCGACAGACCGTCTCATTCCGATCGTACGAAAATGATTGAAGTCGAGATGCCGGGTCAAACGCCCTGGACGAGGATCATCAGGCGCGGGTACTGTATAAAATACATTAATCACCAAATATTGGCGAAGGATGAAAGGCCGTAGGGACATACCATAGACACCTGGGTTATCGTGTTCCATAACATCTTGAATTGCGACGCTTATGGAGCGCATCAGCTTCCAGCGGGCCGGGCTTTTGCTCTTAGGCCTGAGACGCCTCGGGCTGGGGTCACGGCTTGCGAGAGGCGTGAGCAGTTCTGGCGGGATGGACCCGTCCAAGCCGCTCAATTTTTCGAGTACCCTCTCGTGCAGCTCCTTGTCCGTCATACCACCCATGATATTTCTGGCGGACAACGTAGCATCTTCAACTACCTGTATAGTCTCACCAACAACCGTAGCAGCCTGCTCGGGGTCAATTTCGTCTTCATCGCCCCCGGCTACCTCTTCGACGAGGGAGAGCCAGCTACGCGGTAAACGAACTTCGACCTTGTGCCACAGCCAAGGCTTCGCTGCTCCATACCAGGCGCGGTTAACACGAGTGAGATTGAGTAAGGTTCTGCGCACGACATCCTGGGACCAATAGGCAGCTGGATACGAGGAGGGGAGGAATGTGGGTACGCCACCCTCGGAATGAGCCGGTGGGTCAAGACATGGCACCGGAGGTGGAAGTCCAGCAGCATAGACGTACCCACATATGACAGACAACAATTCTGGTGGGTAAGAGTTAGCCAGTAAAGATTCCGAGGTCATTATTTAAACAGTAGTGCGTGACTCAGCAGCTCAGTCGGGGACGAAGACAACGTTGAGCAGGGAAAATACGAGCTCAGGTGAGGCGGAAAGTATGGGGTGGACAGCCTGGGTTTTATAGAGCGACATGTGTGCGAGTCAGCGGAGAGGATCATCGAGCGCGCCAGCCCACGGCGTGATCTTACATGCTGTGGCTGAAATCTCGCGCCACCAATGGCAAGTCTCCCTTACCTCGGCTCACCATTCAAAATCCCCCTTCTTTCTTTACGGCATCGTCTTCGCTTACCTGAAGCATGTGCAATCATAGCTCTCATTCTTAGCACTCTCATGGATGCTTCTGTCAAACGTTCACTGCAGATCGTTCCACAATATAGACACACGTGATGGCTCATGTTCCGGTTAGTTCTGACTCTGAGCACTCGGCATGTAATGTAAGCCAATCTCCGAACGCTTTATGGACCACATTGCGTCCTGAGATTCTGTTTCTTGTCTTACGTGGATGCAAACCGGATGGGTACTGACTCAGGAGACGAACGTTTCATTCAGGCCGCTTGCGAGCCATCCACGCTCACCCGCTAAGTTAGGTAATTTGTTACGTCCCATCGGACAAGGCGGATTGTCCAGAAACGCTCGCTGCTCGTGTGAACTCTCCATGCTTTTTATTTATGCCTCCTTCACTCCACGCTGCGCCAGGATGATGTTCGGTCATAGCACATGTGCGTACCAAACTTCATATGAATTCTATGTATTCTATCAATGAAGAATAAACAGCGGACCGTGAGACCGTTGGACCACCTTCGCAAGGTAGCTCCTACTTTCATTCACAGTGGTGCACGAAATTCTTCACCGGCGTGGCGTCAAAAGGTGTGATTTAGATGCTGTAGAACGTGGTTTCGCTTACGCTCAGCATCCAACATCGCATATGAGATTGCCTTGAGCTCATGTTACGAACATCAATTTATTTCTGACCGGCAGCTCCCATTTGTCTCGGCAAGTTTGTTGCCTATACATTCTAAATCACGCTTGCTTCCTCCAATGTGACTTTCACCTTGTGCTGGTGCCTGCGCCTGACTTCGATCGCTTTCTTATGAAATCTGCTGACCCCTACTTGACGCTCCAAATTCCGTGGTCTAGCCCACAGACACTTGATCTTACGAGGTTGGTTCCGTTGCTTCACCACTATGTGCCCTCAAATTTGCTCCAGGATTGTGGTAGTCTGAAGACTAGTACGAGACTGTGGGTGATGACGGCGAGCCGACAGGAATAAATGGGGCTCGATCAACATGAATCATCATGATCGCAAGCGGGGTGCTCTGGTCAAATCTCAGTCCTACATTCATGAGCTCCGGAGACCATACTAGTATCGCAATGGAGTGCATGGATGGGATCATATATGGTTAAGAAATATCCCTCAAACTTCGCCTCCTAACGTGCCTCGCCTGTCAGTGACTCGCACTCCCTCAGTTGACCTTCGTGTTGCGCGATTTGTCCCTGATATGGTGACTGCTCACATCAAATCACCATTTTTTTCCATCTTGTGCGTCTCGCGGAACGTCCGCTCAGTGTTCAAGGATGGTATGCCCACCAAGAACGTGGAGTTGGACACTAACTTCTTCCCATCAACCACTGTTTCAATTGTCGTCGGTATTCAGCCCGGAAAACATCGTGATGTACGTGCCGCACGGTAGATTTTACCAGCGTTCCTTCCCCATGATGCATCTTTTTCACCGTCATTTTCCCTCCGTACTCGACAGGTCCTCACTGGACCGGCCGTCGCTCGAAAGGTGCGGTGTTTTTCGCAGTAGTCGGTCGGGCGCTGCAACTTATATTGCACTCTCATTGTCTTGTCCAGCGCAAAGATATCGGTGTACCAAGCTCCATCTTTGCGGCACCCGTTCGACTGACGGCACTAACTACAGGCGTGCAGTGCTAACCTCGCACAACCAACTTCTTGGAAATCACCGCCTGTTATCCGGAGCTGAGTCGGCGGGATACTCCCGCGACACTGCTAGTGCGTTCAAAGTCTTTAACTTGTCCGCCTTGGCTTAATGAAGCGCGAGTCCAGGCATGATTGCTGCCTCGATCGTCCTGTCTGTCCTTGACCTTCGTCAGTGGATCCATTGTGACCGGCTCTACGAGCTCAAAGCTCGCCCGCAGGGAGTGGAGTATAACTTTCGCGGTACTCAGTGCGTGTTCATAGGACGTGCGATTGGCGATAAGCTGAGATTGGTCCCAATTTCGTGTCATGGCATAGTATCGTTTATTCTTGATGTGGCAGCGAGTCAACGACGGATTTGACCAGTCACGACTTGCCAGTGTCAGCTTACAGCTCACGTCTGCCTGTGGCCTGTCGCCCCCAAAGCATAAGCAAGGGAAAAAAAAATTCCATTGAGTGCAATCGCCCCAGTATATTATAATTAGTGGTATATGAAAACCCAAGATGGTATTTTTTTGTAGATGATCAAATTTGTGGACACCTGTCCACGATGCAGCACGGTAGCCGATTGGCAGAAGTTCAAGTGGCCGATGTTTCAAGCAAGTAGGTTACCGGGGTCGATCAAACTTTGACATAAAAGTCATACTGCGACAGCATCCATGCCAGCGAGATGGCTTAGGCACACGTGCGTAGGCATGACACGGAATAATTCAATCCGAGAAAGTATGCAATGAACAGGAGACTCACTGGACACAAAGACCGGGCTGAGTACCGCAACATTGATTTTGGCAGTGCGGAAGATCAGGAGTTCCGAACCGAAATGGGCGAAGGCAAAGAGATAGCTAAATATCGTCATGTCATAGATACTGCCAAGTTTCTGTTGAACGCCAAGGGCTCAAGAGTATTCAGAATAACTCACGGTTTGCTGTTAATGTTGTACGCAGCATAGAGGCGTATCACAGCCGACGTCAGCGTCCAGATGGCAAACGTTCGCGCCTGCAGTGGGCTGACTGTATGAAATAATTAGAGTGAGAAGCCGCTAAATCAACACGGCGAGAACATACCCAAGTGACTCGCATTGTAAATCCTGCGGGTAAATTTGAGAGTCACAAAATTTTGAACGGTGTTGAAAACGGCCATAACTGCCACAACTAGCTGCCACTTTGGAAGTAGTCCGTTGGCCTGTGGAAGGACTGCGAAGATGGCATCCCATCTGTCACTTTTTGCAAAGAGTAACACAAGCGACGCACAATCGATGAGGGCCATTACTGCAGCGTCTTGACTAACCTCCCTGTAGAAAGCAGGTCGCGTCGAACGATGACTTCCGTCTGTAGATTACGTAAGCGGATAGCAGGCGTGAGAATATGTGTCGGGTTTGCCCGTCGACATGTCGGCAGAATAATAGGCGGCACGAAGCGACAGTTTGTCGACACCTCCCAGAATTTCACCGTACGCGTCGACGACCATCGTGTTGCATGCAGCGAGCGAGGCCCTAATGGCCCTCCCGACGACCGTTGTCGTTCCCATCTCCCAAGACAGGGCCACCGCAAGTCGCTCCAACTCGCTGGTTAGCACCGCGAGCTCGGGGGGTGCATCGCTGAGGCGTCGATCGCGGACGAGGACGAGAACACTCACGGGAGGGAGGAGGCCAAAGAGTTTGGGACGCTCGGCCGCTCGGCGTGGTGAAGGGCACGACGAGTCTCCCTATGGAGGCATCGCCCCGCCTACTCCCAAAGGTTTTTCGGACGAATCTCAGGATATCGCGGTTTCATCACATCCTGGGACTCCCACGCAGCTCTCACATACGCCACGTAGGCCAAAAACTGCTGGTTCAGAAAGGAGGCCTAGTCTGGAGGACAAAGAGGACAAGGGTGCATCCTCCAGTCGCGTTGTGCGCGATGACGTTCGCGGCAGACAAACCAAGTCAGAAGGTGGTTCCGTGCGAGGGGTACGTCCATCTGCATCCCCAAAGTCGCGCAAGTATTCACAGTTTTCTAGGTGAAGACGAGGCTGCGCGGGATGAGTTTACCTCGTCAAGCTTTCAAGGTGAAGGGTTCCTCAGGTTCATCCTCACAGCCAAGTCCTACGGCCCCCGGTGAAGGCCACCCAGAGATGTCCGCAAACCGTGCTGGAGGAAGTGCTTGTCGAAACTTCAGGGATTCGGTACTTACCCAGCATTCTTCGACGTCGTCCTCGCTATATCCTGCGTCGACCTACTCGGGTTCTCAGACCGAGTCTTCGCTTTTACCGAGTTCGTTTGACGGCGATGAGCAAACGTCCGCGTTTTCCCCTGAGATCGTGCTGCCAGGCAATCCTGAGTTCGACGCCGACGATGTGTCTTACCGTCTGCGTCTGCTTGTGAACAACAGCTACTTCCTACCGCCTGCTCACGCAAAACCTTCTCCAATGTCGTTAGTGCCGATGTCACCATCGAAAAAGACACAGGGCAAGCAGACCAATGCAACGTTCCTGGACTTTTTCAGGATAGGGAAGTCCAAGTCGAAGCCTACGACTCCGGTTTTACGCAGCCCTCCAGCACTCGATCAGTCCGGACCCATCCTGAGGACGACCTCTGATTCAACCACAGCGTCTGGCTATGTTCCTCGCCCTCACGCGAGTTTGCAACCTCAGACGCCTACTCCTCCTGTTCCTAATCTGAACGCCATGAACCGAGTGGTAGTACTACGTGAGCGAATGCAAGACCTTGCTACAGCTGCGAAGGAAGCAGAACAGGATATCAAAAGCCGGGCAGATGTGCGTAGGACGAAGAGTCAGACTACACCTCATGAAAACGACTTGGTTGACGACGTCATTGATCCTACTGATGCTGTCGATCTTCCGCCGTCTTTGGAGGACTATCCATTCGCTGTTCAGGCGTCGGCGGCCTTTGGGTTGGGTGTTCGGGAGTCAGTGGGTGCAGCGGTTCTGGCAGAACAATTACCTCCGTCAAGGAGCCCCGGAGATTGGTCATCCAGTACAGAAGACGATTCGTGGCGGAAGGAACTTTTACGGGAGGCGATCACTCACTCCTTGAACAGTGCGTCGGACCATTCCTTTCTTTCCTCTCCTGAACAGTCATCTGCGTCCCCCACGTCTCCAACGACGACTTCGACTACTGAATCCCGTGCGGCTGATTCCACCTTTACACTGTCATCGACTTCAACGCCTAGGCGCGGTATTGGTCGGCCGATTCTGCAACACCTCACGTTGATCGCGGAGATCGAGCAGCAGCATAACTCGAACGCTCCAAAGCCGAGTCCAAACCCTCCTCACAGTACTGCCACTCTCTCCCCGACTCAAAGGACACTGATACAGGCCGCTCGTCGTTCATGGCTATCAGAGACTGTTCCTCCCGCGCGTGCAGAGACTCCGTCGGAGCCGCTACCCCTTGCCCCACCACCTCCCCGTAGGCAGCTCATCAATCCTCTGTACTCGCTTTCGCAGCCTGACCTGTCAGAATCGAATTCGAGGGACCGGGAGCAGGTCTCTGTAGGGTCATCAGAGGCCTACTCATCGGTCGTACGAAAGGCGGTGTCGTCACCGCGGCTTTCTGCGGTCCATGAGCGTGCAAATGTTGCTCAGAGAACTATGTTCTCGATTTCGCCACCTCCGTTATCCATCCATCAGATAACGTCGTCTCGTTCGTCGCCGGCCCTGCAGGTGCTTGGCGATAACCCGTCGTTTTCGTCTTACCGTAGTTTTATCAGCGGGTCACGTTTATCTGACGATGATTTGTCCTACGCGACGCCTATGGATACCGACGGGGAAGAGTCAGCACCAAGAGCATCTGTCTCGGTGTCTTTGTTCTCTGGGGACCGACCGTCGATATCAGAATACTCTCCCCATTCTCCCGCTGCCTCCGCGTTCCGCGACGCAGTATTTGGGAGCTGTCGTTCACCCTCGCCGTACGCGAGACGGAGTATCAACGAGAATGGTTCTGGTCCTTCCAGGGTGGTGTCTCCTTTGCGCGACGCAGATCCCGAACCTCGCAGTGCTGCTATGTCCCCGCCACCCCGCGTGTCTTCGTCGTTGGGCCCCACAGTCTTACCTCCCCCTCCTAGATCACCTGCAGTGAAGCCCTTATATCGCCCTTCCACCCCTTCCCATGCGTCGTCAGAGGCTGGCCATCGTTCCTTTACTTCCGTTGGTGGCATGCCAGAGCCGTCTGTCGACAAGGCGTCCATGGAGTCTTTCATCCACCCTGCTCCTGCGGTTCCTATTTCGGATAGGCGAGGGCTCACGTCACTATCACTGCGCATCCCTACCGAGGATGTTGCTTCTTCCATTCATTCCGCGCCGGCGCCCGCGTCACCCACCGCGTTCTTTGACCGCATTCAATCGCACCACAATGCGATGGACGACTTAGACACGTCAGACGAGAGCGAGGACGAGGAGGACACACATCCTCCCCCACCCCCACCGATGTATGCCGAGCCGCGCATTCCTCGCACCCCAACATCGTCGCACCGCGTCTCGAGCGTCGGTTCACGGCCGTCGATCATGCGATTGGGCAACCACTCGACACCTCACCTAAGGCCTCCGAATGCCTTTAGGGAGGGTGTGTCGTATGACGTGTCTGACCGGAAGAAACCCATCGGGAATGTGCCAGAAACACCACCCCGCGCAAGCTTCTTCTCGGTGCGCAAGAGGCTTGTGGGCGGTACTGATGCCCCGCTGTTCCCGTTTGCGCCACAGCATACCCCGTCCTCGCGTTCACGCTCGCTCTCTCGCCGGCCAGCAACTGCAGAAGGCAGCCGGTCGCGGAGGTGGCAGCGCGAGTCGCTGCAGAAGTTCGACGGGATGCTGTTACAGCACATGCAGGCCGAGCGGGACAGGATCAAACAGATTACGAGCAACATCTCGGGATCCAGAAACTGATCTTGAACCCTCAACCACTTACCCCCTGCTCCTCTGCTCTGTCCACTGTTCTGTTTCTTTTGCTATGTCCGTTCACCTTCGCGTCACCCCCTTTGGTCGGAGTTCTGCTTTCGTACGTACCTGTCATACTAGCTACTGACTGCAAATCCTCTCGTTACAGCTGACCTTACTTCCTATCATTGTTGCATACAGCCTCGCTGACGCCAGACATATACCAATATTCCTGTTTATACCGTTTACATTTACATTATCCTCCATAACGCTATTCAACAGTTTCCGGTGTTTTCCGATGCGATCTTCTAGGGATGTATTTGTGCGCGTGAGATAAGTACTACAGTGGCGAAGGAACGACGTGAGCAGCGACGAAGACGAAGCAATATCAGCAATCAGAGAACAAAATATCGTGAGTTGTCATTCAGATAATACACATAACACAAGATCATCCATGTCCCTCAAGAGCCCTGGCTCTTCCTCCATGAAGAAAACGACAAGAACCCGACGACGAGCAGCGCCGTGCCTGCACCGACTAGCCCTGGGATGTACAGATACCACGTCCGGTCATCATCGTCCGCGTCCGCGTCGCGCACGCCCTCCATAATCGCGCTCGACAGATCCCCCGAGCCTTTCTTCCGCCGCCGACGCGTCTGCTGCTCCGCGGGCGTAGGCGGTGCACGGTGCACCTCGATCGACGGCATCTCGAGCTGCTGACGCGCGCCCGGGCCCAAAATCGTGCCGCGCCGTCCGCGCTCCCTGTCTCTGTCACCGCTGCCGCTCTCCTTGCCGGACGAATCTGAGTCCGCGTCGGGCGGGAGAAGGGGAACGTCAAGCGCAGGTGCAAGGGCGCGTGCGCGCTCGAAGTAGCAGCGGGCGGCCGCTCGGTCGCGACGCCATGCATCGGTGCTGCTGCCGTGTGTGTGGTGGCTGGCGGAAATCGCGGCCCCGGAGATGCTGCTGCTAGTGTGCGCAGGGGCACGGAGGGAGGAGAGCCCCGCATATGCAGAGGAGAGGAGCGGCGCGGCGGCGCCCTCAAGATGGAGGAGGCCTGCGGCGAGAAAGAGCTGTGCCAGCCCAGGTCCGCCGCCGAGCCGATCGAGGTAGTAAGCGGGCGTGCCAGGCGTAGGGGGCATGCTGGGAGGCACCTGCTTGGGCGTGGAGGGCTCCACGGTGGAGGGGGAGATTGCGGGGACCTCGGTCAGCTCGACAGACTCCAAGGGAGGTGCATGGCTGCTTGGGCTCGGGACCAGATCAGGAAAGACGGATTGGAGGGGGAGGTAGTGTGTAGCGAGGCGGATGGTGGCTGATGGGACATGCGCCTGGTGCCATGCTCGTCTGCGAGGGGTAGTAGGTCATGATGGTGAACTCATAACAGACTCGAAGGGGCTTACACAAAGTATTCGAATGCTTCTTCATATGCCTTTCGGATGTCATATAGATCAAGCGCAAGCAGAACGAGACTAGTTGGGTCCATGTTGTACTTGGACTCGGCCGTGAGTGTCGAAGCCGACGCCCACGGATATGCACCCAGCATTGAGGGCGACAGTGTCTCTGGAACGGGCCCGACAACTAGCGATGGCCAGATCATGGACTCTGCCTTCTCAATATGTATGGTGAGCAAGCGGCCGGAGGCGGTATGCAGCGACTCCATCGAGGAGTAGGACGACGTGAGGCTGAACGGGGGCGCAGAGGGAGGTGAGATCGGACGAGATGCGCCATGTGAGCGGCGGTGGTTAAGCATTGCGAAAGAGTTTTCGTCCATGGAAGAGATGGGCGAAGACAGAGCGGGCGAGGATGAGACAGGGTCGTCAAGTTCAGAGGCAAGCCCATTTTCGAGTGAGGCGGCAAAACTGCTGGAGAAATCTGGGTCTGAGACATAGGCGTACGAAGACTGATTCGAGCCCGCGGAGGTCGTAGAGGTTGCGCGTTCACGCGTGGAACGCGGCGAGGCACGCGGCTCGAGCTGCCAGTCGGAGTTGGCAGTGTCCACGGTACCGTAAAGGCGACCCTGCAACACCAAAGTATGAATATGGAGGATGCGACAGTGCTTCATGCACACCTTTACAATGGGGGCCTGGCCACGCACGCCAGCTACCAAGTGGTTTCTTTCGATGGCGACCTAGCAAGGTCTTTGTGAAGCTTCTGAACAAACACCGAGTACCTAAACGCACCGTAACCTCCTCCTCGACCGTCTCATATGGTACAAGTAACAGCACTGTTGCCTACAACATGACAATGGTGTTCACTATAAGTGTCTCGACGTTGTTTAAGTGGCATTGCGCACTCACCTGGTCATGGGACTGCAACCAGCTCCCAGTCAGGATGTCAGGCCTCCATGAAGCAGCGAGGACTCACACACCTGGTGCCAGGAGTAGGACTGGTAGAACTCATGTATTCTGTCCATATTGCATCAGCTGGAAAGGAGAGAAGAGGGAGGGGCGCCGAGTACATCAATGCGCGCTGCTACCCGAGTCACGTGCTCGCTACCGATGCCTTCCTCGTCCGAATCCTCGGACGCTCTCCTCGCGTGCTGCTGCACCGACGCCATGGCGGAGTCTACCTGGTCCTTACCCTTCCTCTCCCACTCACCTCCATCCTCGTCCTCGTCGGCGACGGAGACAACGTCTCCGACACCCTCACAGCCCCATGCGCTTATCATCCTCAACCAGCCCTTCTCCCTCCCCCTTCTCCATCTCGTCTGGCGCGCATGCACCTGGCATTGCTGCGCAGATGGCGGCGCGAACCGCCTCCACGATGTACTCAAGTGTACCCCCGCGGGTGTCGACGAACGCAGCTTGTGAGTCGACATGCATACGGCGGTTCAGTCCCGCTCAGGCGGTGTGCGCTGCAGGTTACTCCCGGATCTCATCAAGGGCGACCTAGACTCGCTCAGGGGGGACGTGACGGAGTACTATGCGTCCCAGGTATGCCACATAACTGTAAGCTACATTCTGGCATGTACTTACAAGAGTAGGGTGTCCCCATCGTACATGATCCGGACCAGTACTCAACTGACCTCATGAAGTGCATCCATATCCTCTCCGACAAGGAGAAGACAGAGGGCATCACTGTACGTCCCCTCGCATCTACGTGCTTCAATCCTCATGACATCTCAAGCTTACGTCGTGCGTCGTGCGTGCAGTACGACATTATCATCCTAGGCGGGCTGTCTGGCCGGCTCGACCAGACCGTGCACACGCTGTCGCTTCTCCACAAGCTTCGCAAGTCACGCAAGCACATATATGCGATCTCTGATGATAACCTCGCGTGGGTGCTCGACAAGGTGCGTCTCATGCCAGTACTCTGACACCCTTCCTTCAGCTTCCTCCCAAAATGCAGGGTGAACACCACATTAGGATCAATCACGAACTGCTTGGCCCAACATGCGGACTGCTACCTGTCGGGATTGACTCGACGTCGATCACTACACGAGGGCTGCGGTGGAATCTAAGTGCGCTTGTTCTGCATCCCTGGCACTGTTTAGCACTGATACGACTATTGCGCCATATTTACCAGCCGATTGCATATCCTCGTTCGACGGAATGGTCTCAACGTCGAACCACCTCCTCCCCGGCGAGGACGTCTGGATTAAGACGACGAAGCCGATCTGGTGGACTGTCGAGCTTCGGACGCTGCGTTGATCTCGCCTTCCATATACTTATCGCGATATTTAAGTGCTCCCCTTAGACCCATTAGAACTATTTTCTCACAGCGGAAGCGTTGTGACTTCACCATGATTCTCTGTGGGCATCGATGATGATGAATACGTTCGATCGAGACAAGGAAGCTCTGGACAATCGATCGTTCCACGTCGTTGACGTGTTGACGTTTGTTCAACACCAATGTTAATGTTCAATTCAATGTCCACTTCAGCGCCAATCGTTTATATGCTCCAGGAGATCTGGACACTGACTCGATATCTCGACAGATCAGATGGTAGGACGCTCAAGCGCTCACCCCGGGCCCGCAGTCTGACCGATACGTTCTATCACACATAAGTAAGCAGCGTTCTCGAGTGGACGCGAAGATTCCCAGCGCGTCAAACACGACGTATCGTACTAGGACGGATATCTGACAAGTAGGTATATCTGACGCTAGCTGCGGTTGAGCTGCGGTACCTGTTCCTGGAACCACCCGCAGCGCGGCAACAGTACTTGTACCTCTCTAATCGATTGAGGCCCCAATACTGCCCCGAGCACGTTCCGCCATCACCTCTATTGAGAATTCGAGGAGATGGGCTACGCACCTGACGATGAACAGGCCCTCCTAGGTATCGCATCCGCCACTGCCACCCGGCGGCGACGCAACGGATGGCGTTCGACGATATACCTAAGCCTGTTCTTGCTGGGAGTAGTCGGCATACGGAATATTATCCCCTGCGTCCAGCACCGTCGTCAGTTCCATGAGGCTGCCTCCTTACAGAACGCCGATCCCGAATTCGACTGGTACTCTGTGCGTCCTGACGGTGATCATCACGCATTGACGTGCGCTCAGACTAGTTGACTCTCGCCAACAGCTCACACCGGCCTCAGACATCCACTGGACACCCTGCTTCGTCGAATACCAATGCGCACGACTCGTCCTTCCCCTCGACTACCTCTCCCCGGCCGGGTTCGGCCCGAACGTGACGATCGCGCTACAGATGCTGCCTGCCACAGACAAGGCGAACTACAAGGGGACAATCCTCCTCAACCCGGGCGGACCGGGGGGCTCGGGGACGTCGCTCGTCGCGCGCGCGGGGAAGAACCTCTCGCAGATCGTCGGGCCCGCGTACGACGTACTCGGGTTCGACCCGCGCGGGACGGGCGCTAGCACGCCCGTCGCGCAGTGCTTCGCTAGCGAGGCGGAGTACCAGATCTGGAACCTTCAGGGTGGCGGACTGCTCCACCCAGACGGCGTATCTGTCCCATTGGCCCGCGCTCGGGAGCAAGTAGTTGGTCAGCGTTGCGCGCAGGCGCTCGGCGGGAGCGGGATCGAGGACGCGGCAGGGAGCTTGAAGGAGTGGGGCGGCGGACGGTTCATGAGTACGCCGAGCGTCGCGACGGACATGCTGCGCATAACAGAGAAACTTGGCCAGGAGAAGCTGCAGTACTGGGGCTTCGTGAGCAGCGCATGGTCTCGTTCCCGTTTTTGCGACTGCTGACTTTGGTGGCTGTAGAGCTACGGGTCGGTCCTAGGGCAATACTTTGCGGCGATGTACCCCGACAAGGTGGGCCGGCTGATCATCGACGGCGTAATGGATGGGTACAATTACCGAGGGGACGTCCCAGGCGAGGTATGGAACAGCAACCTTGTCGACACCGAAAAGGTCCGAACATCTTTTTTCACATTCTGTCACCAAGCGGGCCCAGAGAAATGCCCATTGTACGAGCCCACCGTGGAGGAGATCATCGCACGTGTGGACGTCATCATGGAGCGTATTTCTGCTGAGCCCGTTGCGCTACCTTTCGCATCGGGCGGGCCGACGGTTATCGGGACAACGGAACTGATTCGAGCGATGTTCTTGGCAACGTACAATCCCGCGGCGCTCTTCGGAAGCCTGGCGGACACGTATGTCGCAGTGGAGCAGAACGACACTACGACGCTGGCGAAGCTGTGGGCCACTGTCAACGGCGGGTTCGCGTGCAGCTGCAAGAGCACTCCAGCGTGGCTTGCTGACTCGGAGACGGAGGCGTTCTACTTTATCGCGTGCGCCGACAGAGAGCCCACCTCGTACGCCCCCGACGACTTCGCCGCTCACCTCGCGAACCTGACCGCAGTGTCCCCGTCTGCGGGCCCGATTTGGGGCCAGATCTATCTGCAGTGCACCGAGTGGAGCGTTCGCTCTAAGTGGCGATACACGGGCCCGCTCGCCGCCGAGAGCACCGCGAACCCGGTGCTGCTCATCGCGCCGCGGTACGATCCCGTGTGCCCCCTCTCGGACGGGCGCAAGGTGCATGCGCGCTACGGCGGATCTGGTTTACTTGTACAAAACTCATTCGGGCACTGCACCCTCTCCGCGCCGTCTCTGTGCACCGCCAAGTACGTGCGGGAGTACTTCGCCACCGGGGCGCTTCCGCCGGAGGGTGCGGAGTGCGAACCGGACGAGCTGCCGTTCGTAGGCACAGTGAAGGACGTCGCGGCGATGTCGAACGAGGATCGGGAGTTGTTGGATGCACTCAGGGGACTGTCGGGTGAGCTGCTGATGATGGGGAACTTCTAACATATCCTTCTAACGTCCTGATGGGGCATGCATAAAATCGATCCTTTCTTCATGTAGACGTCATCGTGTAATTTTCTGCGTTCTTCGCATTGAATCATATGCTGGTATGAAGGAGAGCCACTGCCTTGAGGTCCATGACGAACAGGTTCATTGTACCTTAATTCCAAACAGCTGACCACGTATATCAGACGGTATCTCCTCTCCGTTGATACGTGAAAACCTCACGCGCTCGACACGCGCATCGATCTCCATGATCCTGCCATACGAGGTTGACCTGGTCCAAAGCTGCCATGGCATCAATGTTCGATAATGAAAGATTAACCGATAAGAGTCTAAGAAGGTAAAGATTGAGCTCACCGTCGAATTATACGAAGTCTGGCCATAATTGTCGCGGTTCTCTTTGTAAATGTGACTGCTGCAGGGAGTTGAGAGAAATAAACTTACCAGCGCAGTGACTGCGTGTTCAATAAATTTAGTTAGCCCGTGAAAACATGATTCGAGGCAAGCTATCAGCCTATCACGACGCTTTCAGGCGTGTTCAGGACCATCGCGAGAAGAAACCACTAGAGCTTATGATACTTATGATTATCTATAGCCGCACGGAGTTTGGCGACAACACCGACAAGTTCACGATTTTTGACCAGCGCTAGCGTCTACGAAGTACTGGCACACAACACGAGGCTCGCACCCTTCAGGAGTTTATTTATCCGGCGGATTGCAGATCCATGCGTAATTACGGGATCTCGTGCAACCTTGCAGCGCAGCGAGTCTAATAGGAATATTTGACGTCCACACTGCTCTTGCATGATTAACGATTGAATATGCGCGATGTGAGATTGGAGTGCGTTGAAGTGAGAGCGAGCTCCACATGTGACTCTGCATTCTCCGCGGCCACGTGCACCGTGACCTCCGGCGCGACCTAGCACTGCGTCATCACTCGCAGTTATGCGAATAGAAGTTGCATAGAAGCAAGTTTATTTAAATGAGACTGTATTTCCTTTAGCAACTGGTGTTAATGGAGGTGATAGCTAATAATACCTTGGTACATACACGTAACATGATGCACGGGATATCAGACAGAGGCGAAAAAACTGATAGATGACAACAGCGTCCGAGGTGTTCGGGACGCGAGATAGCAAAAAAGGTGAAGGTGAATACGAAAGCGCAGGAAAGCAACAAGGCTAGACAGCGACGGTCCTAGCATGTACACGTGCTTATCGATAACACTGAAGGCAAGTCTGCTGAAAAGGAGACAAATAGAGAGGCCGAATAAACAAAAATAGGATATAACCACAGAAAAGAGGTCAGTTCAGAGCAAGGAGGACAGCAAGGTAGATATCATGTCAACGTTGCAGAAGAGGAACAAACCGTCAGTTACTGAAATGTGACCATCAGCAAGCAAAAGAGGCTGCGACATAAGTTGACCTCACATGTTTCCGCAGACGTGCGACATTGTATGGGGTGTAGATGGATGCGACGCACAAATTCGCCTTCTTCCCCTGCAACACATCTTTCCTCGAGTTCTTCAAATGCCTCTTCAACGAGTCCGTCCTGCTGAAAACGGACATGCAGCCACCAGCATACACCACACCCTCGAATTCCCACATGTTCGCAGTCTCCAGATCCACCCCAGCCTTGATAGCCTCCCCAAGCGGAAGACCGCCGCACAAGGGTTTATAATCTGGTGGGTAATGGGATTTGACGTGCCGGTGAAGGTCAGCCTTGCGTTTGAAAGGAAAATCACAAAATGGACATGTCTTCGAGCCGCATGGTAGGAGAGGGACCGGTTCGCTGACCTGCACCATGCGCGGTGTGAAGCTGGAGATTGAGCTCGTGGGCGAGGATACCGCGGATTCCGGAGAGATGGAGGTGGAATCAAGACCGACATCCGCCATGGCGCTGAAAAGAGGGTCTGGGGATGAATTGACCGAGGACGACGAATTTGACCACTGGCAGGCAGGAGAGGGATACGGCATGAATCGAGAGCCATGCATTGCACCAGCGCTACGATATGACCGGCAAAGCGAGGGTGGAGAAGGCTGCCCATAGTGGGTGGTTATCGGAGGAAGCGAGTGCTCAAGTGTAGGCCACGGAGCTGAAACATTCCCCAGGGGCAACGGCTCGAGAGGTGAGAAGCCAGAACTGTACGGCGAGGCCTATATGTCAGCATATGATGTTCAGTTACTGAAACACGCACGACAGAGCACGCGCCGATGAAGAGTGAAAGAATGAAAACGGGTCTATGAATGCATCTAGGTGGCCGGCCTGTTGGCCATCCCATATGAAGGTGGAAGTCAAACAAAGGGGATCGGCGAACAAAGAAGAGTTCATGATTGGGACGGGAGAAGAGGAGGGAAGGGAAAGAAATTAAAATGACACGCGAAGGAGAGAGGAGAGAAGACCTGCGTTGGCTGCACATCATGCGGAGGTGAAGAGTATATAAAGGATGAAGGGGAACCCTCACGCAACGAGTCGGTGCAGTGCTCAGTGTGGCCCATCCTTTCCGAAAAAGGCACTTCGGCGCGTGCGCGAAAGGCTGTGGAATCTGGATATCGCGCCGTTGGAATATCTGAGTCGGCCGTGTACCTCTCTTGAACATGCCGAGGCACGGCCAAGAGGTGTAAGGACCTCTTACTCGCAGTGCTTGCCCACAAAGCATTCATGCCATACTGCGTACAGTGAGCACCGGAGTCCCCACGACAGGCCGCTAGCCACTGCGCAATCCACACATCATTCATTTGGAGGCACGCGAAGAATCAGATAAACTCAGCCACCTGGCCGGCTCTCCGCGATTGGTTGAGAAGCTGCTCTCCAACTATCGCAGGCCGCCCGATATCATCTTGGTCTCGTACCCAGACGGTTATCTCATCGCACCCCGCAGATAACACCGTGACGCGGTGATAGGGTGCGACGCCGTTAGATAACCGTCTGGGTACGAGACCAATCTTACTCGCCAGGCATGGGAACATGACAAACTGGCCGTTCGCACCTTCGATGAAAAAGCGTTGTGTCTACATCTTCGGCAGACCTGCTCAGCCTTCAGACAGATATGCTCGTCCAGACCACCCGAAAGTTGATAAAATTATAGAGATTGGATTGGTGGAGAGAGAGGGAGAGCACTTCCGCTCAGGATAATGCGCAACATGGCGCGGGATCACCAGAGAGCACAGTGCAATGAGACCTAGCTGAGATCAGAGGGGGGGATACACAGCCAGAGGAAAAGCGCAATGTACGATATCCAGAACGTGCAAAGGCACGACAAGGAGAGATATAGAGGGGGTGTAAACAGAACCTTCGAAAGCAGACTCGTCGTTATTTATAAAAAGTCAACCTCGTAGATGAATATGTGGGCATAGATGGACGGAATCCAACGGAGTAGTAAGTGGAGACGAGAACCAGAATAGCGCAGAGCAGATGAGAGCAGCAAATCGAAGCCAAGAGAGGAAAAACACGCAGAAGAGAAAAAAGGGATGCGATGTTCTGGAGACTCGGCGGCCATCATCAGTATGCACTAGAAATTCCAAGACAAGACAGCTCACCATCTGTTCACTCCTCGTCGCCTACTCTACGGGTGCGCTCCAGATTGTAAATCGTAATGCTCCCGACGCAGCGCCTCGACCGCAGGAGATGGCGGGAGAGCGAGTCCTTACGAGTGAACTCTGTCATGCATCCGCCATAATATTCCACTCCCTCATGCACAAACGGCATCTTGGCCTCCACAGTGACACCGGCGCGGATCGCTTCCGCCTTCGGCAGACCGCCGCAGAGTATCCTGAGAGCCTTCTTGCTGTGGCTCCGGACATGCCTATTCAGGTCAGACCACCGCTTGTAGGATGCCCCGCAGTACTCGCACTCAGTCGTGCCCGCCGGCGGCGGACGTACCGCCTCGTCAAACTGTTCATTCCGTGACGCGGTGCGCCGGAACTGCGACGACGACGATGGCACCGTTGACGACTCGGCGAGCGCATAGGGCGCGTACCGACGCGTACGCGCAGTTTGGCGCCGAGCTTGTGCCGGACACGAAGGCTTTGCGCGCGAAAGACGTGATGGTTTGGGCGAACAACGCGATGGCTCTGCGCGCGAACAACGCGATGGCTTTGCGCACGAAGGACGCGATGGTACATATTCATCTTCCGACTCCGAGCCATCATGCTCTCCATCCATGTCCTGCTCAGAATCCCATGCTTGTTGTGATGGGGAAGGGGATGAGCCCCATACTGGAACTCGGACCAAGGAGAACTCTGGGAGTGGCGGGTAGCCATAAGATACTGAAGAGGTATAGGACGTCGAAGAGGTGTAAGACACTGAGGAGGTGTAAGATGCTGATGAGGGCGTGTGGTAGTAGTTATCTGCCGCGTTGCGGTGGTGGCCAGAATAGGTGTTACCGGAACATGAAGAGTAGGTAGCCTGATTGTGGCCGTCAGACGGACCAACGGGAAAGAAATGGCGTGGCACGAAGGACAATCTATGTGATGTCAAGTGTACTGGGATGCCGAAGTTGTCATTGTCAATGTGGCCAAACTGGGGCAAGGCCAGGGAAGTACCAGAAGGGGTCCTGAAGAGATGCAATGACATGAGTACAGTGTACACATAACGTGAAGGGTGAAGGCCACGCACATGAGGCCTAGCATGAGTTCAGTAGACGGGACGGATGAGTTGAAGTCGGTAGTGGCCGAGACAACATCCGCAAAGGAATCGAAGGAGGATGTCGATTCCGGACTGCTATTGAAGATAGGAGAAGGCACCTCCGGGAAGGGATTGGATGTGTTCGGGTAGTATGAAGACACGTAAGGGTTCGCGTTGAATGCTAGCTCCTCGTCGAGGGCCTGCATGTAGGTGTTGAGGCGGAGAGAGCGTCCCATTGCAGAGGACAGAGGAGGAAGAGATGCGGGGAAGAGCGACGGGTGTGGATGGAAAGACTGGATGCTTACCCGGCATGTTTTATAGCAATTGAGGGAGCAGAATGACTGAAAGGATGCCCTTTGTCGCCGCCGGAAGCCAAAGTATCGTGGGACAGTTACAACATCCTAAGATCACAGCGTGGTCGGCCAAGCAGATCTGTCCGCAGATGTGATCTTAGAGTGTCTCCGCCGCCGCCCTGGGGCCCTTCGTCATCCGTTGCTGCGTCTCCAGCTCAAGCGCTCAAGGTTCGGCAGTAAGTGGACAATAGCGCGAATGGCAAGGTTATTCCCGCATGCAAGGTCCGGCGGCGGAGGCCGAGGACGACGGAGTTCACCTTCCTTTTCCAATCGTCGTTTGTCTAATTGTAGCATCCAGAGATTGCACAATTGAGGAGCGTACTTGTGGAGGCGTTTCATCCCAGACCGCGCAGAGATTCTGCCAGCTGGTCGATGCAAGGCTGACATATGCAAACCACAAACAATCATACTAAAACAAGTCTCACTCACCCAGAGATCTCAGCTCAGCTCCGTGGCTGTGCTTGCATGCACGACGCAACTATTCGCCCAGAGGCCCGTTCAGTGATGATGCCGCCACTGAACACATTGTTACATAAGCTTAAGGTTAACTGGGTTTTCGAAGACGACTGAGCGCCCTTATAAGTACAGATACCGCCTGCTCGGACGTAAGCTCAGCCGGAGGAATTCCATAAGTTGTGTTTGGGGCGTCGCGCAACTAAAGAGGACACATTCTAAGAGGGACAACGTTAATGACGGTTACGATGCCGAAACGGGAAGGAGACATACCAAGAAAGGAACTACAACGTGCATTACGAGGCGTAGAGAGCTGCACGAGGAAGACGGCGCGGTTCTGGATAGTATGCGAGGCACGCACCGCAGGGTTATGGAGGGGGGAGTTCGACGAGCACTGCACTCGCAGCAGAGCCTTCATTGTACAACACGCAGGGGCAATTCAGTACCCACCGTCCGGCGGCTGGCCGTAGCGTCGGGCGTGTGGTCGCACGAAGGGATGAGATAAAGCCACCTCTGCCGGAGAAAACACCTACACAATTGGCTGAATCATAATTCCCTCGCGAAGACCAACCTCCTCCAGATACGCTCGACGAGACCGTCCAAGATTTGATAGAGTGATAGAGAGAGTTGAAGAGATTGGATTGGTTAGGCAAGAAATAGAGTTGCCTCATAAATGTACAACATCCCGGCAGATCACCGGAGACGGAGCGATAAGACCGAGTGGCAAGAGGCGAGCACACATCACAAAGAAGACAAATCATCCACGAGGAAGATCAGATATACAACGTCCGAGGGGCACGGAAAATGCATGAGGAACAGGATGACGAAGAGTGAAAGCAGGAGTCCACGGTAAAAAATTGAGTATACACAACAATTCACTGTGCCCGGCGGGTAAATGGTTGTGTATAGATGAATGGAATATATGGCCGGAACACAACAAAGTGAACAGATCGGAAGGAGATCGAGATTATGACGGACCAGATTCAGAGAGGGAATTGGAGCCAAGAGGAATAGGGCAATAAGAAATAATAAACAGAGGGACGCGACAACCTGGAGCACGACTATGGTCAGCATGCACAGAGACTCCTAGATGACGAGCTCACCGTTGATTCACTCCTCATGGGGACGTTCCAAGTTATACGGCGCCGTAAGGCTTCCCACGCAGTGCTTCGAATACCTAAGATGCCGAGAGAAGGAGTCTTTACGACTGAACTCGCGCATGCATCCGCCATAGAATGCCACACCCCCATACACGTACGGCAACCTGGCCTCCACATTGACGCCGGCGCGAATCGCCGCTGCTCGAGGTAACCCACCGCAGACATACCTGCGCGCGGCCGGACTGTGCGTCAGGACGTGTCGCTTCAGATCCGTGAACCGTGGAATTTCCTCTTCGCAGTATTCGCACTTCGTCTCCCCCTGCCGCGGCAGACGCACCGGCCCCGCAATCTGCTTGTTCCGCGCTGCTACCCGCCGCAACGGCGTGGAGGGTGAGGACGACAGGGCGGAGGGCGAAGACGGTCCGGCAAGTGCAGAGGATGTACTCCGCGCGTATGGAGCGTGTTGGCGCGTGTTCCTCGTGAGCGTACCTCGCCGCCGAGGAACACCGCGCGAGCTTGACGATGCCTTCAGCGAGGGCACGTATTCGTCTGACGAGCCGGAGTCCTCGCTCGATCCATCAGCGTCCTCCTCCGAGTCGTGTGCCTGCTGCTGGGCGGTGGCATTCGCTGCCTTGGCGCGAGACGCGCGGGTCACAGGCAAGGGCGGCAGTGAAAGAGCCGAGATGGGGGAAAGCACCTCGGCGGGAGATGTGACCGAGGAATGCTCTGAGAATGACGCAGAATAGTTTGAGGGTGATGAGGGCCCGTTGTGCGCGTTGTGGTAATCATCTGCACCACCATGGTGGTGGTCTGAGGTCCTGAGGGACGGGGAGTACGGGGAGTGGATCCGACCGCCGAGACGGGAGGGGTTACCGAGGAAGGAATCGTATCCATCAACCGGTTGGCCCAGGAACGTATCCCCAACAAACGGGCGCCCCCGCGGTGAGGTGCTATCCAGGTTTCCGAAAATATCGTTGTCGAGGTAGTTGGGGACCTCGGGGAAGGTCAACGAGGAACCAAAGGGGGTCCTGAATACATCAGAGCACAAGCATCAGTGGGAGCACATACAGTAGGGAACGAGAGAGCCACGCACATGAGCCCGAGCATTGACCCGGCAGAGACAACCGAAGGGGTATAGAAGGCGAAGGACGCGCCAATGTCGACAGAGTCAGATGACATTGTAGAATCAGGGCTTCCATGGGGTGCGGGAGACGAGGTAACACCGAAAGATATAGGTCCTTCCGAGTACATGGACGCGTAGGGGGGCGCGTCGAATGGAGCCTCGCAGTCGAGGGCCTGCAGGCAAGCGCTGAGGCAGTGGGAGTATTCCATGGCAGAAGGAGGGGGAAGGGGTGCGGGGGAAGAGCGCGGGGCGCAGATGGAGAGACAGGATGCTTACCCGGCATGATTTATAGCGATGGAGGGAGCAGGAGATGGAAGGGACGCGGGGGCGGGCGAGAGAGACTGTGGGACAGTTACAATGCTATAAGAGCACGTCGTGTAGATCCGTTCCAAGATGTGCTCTTACAGCAGGGTATCTCCCCCGCGCCTGTTCCTAATCTGTTCCTAACCTTAACCCGGTGGGTCTCGTACCCAGACTGTTATCGCAACCCTACCACACATCCGGGGCGGCCCCCTACTTCGCACTTAGCTCTCAACAGCCGCTCGAAAAGCCGTGCTTTAGTCTCGAAGCTAGTCTCGAATCCAGACGGCAGGTAGTACGTACACAGTATTGTCCCTGGGTCGCGGTGGCCACCGCGCTTGGCCGGTGACCGACCCGTGGTACCTTCCCACGCGCGGGCCGGTGCCCCTCGGTATATGCCGCCGGTGACCATAACGCGCCGTGTATGCCGCGCGGCCCGTTTGGGCAGTAGATACCTATTCTAGCAATAGTTGCCATACAGACTTCCTCGCAGCCTCCCTCCCGCTGCGCGTTGCTACAGAGTGAAGCTTGCCAAAATCCCTCCCTGTGACATATGTACGGGTCTGTACACGTCTGCATATGTGCACTATCGGGGCGGCAGTGGAATCGTACTCGCACGTGATCGTGATGGTTCCTTGGTGCACTGCTGCTTTCTTGACGCAATTTCTTCTTGTGTAGTACTGAGATCACTCGAAAATCTGTATTGCAAAACATGGGACAAGTTTGTATTGTACACTAGAGAAGTTTCTGTACAGTAGAAATAAGGCCATTGTAGATTAGACAAAAGGAAGAAAGAAAAGAAAACACCGGAAAAGACTCTGAAGGACTAGGAGAGAAGGAAACATCCAGCGCCGCCAGACTCTGTGAGGTATTCACAGAACTTGCGTGCTCTATACCTCGGGTGATACTTCTCTTCGAGGACGCGCAACGCGAGTTGGACGGACCAGCGCGGCTTCTGCGAGAGCTCAGTGATGAGCTCAATGATCTTCTTCCGACGCCCACCTTCCGTTTTGAGGGCTGCATTGTTGTGACGCCAGCGGCTGCCCCACTTCTCCATCAGCTCGTGCACGGGAATGTGCCCACCGAGTCCCGCCGTCCACTCTGTCCAGACGTCCATAATCGTGCTCACCGGTTGGTACCGATAGGATGGGAGAAGCTCCCCCGCTTTCCAGACCCACGGCTCGTGCTTGTTGAAGGCATCTTCACCATACATGCACTGAAGCTCTTCTCGCCGAGCTGACTGCAGACCGGTGTATGCCAGTGCCGCAACAGGTGGAACGAGCCCCGGAACTGCCAATGGTGCTGGAGCAGCCGATCCTGTGGAACCAGATGAAGTGGCAGTTGTGATGGGCGGCACTGAACCGCTCAGCGTCTCGGTAACGGACGCCGTGATCGACGGTATAGTGGGTGTTGCCGCGCTGCCTCCGGGCCCATCGCCACCGTGGAAATTGATTGTGATGGTGGGAGGGGCGACAGCCGGAAGTGCAGCCGGTGGTGCAGCAGGGGCTGAGGTTGTCGGGCTTGGATTCGGGGCCACAAAGGCCGCTACAGAGACAATGATGCAGATTAAAACCATGTTAACATTTCCGCGAGTGAAGACCCATACCTGGCTTTGACTTGCGAGTGCTTTTCGAGTTCACCAGCATGCCAATCATGCCTTCCATCTTGAGAATTTGCTGCGACATGTCCGCCATCTGCCGGTTGTTCTCCTCATGCTGCCTCTTCTGCTCCATAAGGACACCGGTGGTTGCACCTCGCAGGCTGGTTATCAGATGCTCGGGAAGGTTCTGGTATGCTACGCGGGCCCGCTCTTCTGCTTCTCGGATGGCGGGCATCGCTTCACTGACAAAGCCGTGAAAAGCAGGAGTATTGAACAGCGCAAATCCGAAAACGGGGGCAGAGGGATGCATCGCGCACAGGAGTGCCGCATCTTGAAGCAGAACGCGGCGCAGCCATACCAGAAGTCGGAGGAAGTGGCGCAGGGCGTAATCTTGAGCCAGTGGATTCTCTCGAACTCGAGCTTCGAGAGCGACCTGCTCTTGCTCGACCCAGGGGAAAATCTGCGTGAGGAGTTCAGGCGGTGGATCTGATGGTAGCACAGCTTGATCAGTGACATGGGGCATGCATATATGTGGCCAACTACTCACTGAGAGCATCGCGCGGAAGGCAATACATCTCTGGCTTTTGACCATTGAACATGGCCGCACCGAGCAGGGCATCCACCGGAAATGTCCGTTCGTAGCACTGGCAGAAGGACCCGTTCTCATTCCATCCGCTGAGTGCTTTTGTCCTGCTGATCGTGGCACCATGTGCCCGCGCAGTCTGCGCGGCATAACTCCGGCCGGTGTGCGTGACCTTTGTGATCGAGATCTCATTCTCCTTGTGAATGCCTCTCAGTCTGTCCCGGTGGTCTGGAGATGAGAGCTGGCTCAGTTGGCACTGCAAGGAATGAGCAGGCAGAGCGGGCACTCACTATCATATGACATAGGGGCTGCAGGTTGTTTCCCCCAGAACACATGGTAGGCATACCAGTCGCGGTGCCCATACTCACCACAGTCCGTATCGTCAAAATCTGGGAGCAAGTCAGGCAGTGGTAGATGAAGGACGTGAAAAAAACTGAAGAAGAGCAAGGCCAGCCCTCCGACAGGGCAGAGCTCGACCTCTCGGTGGCGAATAGCACCATGCTCATCTAGACGGCCCTGCTGGTTGTGCTTGGCATTATCTGCCAGTGCGGCAAGCACCTGATAGCAACATGAGCACTGTCGACATCCCCCTCGCATGCTTGACTCACCGGAACCCTGTACCCAATGCGAACATCATCCATGGGGATCGATGACATGAACAAGTCCGACCACTCAAGGATGCGGGAGCTCTCCCCACGGAACGCCGTTGTTGACGACAGGAGGAGCATGGCACGGTCACGTAAGCCCAGCCAAACTTGCTTGCTGCCGGAAACATCGGACAGGCACCAGATCGAGCAGCACCTGAGCTCCTCTGATGTGTAAGTGTCTTGAAACAAACATCATTTGTCAGTCAATTGTGCCTTTGTGAGCTTCGGTGAGCAAGTGATTCTCACCTCCGGAGCTTCCCACAGCTTTGAGAGCCTGCGCCTTGTCGATGTGCTTCAGTTCCTGATGCTTTGCGGAAGACTCCGCGGTGCGGATGCGGATGTCTGAGCGCAATGAGAGCTGTGCATCGGGATCGTCCTTGTACAAATAGGCATTGTTGCGCCGCCAGCTCTCAAGTGCGCTGATCACCTGCGAGACGTGCGATTTGCCTACGTTTGATCCCGCGATCGTGTCATTCTTGCCATATCGGCGCTGTGATCCAAGATGTGTGTCAGTCGGGGCGATCACCATCGCAAGGCATCACAGAGGGTGGTTCACCTTTTCACGAGACATCTCATACTCCAAGAAGAAGGAGGTTTTGAGAGCAGTGATAGGAAAAGCCAGGACAGGCACCTCCTCGGGTGCCTTCTGATGGTGCTCGGCCTGAAATGCTGTCCAGTACTTGATGTAGTTTTGCACGTGGCAATCGTAGCTCGACCCGGTTTGCTTGTCATCTTGGTCCAGCTTGGCCTTTTTGACGCGCGTATCGTGCGACTCGAGCTCCAGTTGCGCGATTGACTGCTGGAGTGAACTGGTGACGGCGGCAAGCGCAGCAGTGCCGGGCACGATGCGGGGAGGGCCAGGGCTAGTGACAGCGCTGCACGCGGAAGTGGGGTGCAGAGGTCCTTCGCAGTTTGTCGTCTGCAGGCCCGGGACCTCAGGCAACATGACGGGCGACCATCGCGGCACCTCGTAGTGCACAAAGGTGGATGCAACGTGGTGCTGGGCGAGACTGCTGATGGCGACCTCGCGCTGCAGCTTCCTCAGGACCGCAGGTGAAGGTGGGTCATACGAGACCACCCGGTACTGCTGTGGCTGCAATGGTTCCATCATTGTGCGACTCGGCTGAGATTCCTCAGTGCATGGGACAGAGGTTCAGAGGTGTGTAGGCAGATGGAGCGTCTTCACGGCAAGCTCTTGATGTGGTGCAGGATGCCACATCTGAGTGGTACAACAGAGCTCTTGCGGGCCTCTGCCTCCTGTAGTGATGTGGCTGGGAGAGTGAGGGAAGTTCTGCCTGAGTGTAGTTAGAATCGTTGGGGATGCTCGAGGACCGAAAGGGGAGAGACTTACACCCATGTAGAGCTATGGATCTTTCAACGTCCTGACTGCCCAAGTCAGACGTGCCGTGCACCACTGTTTGGGGGGAGAACAAGCTGGGGGCCTTTTATTCAATGGCGTGAAGGTGGCGGTGCGAAGGGCACGATCAGGGACGCCACGGCGGGGTGCGATCGCCACGGGAAATTTCAATGGTCACAACACGAGGCAGGTCGCGAAGGCGGCAGGATGAATGGCAGCCAAAAAAAATATTAATCTGTTCGTACGGTAGAAAGACGCACTGCTGGCATCACTGGCAGCCGCAAATTGAGTGTGTACGGTGGCCGTGTTTTCTTCAGTCACAGGAGAAATGGGAATTAAGACAGATAAGATGTACAATACGGAAAAGATGAAGACAGGGAGGTCGCAGGGCGGCACGCGCCTAAGAATATGGCATGGCCAGTTTCAAGTTCGCGTGCTTTGACAGAGGGCGGGCGCCACCAAGTGCACGAACAACTCGCGCTGCGAGAGTGAACACGATGCTCGCCGATGTGTTCACCGGCTGCAAGCGTGAGGGATGAGCATGTCGGCCCATCTGATGCTCATCGTTCTTGCCTCCAAGAAAATGAAGTGACTGCCTGCTGCCTTTTGCCGTTGGGCGAGACAGTTTTGAATGGTTCAGCTGGCCGCATGCAGGACGGGCCTGCACAGGTCGGGCGTTGAGTGTCGGGGGTGAACGCGCTGCTTGACGTTGCCTCGGCCGCTTCTTGACGTGTTTGTTGCCTCGGCTCGAGCTCGCGTGAGGGGCATGAGGGGCGTGAGAGAAAAGGCTAGGACCACTGGAAGAGGCTGGAACTGCTGGAGGGCGGCAACAGCAGTGGCGGCGATGACGATGTGATGGCAACATCGCAGTGCGGGGGGCGGGGCGCGATGTTGCCTTAGGCATGCGCGAGCCTCGTCGTTGCCCTGGGCGCCCGCTGAATCTGCCCGACCGTGCTTGCCGCTTTTGGGGGGTCACCAGCCGAGTCCTGATGACCGGCGTGTACAGGGCTGGTGACCCTTCGATTTCTTTTAGGGGGGGTCACCGCCATGGTCACTGGGGTGGAGCGGTGACCCATAATATACTCTATATACCAAGCTGTCTGGAAGAACTGTGAGAGGTGCGAGTACAGTAAGATTTTAAACTCCGAGTATACCATATTGGGATGCCATTTGCCACGTGATTGTGCTATTCTTTAGCACAAATATGTGTTTCGCAACAGAAGTGCAGCAAGAGAAGTCACAATTTTTATCTCTGAGGTTCATATTCTTGCATGATCCATCCTCACATATTTTCTGAGGTATTCTTGTGTGCTGTGCTTCATCTAGGTACAGGTGGACTGTCTCACCTTCATGAGTGAGGGGGGATCATGGGGTTTCTAGAGGTATTGTTTTGAGAAAAACATACATGGCATCTCAGCTAATATTCAGGATGTCTCTGGACTTCAGAATCCTCGTGCTTGACGCGATTGCAAGTGGTGGCAAGCACTTATGCATGACACTATCCCGTGACCCATCCGAATATGGTATAGTCGGGGTTTGAATTGTTACTGTACTCCCTCCTCATACAGTTTTGGTGACTGGAAATGAGTCTATCTCAAAGCCCAGATGGCAGGTGGTAAGTACAGAATACGAAGTACACTGGGCTGTTTAAACTCCGAGTATACCTTATTGGGATGCCATTTGACCACCTGAGCTCCCTGCAAAATGCTCGAATTGCAGCACAAAAGCACTATGTCGCACCCGAACACTAAGAATCCGCAGATCCATGTCTCGGATATTTTCTGAGGTTCACTTGCCTGAGATATGTTATCTGCGGTGGCAGTGCGTGATGAGCTAACAGTCTGGGTACGAGACCAGACTCCTCCGTGGAGGGCTGAGGAAGGTGCGACGACTTCCACCCACCTCCGCAATCCGACCAAAAGGCTCTCGAGCCTGACAGACATGCTAGTGTCGTGAAAGAGTTGTTCATGGTGCCAAACACAGCCAAAAATGTGCATGCAGAGATTGTGCACTCTCGCGACGTGTTATCAAGCTTCATAGGTGTTGGAAAGTAGCGCCCAAATTTCTGAAGCTCCAGAAATTGGGGAGCGCCCAAGGGCAGACAAGCCGAGGGCATGATTACAAAGAAAGACAAAGAAGGAAATTTGCTTATATAAAGTGGAGCGTCTAGAACTGTATATATACAGAAATCTATTTTAGGACGCGTAATCACGCGCCCCGACACATCTTGACCCGCCATCACTACCTTCCTATTTGGGAACTAAGGCGCGATTTCTAACAGGTTATGAGCCCCGGCTCTAGCCAATAAATACTTGGATAACAACAGCCCCTATTGTGGCTACAAAAATTGTTACCCCCTTACTAGTACGAGAACAAATAATGTCGACCAGCGCTGATAATACGAGCAATAGCAATGCTTACCGGATCCCGCTCCTGAAGGAAGACAATTGGCTCTCGTGGAAGCGCCGCGTCGAGGCCATCCTTAATGATAAGGGTCTCCAGGAGTATGTGACCGGAAAGACACCGAAGCCACAGCCAAGTAATGACCCGGCCAATAGGGCAGCGAGAGAGGCGGAGATTAGCGCCTGGGGAGAGAAGGACCTCAAGGCCCAGAACGTAATTGTGCTATCGCTGGGAGATTCCCAGATGGTGCACATCGCTGGAGCCGAGACGGCACGGGCCATGTGGGAGCAGCTTCGCACAGTCAAGGAACAGCATGGAATTCTCGCGCTGTGCCGGCGTTTTTACCGGATGCAAGCCAAGGAAGAAGATAATATCTCCAGTCATATTACACAGCTACGACAGATCCAGGAACAACTCCACCTAATGGGGAAGGTTGTTTCTGACGAAGATTTCCGGCTCATTCTGGCTACCTCATTACCGGAGAGCTGGGACTCTTTCCTCAGCTCTTACTTTGGCGCTGTGGGCGGCAATGTTGGCGCCGAAGGTGCTGACAACGTGCGCCCTCAGTTTACATCACAAGAATTGATTGCCATCATTCTTGATGAAAATAGGCGAAGGCACGAGCGTGGCGAGTGCGGTCAATCCTCGGACCAAGCCATGGTTGCCAAAGGAAAGAAGCGCCCCTTTGGGGAATACAAAAAATGTTCGATCTGCGGAAAGCCGGGACATCTTGGTAACGAGTGTCGGCACCGCGACAAGGTCAAATGTATGAATTGCGGAAAATTCGGGCATAAGGCCACGGATTGTTGGGCTAAAGGCGGCGGCAAAGCCGGACAGGGCCCGCCGATGAAACGGCAAAAGACGGAACGTGCTTACGAAGCGCGCGAGGTCGAATCGAAAGAGGATGAGGCAAAAATAGCCTACGATAATGATAGCGACACTGTATCTCTCGGATCTGATGGCAAAATCGCTTCTTTCTATGAGTGGTTTGCCGACTCCGGGACAACTTCGCACATTACAAATCGTCGTGAAGTCTTCGCGACCTATCAGGCGCTCGAAGATCACGCGATCACGGGCATCGGACCGCAACCAACGCAGGCATTGGGCTGCGGTACGGTCGATGTCGAAAGTAAAGTAGGAGACCGGAAAGTGAAATTCCGTCTCCACAGTGTACTGTATGCGCCGACAGCACCCAATAGCCTCCTCTCCATCACGCGTTTGGACGACGTGGGAGGAAGAGTACTTATGGGTAATAGTCGCGCAATACTAATAGATAAAAATAAACACACTCTTGCTATAGGCAAGAAAAATGGACGACTATATTCATTGAAATTGCGTCCAATAGTTCCACAACCTGCACGAACCTATACTGCTAAGGAATACGGCCCGCATACCTGGGAAGAGTGGCACAAGATCTATGGCCATATCGGGAAACCAGCGCTTATGCGATTATATCGTGAAGGGCTTGTTGATGGCCTAGAAATCTCGCCAAGCCCAGATGAAATCAATTGCGAGGCGTGCATCCAAGCAAAGGCAACACGGAAGCCATTTCCCAAAGAGACGGACGAATGCAGCAAGGTACCCGGAGAATTAACACACACGGATGTGTGGGGACCTGCGCAGACAGCCGCTCTACAAGGGTGGAAATATTTTATTACATTTACCGATGATTACAGTCGTCGAAGTACAGTACTATTTATGAGGCATAAAGATGAAGTAACTGAAAAGGTAAAGAATTATATTACCTATATCGAGCGCAAGTTTGGAAATAAACCCTTGCGACTCAGGCTCGACAACGGTCAAGAATATATGAACACCGAATTAATTAACTGGTGTCAAATGAAAGGGATCGAGATGGGTCCGACTGCACCATACTCACCATCCCAGAACGGAGTCTCTGAGAGATTGAATCGCACACTGCTTGGACTAGCGCGCGCGATGATCTATGCGAGAGATCTACCTCGTTATCTTTGGGCTGAAGTGATTGCTCACGCAGTCTATATTAAAAATAGATCGCCTACCCAGGCGTTAAATGGGGCAACTCCCGAAGAAAAATGGAATGGGACGAAACCAAATATCTCGTACCTACAAGAATTCGGTTCCCCCGTATGGGTCCTCACGGAGGACGCAACACTATCAAAGCTAGCGCCCCGTGCCAACAAGTATATTTTTGTTGGATACATGGACGGACCCAAAGCCATCAAATATTATGATGCACATACGCGCCAGATTAAAATCTCGCGTAATTTCCAATTTTCTTCGAATTCCCCAGACCATTTGCCCGGCAACGCGCCTCACGTGCCACAAGAGCAAATAGGATCCGATGTACCTATCCTCACAGCACAGCGTGAGGGGGAGCAAAATATATTTCCGGGCACTTTACCTAGCAATGCGTCAGACGTGCCGCATGCGGAAAGAAGACCCGAAGTCCCAAACCTCACAACAACCGCAGACGCGCGGCGCGAGGGGGAGTTAGGAACTTCCACGCCACAGTCACCTGCCAAAAATCCGCGAAAGCGCAGACAGGATGATGATCCTGATCAACGCGAGGAAAGCGGGACGGATGCACCAAGCCAGCCCAGACGAACCAGAAGAAAGACAGTTCGGCATGATTACCGTCTAATGCACGACCCAGAGGCAGACGAAGATCTGGATAATGATCCAGATAAATCAAATGCCGAATTAGTCTATATTGCGATGAGCGCCCACGGAAATGCGGATGCGGATGAGCCAAAGACGCTCAGTGATGCCAAGAGATCACTCGAGTGGCCCAAATGGGAACAGGCAGTCCAGACGGAACTCAATCAACTACAGGGTATGGAGACTTGGGAGTTAGTGGAACCTCCCGAAGATCGAAAACCCGTAGGAAATAAATGGGTTCTAGTTAAGAAAACAAACAAAGAGGGTGAAATAATCAAATACAAAGCCCGCCTGGTTGCGAAGGGATATTCTCAAATCCCAGGCATGGACTATACCGAGACGTTCGCGCCCGTAGTCCGCCTCGAAACCATTCAAGCTATCCTCGGGCTAGCCGCAATCTTAGATTGGGAGATCGGACAGATGGACGTGAAAGGCGCCTATCTCAATGGAACTCTCAAAGAAGAAGTGTATATGTGGCAACCCGAAGGATACAGCGATGGAACATACCGCGTATGTAAATTAAAGAAAACCCTCTACGGGCTAAAGCAGTCTGGCCGAGAATGGAATATCGTGCTGAACCGCAAGTTACTAGACGCGGGATTCAAGCACCTATTCTCGGATCCATGTGCGTACATTCGGATCAAAGGTGATAAGATAGAAATCGTCACCGTTTGGGTAGACGACCTATTAATATTCACCAATGATTGCGCACTGATGGACCAATTGAAGAGGGAACTCCGAAATATGTTCGAAGTTACCGACCTTGGCGAACCCCGAAAAATTGTGGGGATAGAAATTGAGAGAGACCGTTCAAAGCGGACAATCAAAATCTCTCAGACAAAATATATTGAGTCTATCCTACACAAGAATGGGCTTACGAACGCCAACACGGTCGGGATGCCTCTTGATCTAAATACAGTGCTTGAAAAAGAAGAACCCGAAACTGATGACGAATGCGACCGAGACAACGGATATGCATCGCTCGTCGGATCACTGATGTACGCGGCAATTGCCACGAGACCAGACATTGCTCACGCCGTGCAACGGCTTAGCTCATTTACTGCCAATCCCGGAATGGCTCATTGGACTGCTGCTAAACGCGTCCTCCGCTATCTATCCGGAATGCGAGAACTTGGAATAATCTACGGGCCAATTGCAGATGTCAAGCCCGAAGATCAATCCATATTTGTGGGCTACTCAGATGCAGACTATGTGAACGATATCCGAGATCGCAAATCAATCTCAGGATATTTATTTAAATTAGGAAATGGCACGATCACGTGGAGCTCAAAGAAGCAAACCATGGTCGCGTCATCCACCACGGAAGCCGAATACATGGCATCCGCCGAAGCGGCAAAAGAAGCCGTGTGGCTCCGAACACTATTCAAAGAAATAGGTTTCGAGCAACAAGATCCTACAATTTTATTCGAGGATAATACAGCGGCGATCTCAATCGCACGTGATCCCCAATTCCACGCGAAATCAAAACATTTTGATGTAAAGCATCATTATGTGCGCGAAAAATTGAGGGATAAATATATTGATATCCACTACTGTCCCACGGAGGACATGATAGCGGATATCCTAACAAAATCACTCCCTAAGCCGAGGCACGAGAAGCTCACAAAGAAGCTCGGAATGCCCATCAGCTTGAGGGGGAGTGTTGGAAAGTAGCGCCCAAATTTCTGGAGCTCCAGAAATTGGGGAGCGCCCAAGGGCAGACAAGCCGAGGGCATGATTACAAAGAAAGACAAAGAAGGAAATTTGCTTATATAAAGTGGAGCGTCTAGAACTGTATATATACAGAAATCTATTTTAGGACGCGTAATCACGCGCCCCGACACATCTTGACCCGCCATCACTACCTTCCTATTTGGGAACTAAGGCGCGATTTCTAACAATAGGGTTGAAGTACCGATAAGCTAGAAATCAAACAATTTCTCGTCAAGCTTCGGGATACCAAAATGGGAAGGAAAGATACCTAGAAGGGAAAGAGTTGTATTGACACCCCCCACCTACCGATCAAACCACCAGTGCACCACCCATCAAAGGGGTAGTAATTCCATGCGAGATAATATATGCTACACCTACCCCGTACCGACTAATCAACTCTAATGTTTGATGTCTAGCCGCGAGAATCTCAGACACCCTTCTCGACTCGGGTGCCTGCGACTCTAACATCTCAGTGGGCTCCTCTGGATTTCTGACACAGACTTATGCCGAGTCCTCGAGCTTGGCCGGAGAGAAGATGTGCAGAAGCGGACTCCACAGGTTCCGAGTCTCCCTCGAGGCCGCCTGCTCATGCAGAGATGCAAACCGCCAGAGATTGAGTGCATGCGCTTGACATGCTCCTCCGCATTGAAACATGGTACATGATGAAGAGGCCACGGTTCCATATTTAACTAGGAGCTCGCTCTTCAGGCTATGATGAAGCAAGGCTCGTGCAGGATTCGGTGCGGGGCATCACTCCGAGTCCCACTGCCAGTGTAGGAGGCCAGTTCTGGAGGGACCGCCCCAGGTTCTACATCAGCCACCAGCTGCAGTGCACCCGAAATATGAGCTCTATCTCTTCTGTCACTACTGCTCAATATTCAATCGTAGCGGCGCGAGCGCCATTCCCCGACTCCGACGGGGTGCTCACGGTTTTTGTATGAGCAAGGGTGTGTGATCGATACGTATAGTACAAGTACAGGCATTTGTGATAGTTACAGTAATGGAAAAAACTAGACAAGCGAGGCATCATCGTCGTCGCTGTCATCCGAGTGGCGTTGGTCAGGCTCGGAATTCGGTCGGAAGACTCCGAGGAGGGGCATGGGCTCGTCTTCGAGGAAGCCGCGGGGCATCGATCCCGGATTGGCGAGAAGGACGATGGATTGGATGTTGAGGGAGATAGTGGTGTCGGCGTTTTCGTCGTCGAGTTCAGGGTGGCTCTTGATGTACTTCCCAAGAGTGAAGAGCAGGAGGACGGCAGACTCTGTGGAGAGATCGTCGTGGATTTTGGGAAGCATCGATATGGAGCGCATGGAGAACTTGAAGGGCTTACACCCGTCGAAAGTCGACACTGCGGGAGGAGTGAGTTAGGGCGCATGTGCGAGAAGGTTGGGGGCGATCTTACCATCTCGATCGGCCGGCAGCACGGGGGGTGGACCTGCAGGGTGCGTTAGCGAACATTTTGTAGTGCGAGACGTCACGTACCGCGTTGTGCGTTCACCGGAGTGGCGGGAGCCATGCCGCGGATCTTGGTTGGAGTGTTTGAGGTGCCAGTGGTCAACCTTGTCGAGAAGGAGAGGCCGGCATGGAACGACGGGAAGACGAGTGTTCGTCTGTTGAGAATGGCACCCAGGACGGCGGCCGCACGTGGCCAGGTGAGTGCTGATGGTGCAACGCAGAGTTGACGGCTGCGACCGCTCGGACTGATCAGGTCGCTGTGGGTAACGGAGCCGACGACAGAGAAGAGCGTGAGATGGGTGCTCGTCTTGAGCTGAAGGTAGTCGGAGGCTCCGATGGTGACAAAGTGGAGTGCTGTGGGGTCTGCGGTCGCGAGATTGATGATGTCATGTGCGGTGGCGATCGAGACGTGGTCCAGACGTCTTTGGGGTCGATTAGTAGTATGGCAGAAAAAGCAAGGGCAAATGGACATACTCGGCGATGTTCGAAGGGAATGCCCTCTTGAGATACACGGGTTGCACGAGGACAAACACGTTGTTCGTGGCACGTGTCACGGCGAGTGTTTCTCTGCAAGAAAGTGTCAGTGTGAGTCACAGTGGATAATTGCCAAAGGGCGTACCTGAGTTTCGACAGCGACTGGAGCACTTCGGTTCTTGTATATATGGTGCAGTTAGTGGAAGTGTCTGTCTGGTGGCAAACAGCGACTCACGGTGTCCTGGTTTTCTCGACGTGCTTTCCTTTGTTGCGGTAGGGCTTACCAGGAGTCTCGTCGGGTCGGTGACTGGCGTGAGCATCGTCTGCGGGAGTATCGGATGCGGTGGAGTCAGTGTGTGCTGTCGGCGAGAATCTGCAAAGAACTGCATGTTGGCTGGTATATGGCGGTGAGTGGGTATGAAGACTTACATGTCGTCGCTGTCTTCGGGCTTCTGCCTTTTTGCGGGTGAAGGCACTGGTGCGGACGGTGACAGATGCCTCATCTTGCGTTTGCTGCCAGTGGTGGTTGCAGGAGCATCAGTGACGGAGGCCATGGTGGCGGTTGCGAGAGGAAATCGGGCGAGGTGGGAGTTGTTCGCGGTGCGACTGTTGGGGCATGTCCGTCAGCATTCACTGTCTGGGCACGGTGCCGAAACGGGGGCGAGAGTGTGGAGGAAATTGCGTACGCAGCGCAGGTGCGTGCTTTGCGAGGGGCGAGGTGCGGCCTTGGCGTTCGAACGGGAGGTCCGGGCGGTGGTCGACCTGGGCGCGGTCGCGAAGTGTGAGGGAGAGGGTCGAGGTTGCGGCGCGCGCGGCGGGGGCGCGTGTTTTGCGGTGGCCCAGGCGCGGTATTGGCATTCGAACGGGAGGTCCGCGTGGTGGTCCGGTTGGCGAGAGTAGGTGGTGGAGGGTGTTGGCGGTCGAGGTGCTGTGGAGAGGGGCGCAAACGCGTGCGGAATTGCGCGCGCAGTCCAGGCGCGCGTTTTGGTCGGGCGAGGCACCGTGTTGGCATTGCTGGATGTCAGCAAAATGTAAGCAAAATAGCAGAGAAAAATACGCACCGAGCGGGTGCGTGTGTTGTGCGATGGGCTAGGTGCGGCATTGGGATTTGCGCGCCGGGAGGTCCGCGTGTTGGTTAAGCCGCGCGCGGTCGCGAAGTGTGAGGGAGAGAGTCGAGGTGGCGGCGCGCGTAGCGGGGCCGCGTGTTTTGCGGTGGGCCAGGCGCGGTATTGGCGTTCCAACGGCAGGTCCACGTGGTGGTCGCATTGGCGAGAATGCAGGTGGTGGAGGGTGTCGGCGGTCGAGGTGCTGTGGAGAGGGGCCGCGAACGCGCGCCGAATTGCGCGCGCAGTGGGGACGCGCATTTGGGTCGGGCGAGGTGCGGTGTTGGGACTGCTGGATGTCAGCAAAGTGTAAGTAAAATAGTGGAGAAAAATATGCACCCGAGCGGGTGCGCGTGTTTTGCGAGAAGCTCAGCGCGGGATTGGTGTTGGCACGCCGGGAGGTCCGCGTGGTGGTCAAGCCGCGCGCGATCGCGAAACCTGAGCCAGAGGGGGGAGGAAACTGCGTGCGCAGGGGGGGCGCATGTTTTGTGGTCGGCCAGGCGCGGTATTGGCGTTCCAACGGCAGGTCCGCGTGGTCGTCGCATTGGCGAGAATGCAGGTGGTGGAGGCCGTCCGCGGTCGAGGTGCTGCGGAAAGCGGTCGCGAACGCGCTCCCAGTGGGGACGCGCGTTTGGGTCGGGCGAGGTTCCGTGTTGGTATTGCTGCACGTCGCGGCCGAGTTGGCGATGGTGGCGGAGAACGTCGGCGACCGTCCGTGTCAGTGGTGGAGATGTGGCTAGAGCGGTCGTGAACGTGCGCCGAATTTGACGCGCAGCAGTGGCGCGTGTCCACAATGAGCTGGGCGCGACGGTAAGATTTGAATCTGACGCGCGAACGGTTTGTCGTGCGGGGGCGAGCGTCGGTCGTTGTGGATGGCTACTTACCTCCACCGGTGTGTTCGTTCTTGCTCGTTGATCGTGTCTTGCTGGCAATTGACACTGGTGTATAAAGTTTAGTAAAAATCTTGCTGCTTTCAATCAAAATGAATTTGGAGGCTCACCTGAGTTCTGACACGATGGCAAAGGTCTTTCAGGATGCGCGTTGTGGTGCGTCGAGTTTCTGTTTTCGTGATGGGACTGGATGATGGCTGAATCTTGGTCAGTGAAATTATTCGACGAGTGGACCACACGTACGAAGGCGCCGAATCCGGAAATGGGTGCCGATGGACAGGGATCGCAGTTCCTGCTCGAGACGTACGATCAGTTCGAGACAGTTGAGCGTCAATTTGATGTTCAGGTCGGTTCGGGTGGGTATTTGTACCTGGTGTGGCGAAGCTCGCGCGAGGAGGTTACACTGCGTGTGTCTGGATTTGTTTCTCAGATGAGTCTTCTGCCCCCTTTCAGGCGCTCATTCAGGTTTGTCACTTCTGCAGTTCACAAGCTGCTTGCCGATGTGATTGATTCGTATCTAGGCTGCCGAGGGGAAATCCGAATCTCGCTCTGCAGACTGTTGTGGTTGCCGGTGAAGGTCCTGCATTCCGGCGAGCCATCACTGCCCGATCAAACATCTTACGTTTCATGGAAATGCATGCACGCCGTGGAACGACATCTGTAATTGATGATGTCTGGCTTGGTGCCATGCCGTGTTTTATTGCAGAGACACGTGTGCTCACGCCTATGGTGGAAGCACCGTTGTTTGACAGTGCCGATCTGAACATGGTTATTGACCCGTATGGTGCATTGGCAGAGCTAGTTGCTGGTGGGAGGCTCTCGTGGACATCAGACAATGTTGTGTCATGCATGGAGCTGAAGGGCGAGTATGACGACAGGTATGTCATGATATGAAATCATCTGTCTGCATTGCTTGAGGTGATGTTGTGTTTATGTAGGTGGTCTACTCCTGTGCAGTCATCCCTTGACATGGTGCGTGCCGGTGAGCTCATTGAGCTTTCAGTAAACTTTCAGCTTCGTGAGCACGTGAGTCCAAATGGGGCAAACGTAGGTCGCAAGTTTCTTACACGACTTGACACTGTCATGATCGTGAGTCGCTTGGGGATGAAGGTGAGTTGGCGTTTGCCCGCATTTGTTTGTTATCAGAAAATGACTTCTAATGGTGGCTATAGCTGATTGCGGACTGCGAGTCAGAGCACTTGTTGATGATGCGTATTGCTGCGGCGGCTGATAACACTGGTGGAGGTAAGGCTCCGAAGAAGAGACGGTTCTCTTACCTCCAGTCTGTGCCTTCTGTTTTAACCAGTACTGAACAACACTTGAATTCGCTGACAGTATTGGACAAGACAGATGATGTAGATCAGGTAATGAAGCCGGTGGGATAGTTGCAGTACTGTTACATATAGTCATATGATATAAGATACTGATGGTATGGCTGTCTTTTAAAAATTCAAATGAAAGGATCATCTGAGCATGAAGATCGTGTCGATCAGGTAATAAAGTCAGTAAAATAGGTATAGTGTCATGGTGGCAATAATACAATATTTTGTTGATTCAATTGATTCGATTGAATGGACCATTTGATGTATACACGAGGATGTGCGCCCAGCATCCGTCGAGTGTAAGGAGTGGTGTAAGGTCATCGGTATCCATTCTGTTTTCATATTGTGGGACACCGTCATTCTGTTGGTCGTCGTATATCCATCCTGAGTTGTGAGAGTGGAGGAGACGTGCTGTAAAGTGACTAGATCCAAAGTATATTACAGTTGCCAATGAGTAGGTGGTCTGCATATTGAATTCCAGATCAAATATGGGAGTGATAACTGTATGTTCCTGTGACGGATATTCAAAGTATAGGATGGGCGGTGGTGTAATGTTGCTTATATTATGATCAACTTCACTGTCGCATTGACATAGTAATCTTCTTGCATGCAGAATGGATGATGTCATGGTCTTACTTAACCAAGTTTGTATAGTTTGAGTTTCAGCAGAGGACTGCATGCCGGTGGACACAATAACAGATGGGATTCTTAGTGTGATTGGGCGTGTTTGATGACAGGCAAGACACTGTATGGTCGTGACTATATGGTTAGTGGTGTTTTCCAATGCACATTCAATTATGCTTGCTGCAGAGGCAAACTGTGGACCATATCTTGGATATTCCATAGGTGATCGTCTACTAAGAAAATCTCGGAGAAAATCACGTTGCATGTTAAACTGCTCGGCACTGGAGTCTGGGCTCAGATTCTCAAAACAACTGACCAACAGACTAGCAATAGCTGACTGATTCTTCCACATTGCACGCAAAGAAGAGCTCAGTTGAGAGTAGCTGTGATAAAGTGACATAAATGTGGCATCATATGCACATGAGTAGTCTGTGGATGACCATTGGCAACCGTGCTTGTACATGTATGATGATGAGTCAGAATGTGGCATTGATATTGATGGCAAAATCCCTGATTCTTCCATTTGTGAGGCTTTCCGTTTGGTTCCTTTTGACTGTGAGCTACTGTCACTAAAGTTGACATGAAATGACTTTGTGGAGATGTCATCTTCACTTTCAGGATTTGGCAAAGGTACGAGGGATCCTGTTTTAAAGCCATAGTGAATTAAAGTATTTTGCTCAAGCACTTTAAATTTCTGTGTCTCATGGTATAGGTCAGCAGAAACAGGCTTGTTTAGCTGTTCCAACTTTACTGGCTCTGAGATGAATACGCCATTTCGTGTGCGTGCTCTCGATGCAGCAACGTAGGCTGCAAAGCCGCCCTCAGTCATGTTGTTAAGTACTTTAGGCAGTGTTTTGCCTTGCGACGTGTGGCCGGTGACCGCAAATGCAGGTTGTATGATGAGTTGCAGTCGGGTAACTTGGTACCTTTGTGTATCTCCATTGGCATCTCTAAGTGTAGTTGTAAACCGCCATGTTGTTGGAGCAATAGGCACATAGCCTGAAGGCAAATCAGGCAGATGTACCTTGCTTGTAGGAAACTCAACTATAACACAATCTGCATATGTGTATCCGACAGGACAGTGTTTAATCGAGATGTGCCTAACTATGCCTTGAGCACCATTGGTGATTCCAAGTTCTGTGGAGATGTTTCGACTGCGTAGTACCACAGGCATGCCTACATATAATGAAATGAATGCTGGGAGGGCACCTTCAGAAGTAAGTGGTGTTACATTGAGCCGCAGAAGTGCATCACGAATGGATTTCTCAGGTACCTGACCATCAATCTTATCGACCGCTGTGCATATTATTAAGCTCAAACCATTGTCTGCATCACAGTTTGCCTGTGCCTTTTCAGTATTAATAACTTGTTGTAGCAGGTTGGTATTGACAATTACTGTAGGATCATCATCATCATCTTTTATTTGAAGGCCATCAAGATGGGTCGCTGACTTAACTACCCGTGTATTAAATAGGTCAACATCTCCCATTGTGCATTCACGTGTTCGCAATCTATTGACTGCATCACCATACTCAGGATCATCTTTCATACGTTGTTGCTCAGTCAACTCTACCACTGCATTTACTTGCTTCCATGCAAGTCGACCAAGCCTCTTGCTGAGTTCATCTGATGTCTGTCTTGCATATGCTGATATAGGTGTGTATAGCGGTGTGCCACCTACTGGAGGATATTGATAAAAATCTCCCGCAAAAATTATATTAATACCTCCAAACCATACATCTGGTTTTTCTTTGGCATAACGTAATGCATGATCTATCTCAGAGAGTAACTGACAGCTAACCAGTGAGATTTCATCAATAAGTACAAACTCAACACGCTGCCATTCATCACGCAATACTGTACGATTTTGAACACTAATTGTTACTGTATAGTCCTGTTCACTTTCGCCCAGTCGCCTGTTGCCTTTACCCTTTGTCTTTGATTGTATCTTCAAACCGAGTCCTTTGTGAATTGTCATTCCATCGATTAGAGCAGCAGCAGAGCCGGTAGGTGCAAGAAAACGAATTTGGTATAAGCAGCCAAAGTATGTCATCAATTCTTTCAAGGCTTTGACAACATGCGTCTTGCCTGTGCCACCGGGACCGGTGAGCAACAAGTACAGCGGTTCCATTACAGTGTCTGATTTGACTACATAGTTTTGAATAAAATGTTTTGCACAAATCTGAAAGGCACATGCCTGCTTAGCATTTAAACTGTAGGATGTTTGAACAGACTGTAGAACTTTCATTGGGGACTGTTCAACTAATGCAGTAGTATCACTCATATTTGGGGCTTCTGTGGATGTGGTTAATTGTTCTGGTATTGTAGGCGTCATGTAATACTCAGTGTATGCAGGAGTTTTTTCGAGAGTAAACTGAGAGCTCATGTTGCCAGCATTACGTCTTTTCTGCATTACTTGCATCTCTTGCTCATGTAGGGCTGACTTCCACTTCTGCAACTGCAAGTGGGTTATATTATATTTAACAGTGGATAGTGCAGCTATCTTGTGATAAGTGTTGTGATAGAGCCAATTGCACTGTTCAAGTAAAGAGACAAACTGCTGTATCTTAAAGTCATTGACTGCACTTCGTCTATCATGTGATGTAACATCAACATCATCATCTGTGTCTGCTGTAACAGATGAGTACATGGATTTTGTCAAGTGACGTGATTCTGCTAGCAGCGTCGCTCGCTTGCGCAACCGTTCAC